CCGCTTTGTATGACGGCAGTGGCAACTATGCAGAATATTCGTTCAGATTACAACGAAGCGACTACACACTCACCATGAATTCGAGGCATCGATGTCGGACCTCTCCGTGCATCGATGCATCTCCGTAAACCTGCAGACTAATGGCTCTGAACAGGCAATTCCCATCGCCTTCCTGTTCCACAATTTCCAGTCCTTGTTTCTTGAGCGCCAGCGCGAAAAGATCATCATCACCCTCAGGACGATCCACAATCGAATCACGTTCTCGGACATCTACATCGTCTCGCCCACAGTCGCGCTGAAAACTGTTGCTTCGGTTGTAGTTGTTGTTCTTGCGATTATTGCTTCCACTACTATTGCTGCTGTTGGCCATGGAAGAATTGGTCATTGACGCGGGGTCGTTGTAGGCAAATCGTACATCTACTTCAGCCCCATCGTCGCTGCTGCCAGAAACATCCTCTCGACCACCATTGTTGGGGGTCTCGACGTAATAGGAAGAGGCTCCCGACGTCGTCCAAAGCTTCCGTCCACCACGACTTCCTCCAGCCATTTTCTTATTGTTTGTTGTAGTTGCGCTGTCCTCGCTTGTGGGCAGCGATTTTGCCGGAAGTTTGGAGTCTCGTCCTTTTTTGAACGGTGGCTTGGAATCAAGCAAAGCTGGCGGCGTCGGAGCTCGTCGCTTTCGAATTCGAGGAGGACTCGCAACGGCAACAGTATCCGAAGCAGCGGATGGGTTTGTTGTAGATTGGATAGGAGCGTCAGCAACGTGCGTGCAAGGCAGGGCTGCTACAGTTCTCTGGGTGGTTTTGCCCTGCGTCTCGACGGATGCTGGTTTGTCGTCCTTTTTGGATGCTTCTTGTGACTTGCTCTTCTTGTCAAAGCGTGTTTCGAGGGTAGGACCAGACGGAACGTTTGTTTCTTCACTGTTGTTGTCACTGCAATTCTCGCCCCTGGTCGACAAGCTCTGTTCCAATTCGGATTGTTGTTGTTCTTGTGCGGCAGCAGCAGCAACCGTGGAGACCTTCAAAGAAGCGGTAACGGGAGAGCCGACTTGGGCGATTTGGTCACCCGCTGATGGCTTTGCTGAGGTTTCTGGCTGTTGTGGGGCGTTACCAGACGATGCGACAGGGCGAGCGTCAGGAGCTGCGGGTGATACAACAGTCTCTAGAAATTCTCCGTCTTCGTCTTCTTCCTCGCTGCTTTCAGCGGTTTCAGCAGTCTCTGATTCTTCTAGTTCCTCTTGCGATTGTTCGTCTTCCGCCACCAAGTATTCTCCCGTTTCGCTGTCGAATGACTCGTCTCCTTCGACTAGTCCGTGTTCCTGAGAGTTGGGGTCGTCAAGCTTCTTCTTCAATGGTAATAGGACGCGCATTATCGTGAATTGTCGTTCGCAGAGAACTGTACTCCCTCCCGAGTCAGTCAGCCAGTTGCGTTGGTTCTCCTTTGTTGTTGTGTGTTTTTGTCGAGAGAGCTGTACTGAAGTCCCGGTAACGGTGACAACAACAGCAACTACACGCTGGCTAGCTAGCTACACACGAAAACCCGTCGTTGTGACTCTTGCTTTTCTCAAGCTCTGCCCTCTCTATCAGTGATGCACTACTATGACCGACTATGCTGCTGCTACAAGGTTCGAACAGCACACAACGCTACTCCTTGTTCCTTGTCGACTATTAATACAACTAGCTGTGGGTGACTGATGGTTGGAAGACTAGACTGGCTGTTTCGACGATGCCGCCCGTTGTTGTTATGTGAAAACAAATTCTGCTTTCGAAGACGTGAGTTGTGTATTAGTCAGCTAAGCTGGAATATGATTGGGGAGAGCACATCAAACGTGGAGTTTGACCCGAGGACCGAGAGCACCACAACTTGATCAACAACTCAACGACACAAACGGAAGCAACCTTCCAGAGTTGATATTGGCACACCACAAACATATTCGTGGATAGTGCTGGCAAGGAAGGCAGGAAGAGGGAAGAAAGAGAGTCATCGGCGGTCCAGGAAGGCAGGAAGAGGGAAGAAAGGGAGCGATTGGTGGTCCAGTTCGCGAATTGAGTATTGAAGCATCCCTTCTGCCTTCTGCACAACCGCAGAACGATCCCCTCCTGTTCCAATTCGAGCTGAGCACTGACAACAATTGACAACGAAGAAAAAGCATCATCATGTCCATGTCTCAAGAAGACCTCGACAAATGTCGGCAGGTGGCAAAGAATCTCATGTCGGAAAAGTACAAGAAATACAATCAACTCTTCATCGAGCCATTTCCTTTGGACTCTGTTCCTGGGTATCTCGATGTTGTCGACAAAAAACTAGATATCAAGACATTGGCTGCCAACCTGGACGCTGGAATCTACAAGTCGAGAAAAGATTTCTTTGATGACGCTGCTCTCATCTTTCACAATGCCATCAAGTATCACAGCAACAAAGAAACTAAATGGATCATCAAACCAGCCAAGGAAATGCTCAAGGTGGTTCAGAGAGAGCTCAAGAATCTTGACAAACGACCATCCAAAATCCTTACCAAACAAAGAGGTGGCTCTTTGAAATTAAAGATGGGAACCAAAAAGAAAGACCCCACAGCGTCCAAATTATCGGCCTTAGCAGCGGCATCTGCAGCCGATGATGTGCCAAGTGGACCGTCAGCCAGCAATCCTCCCGTTGCCATGCCATCTTCAACCCTGTCGTCCGATGCTGCTGCCGCTCCTCCCAAACCCAAAGTCTCCCTGAAACTTAAAACGGGTGGCTCAAAAATGAAAGATAAAATTGCACCTGCCAAAGCAAAGCCTACACAAACAAAGCCTACACAGCCCAAACTCAAATTAAAGATTTCCTTGTCCAAAAAAGCATCAGCTCCATCCACGGAAACAACTCCTAGACCAACTCCATCCGCCTCGCCAATTCCACCCACCGTAGAGAGCAACAGTTCCAGTTCCAAACCGCCGTCTGTAAAGATTAGTGCCATCAAGATTGAAAAGCCTCCCAAAGTGCTACAGGTTCCCAGAGTGCATCAGGCCCCAAAGGCGCAACAGATTCCCAGGGTGCAACAGGCTCCCAAGGCACAACAGGCTCCCAAGGTGCAACAGGCTCCCAAGCTACAACAAATTCGATTGGCAGGACCACGGGGCAAGGAATTACCCAAGGGAGTCGCGACGTCAACAACCTCCACAACCAAAAAAGCAACCACCAAGACGGCGACTGGGAAGGTTCCGCCCAACAAAGCCACTTCTGGAAAAAGTTCTTCTGCCAAGGCAACGGCGTCCACCAAGACCAGCAGCAGCAGTAGTACCTCCAAAACGGCAACCAGTACCAAGTCTGCCACGGGAAAGGTAACCGCTACTGGAAAGGCCACGAAAAAGACGGGGACCAAGAAGACAACGACAAAGAAAGCCAAGAAATCAAGTGCGTCATCAGTAGTAGCACCGCCGCCGCCACCACCGTCTTCGTCATCCATACCAGTGGCACCACCATCATCGTCCGCAGCTGCTCCCGTAGCAGCACCAGTCTCGTCATCGTCGTCCGCCGCAGCAGCATCCACAACCCACACGGCAGTCAGCAGCAGCAGCAGTAGTAGCTCTGGTGCTGGTGCCATGATGACGCCGATTCGAAAGATTCAATGTTCTAAAATCATCTCGGGGCTCAAACGACGCAAACACAAAGCCATCAACATATTTTTGCACCCTGTCAGCGACAAGAACATTATCCAAACCTACAAGGCCAAAATCAAACATCCAATGTGCATCTCGGCTATGCAAAACAAGTTGGACAAGAACGAGTACCGAAGCGTGGCGCAATTCGTGCTGGACATGCGACGAATATTCGCCAACTGCTTGCGATTCAATACATCCATGAAGGATCGGTTGAGGCCGCTAGCGGTGGAGCTATTGTCTACCGCAGAAGACCTCATGGTCACCTTTTTGATTCGAGGAAAGCACCCACCACCACCCGCAGGTGGTCCCGATTTGTATCCTCCGTTGCTGTACTGCTGGAGTTTTTGCATCAAAGTACTCAATACACTCTTCAATTTGACCAATCCCGTCGATTCACAACCCACAGTCTATTACTTTCTGCATCCTGTGACGACCTATTGCGGAGGACAGTATCCACCAGACTACTTGAATTTGGTGAAACGGCCGAGTGAGTTGGTCCTGTTTTCTTACATGCAGGAAAGACGAACACCGGACTGAAGCGCTCACCCATCCCTCTCCCGCCACCCACACAGTGGACTTTGGTACCATTACGTCCAAGTGCGTGCTGGTGCCGACTAGAGCGTATCCTGGGTGGCGCCAACATGGAGGACTCACTTGATGTTCTATTCTCTCTTCCTTCGTAGCTTGATTGAAGGAATTTATCAGAATGTCGATGAATTCGCTTCCGATTGCCGACTTGTAATCGAGAATTGCAGGACATTCTACGGGGGCCGGGAAGATGGTAAATTGTTTATTGATCAGGCAGATCAGCTCAAAAGAGTGCTGACGCAGCAGCTGGATGCCTTTGATCGGTACCTAAAGTCTTCGCCGGGTTTGGAGTTGAAAGCCAAAGCGACCACAAAAAAGTCGCCTAACGGGCCAGCTTTGTTCCCAAAGCCTCCCGATTCGTTGCTAACGAGCATCTTGGATGAGTTACGTGCTATGAAGTATACCGACAAGGCGACAAAGGTACGCACCAATGGCAGAATCGTCGTCGTAGTTGTTGTATATGAGCTGCGAGACCCATGCGATTCTTGCCGTCCTAAATGAACGTACATCACGTGTTTTCTCCTGACTCCAGATTACCGAGAATGCCATGGCACCATTCGAGAAACCTGTTTCTCTCGCTGATTATACGGACTACCTGCAATATGTCAAGACACCCATGGACCTTCAATCCGTGGAAAGAAAAATCAAAGGTGGTCAGTATGAAATGCCCGAAGACTTCGAATACGACATGGGGCTTGTCTTTAAGAATTGCGAGACCTACAATGCGCACCGAAAGGGAGGCCATCTGGTTGCAATGTCCAAGTACGGAGCGAAGCAATTCCGTCGCTTGTTTAGTGTCAGAATGCGAACGTTTGAGGACCCCAGCTCGGTGACTACGAAGGAAGAGCAGAAGGAGGCATCATCGTCTTCCATCAATCCAAGCAGCAAGAAAGCAAAGGTAGAAAACACAGCAGGAGGTCCCAAGGGGAAGGCCGCTCCTCGTATTTCAATAACCGCCGCACAGGTGTCATCAGCGGCTGCACAGGTTGCGAAAGCTCCGAAGTTGCCGTCGGTGTCTTCGTCAAACAAGAAGAACAACCAGCCAGCGGCTAAGGCAAACCAGCCGGTGCCTCTCCACATTGCAATTGCTAGAGTGAAGGTGAGAATGGCATGGCAATTGGTGCACTCGTGGATTGCTTGTTACTCGTTGCACTAACGATCAATCGATGAAAATGTCTCGTGTTGTCTTAGGAAGCATATCCTCTCCGTCGCGCTCACAAGAGTCTGCAAAACTGGGAGGCTGATTGCGCCCGCTTTTTCAAAGAGCTGATGAGACACCCTTGGATCTCTGCGGCGCGTCCCAAGTTCATTTTCCACGTTCCGGTGCCTGTTTTGTTCCCGGTAAGCATTGTGGGCGTCCTCACCTGCATCATTTCTACTTGTGGCTCTGACGATTCGCTTCTGAATGTCTGTCCTTTGCCTTACTCGTCGCAAAGGGATTGAAAGAAGTTTACATGATGAAGATTAGTAAGCCAATGGACCTCACGACATGCGAGTGCAACCTACTGGAAGGAAACCGTTATTCGAGTGCCGACGACTTTCTGCAAGATATCGCCCTTGTGTTCAGCAATGCAATTACATTCAACAAAGACGGTAAAGAAATCGGAGATCCGATGAGTTACGCGTACTACGATGCTTCCATTCATTTGCTACGGTACTCTCGGTGGCTTTCCCTGGAGTTACTGTCTTCCCACCTTGCAGACATTGATACTGTGGATGAGGGCCCCGAAGGCGACGAAAAACTGCCTCCTTTGTCGTGGAAGCTGACAACGGGAAATAGGAAGAAGGGGCGTTCCGAGATGGAGAGCATTGTCATGAACGAGGTAAGATTGCTCGTGTCTTGTCGGCCTTTGTCAATTCTCGCCATGTCACCTACTCACCCACACGTTTTTTGTTGTGCAGCCCATCGACAAGAGCGTGGAAGGTGACCGCTTCACATGGATGGAATCAGAATGCGAGAAGCTTTTGAAGGCTCTCCGTCATCAGTCCGACATCAAACAGATGACATTTTTCATTGTGCCAAACTATCCTCCAGACTATGCCGCCTTCATTTCGAAGCCCATGGATTGGAAGACGGTGTCCGATACGCTCAAGAATCGCGAGTATGACACCTTTGCCGAGATCTGTGCAGATTTGAGGCTCATTTTCTCCAATGCTTTGAAATACAACGCAAGGCACCAAGGAACCACAACGGTCTCTGGTCGTGCCTACGACGCTGCAACGTACATGTCTGCGAAGTTGGAGACAGCAATAAACAAAATGTTGCTATCGGTATCTGACCGACTCGAGAGAGAACGCATTGATCATGCCAATGCTGAGCGGGAGATCGAGGCGGCCGAACAAGCTGAAGAGGAACGAATCCGCGCAACATGGAAGAAAGAATCCACAACTGAGAACGGACCTTCAGCTCCAGCTACCGGTAGAACGGATGGCAGCGTTAAAGTACGAGCCGTGAGGAAGCAGATGAAAAGGAGAGAGTCGACAGACTTTGAAATTCCCTACTTCGACGAGGAAGATGACGGACAACACGAGCGATCATACTTTGATGCTGTCAAGCAGCAGAAAGCTCTGTTTGAACGGCAACGTCAAGATCTTGCTAAGATGCGACAAAATTCGATGACAACTGGTGCTGCTATGTTTGCTCGGTTGCTCCAGCGACAGAAGGCCAAGACGTGGCTTGGGGCAGTTCAGTATGTCGCCAAGAAAGGCGACGTCAAAGACGAGAAACAGTCGGCTCCGGGAGCCACAGAAGCGCCTGCAGGTCAACAAGGGTCCTCTGTGTTGACAGCGCTCGAAAAGGAAGGCAGAGAGCGTTTCAAAATCAATCTCGCGGTGTTGCCAAAGAAGAACAAGAAGCGCAAGCGATCGGCTATTACTTTTGAATAAAGAATGCACTCTCAGGTATTTAGTATAAGTTCGTAAATATACCGGTAGGTTGCTGGGTAGCAGCCAAAGACACGCCTCCACGGAGAATTTGTTGGTACCAACTACTAGTAGCTAGTGACCTAGATCCATCATAGTTTTGTCCTGTTCGGATGAGATCGAATGGAAAGAATATAGTTGTGCGTCCTTGTGCCACAGTTTGAAATGATGCGGAGATGCGGACCACGCGGAAAAGAGTTGCATGTTCCATGACATGCCTGCCGGTAGGATACCGGTACCGATAGAGGGCTTGCGGCAGCTTTTTGGCGCCCAAAACTTGCCGCCAAGAAAAGTACAAACGGGCCAAGAAAATGGATCCGACAGCATTTTATTGTCCGTCCATTAAAAAACAGAGCAGACCATGGTATCGACTACCGGTACCGGTAGTATCACCAGCTTCTTTGCTCCGAAGAAACGCAAAGAGAAAGAGGGCTCAGCATCCTCTCCCTCCTCTACTGTTACTACTGATGCTGAGCCTTCCTCAACGAACAATACCAGTAATGACTGCTCTGAAATAAATCCTTACAAGAGGGCCAAGAAAGAAGAGTCAAGCAAGAGCGTTGGCACCACAGACAACAATAATGGCGAGCAAGACCCTGTTTCTGTTCTTCTAACATTTCTGGCTGCATCAAGCACAGAAGAAGGATGTTGGCGCGCTGCATTGGACAAGCATTTCACGTCAAAAAGCTTTGAGAAATTGGCCAAGTTTGTGGCCAGTCAAAGGTAAAATGGTCGATTGTGAGGTGAACTAGTACTAGTGTATGGTACAGACTTCTGTTTGTTCCACTCATTTGCTCAGATCATTTTTTTTTAAATATTTTATGCTTTCAGGAAATCTGCGACCGTCTACCCTCCTCCCGCTGATGTGTTTTCCGCATTGACGTTGACCCCGCTGCACCAAGTGAAGGTAGTAATTGTGGGCCAGGATCCGTACCATGGTCCCAACCAAGGCCATGGACTTTGTTTTTCTGTGCGCAAGGGAGTTGCTATTCCTCCCAGCCTCAAAAATATTTACAAAGAGTTGCAGAACGACCCCAACGTGGACTTTAGTGGTGGCATGCCCACTCACGGATACTTGGAGCGATGGACACGACAGGGTGTGCTGTTGTTGAACGCCGTTTTGACGGTGCGTCGCGGAGAAGCCAACAGCCACAAAGGCAAGGGTTGGGAAGCCGTCACGGACGAAATTTTGCGTGTGCTGGCAAAGAATCATAAAAAATCTGGTCAAGGATTGGTGTACTTGTTATGGGGTAAACCGGCCGCAAAGAAAATTGAAACTGTCATTGGGAGCAGTGGCAAGAATCGCGTCATTATTTCAACATCCCACCCTAGCCCACTAGGTGCTACAAAAACAAATTCTCCCTTTTTGGGTAGCAAATGTTTCAGTCGAGCCAATGAAGCCCTTGTTGAGATGGGCTTGGAACCCATTGATTGGAATGTGGATGGAGAGTTGGCTGGAAGTCGCAAGAAGAAGGAACAGGTGGATGTTTAGCCATTGTCATGGATCATACAGATTATAGCGTGGCCTTTATTTGTTTCCAATTCATCTTGCCAGAAGTATACCGTATGGTACCAGGTAGCGCTGAAGTGCTTTCACGTCATTGCGTTCCTACTATTAGTCTAAAAGTAGATCTACGGTACGGTACCGGCCGAAACTTAGTGGTGGATTCAATCAATCAAAATGCCGACGATGACGCACAGGTCTCTCGCACCTGGTACGACTGTACGGGATGTGGAGGGGTACCGTATCGCGCCAAACACCTTTTAAAAATTGTTGATTGACTACGTTTCAGAAGACCTTTACAATCTATCTCCATTAGCCCAACTGCTTTCTCCAAAGGACAATCTCCTGTTGTTTGAAATAGCGACGGTCTTCCGCATCCACGAGGACTAAATTCAAAAAATATCGCACCGAGAAACGATTGTTGATTGCCTGATAGGTCGGTGTCAAATCACAGGGAATGCCTTTGAGGCACAGTCTCACTGGAATGATTTCTCCCTTGACGGGGGCTCCATCCATAATCTCGTACTTGACCAATGTTTGTGTCTCGGTGCAGATATTGCTGACATCACCTCCCGCTTGAGGACGGCCGCCACCCCCGGCACCGGTAGCATTGGCGACACCCTCACCACTAGTCTCTCGTCGAATGACTGCCAGTTCCATATGCTTTATTTTGATGCGTACCAGTAAGAAGTGAATATTCCCAATGATGGTATCCTGCAAATGAAAAACGCGACGATCGTATTCAAATTCAATGTGCAAACAATCTTCAATTCCTACTTCCATCTTGATGGCTTCGTTTTCTTTTGGTTCTTCACCGAGCTTTTGAACCCAAACATCGTGTTCCTTGGTAACGGGCGGCAAGAATTTGCGCTCAACAATCACCTTGACAAAATAACGGACTGCAACGTTGCGACCCTTGTAGGATTCGTGTTCCTTGTCCATATTTTTGAAGATGAAGGGGACTTCGATTTGGTTGTCGTATAGGACTCCTGGAGGAGAGAGCTCCTTGGACAGCGAGACAAAATCGTAATGGGGACGACCTTCATGGACACCTTGTCCCTGGCAGAGGATAAAATACCAAAAGGAAAATGAGGTTCGGTAGCTCAGCCATAGTATCAGCCTAAGGAACGTACCATATCGATTCGACCAATGAATTGGACTTTAATTCCCAAGTGCTCCATCTTTTTGCCTGGTGGAATGACAAGACGAACAATGCCACCGACATCACGTGAAGCTTCAAAAGTCACAATAGCCGAACGCATTCCATCGTCCATCATTGGCATCATCATTCCTTGTTGCTGTTGCATCATCATCATGTTTGGTTGTTGCATCATCATGTTTGGTTGTTGTTGCATCATTCCCGGCTGTAGTTGCTGAAATTGCGGATTTTGCATCATTCCTGGCTGTTGCTGCATCATGCCCGGCTGCATCATTCCAGGTTGTTGTTGCATCATGCCCGGCTGCATCATTCCTTGCTGTTGTGGCATCATTCCAGGTTGTTGCATCATACCAGGCTGCTGCATCATCATTCCTGGTTGCTGTTGCTGCTGTTGAAATTGCGGATTCTGCATCATGGATGAATCCATCTGCGGTTGTTGATTTTTGTTTCCTCCCGGCTTGTGCTTGACTCTCCAAAACGGATTCTTGTGTAGTTTCCAACTGGGATAATGATCCATCGGGACAACGCCGGGATCATTTGTCGAGGTGTTCAACACAATGCCAATCTTGACACTGCCCCCTCCCGTAAGGGCGCCCAACAGGCCAGACTACACAAAGGAAGACAACAGGCATCAGTGAGTCGAGACGCGAGAACAGTGCGACAGCTGCCAACTACCTCTTCTATTCCCTCCACTGTCACTTCCTGATGGCTTCTTTTAAATTAACAAGTAGTCTATCGACGACGCACAGCACAGCACAGCAATCTACAGCAAACTTCTACGGCCTAATCAGAGCTTTCAATTCCCAAACACACGCACCACGTCCATCTTTGTCCACTTGACTTGTATTTGCCGCAAACTGCAAGAAGATTATCGTCTTCCTGTTCGCCGTTGTGAATTCGTGCACGAAGAAGATCCAACTAAAATAATATTATTTTGGTGTTTTCTGGTCTTATTCTTTAGCTAGTCTAGCTATGGCTAGCTGCCACGTCATCTTGGATTCGATTCAAATTTCAGCCTCCGCTGTGTTTTGTTTTGGTGCTCTTCGAGCCATAAAAAGGAGAGGAGGAAGCGTTGTTGCCCTTGGTGGAGAAGCGCCCTTGGGCCGTCAACAGACAGCATTGGATTGTCCGTATAGACCAGAAGACTTCGTCAAGACATTGTCACGAAGAGGCGCTTGTTGTTTTGTGCTCGTCGTATTCGGAGAAGCGACATTCGTTTCATTTTCTCCGACCTCGAGACCATGTCGTCGTCTTTGTTCGGCCGAAGAAACACCCAACAGGGTCGGAGCCGACCATCCTCTTTCAGCGGCAATGGTTCGAGGAACAATGGATCGTCCGTTCGGAGGCAACCTTCTTCTTCTTCAAACGGCTTTGGTGGCGGAAGACAAAGCCAAGGACAGATTCTGGTGCAAAGGCCGCCCTCACAGCACGCTCGTCGCGCACCACAAAGCAAGCAGCAACAAGAACAGCAACAAAGTCAAGAATCCATTATGAAAGACTTGAAACTCTTACATGACTTCCAACAAAGCTCGCAACGAAACCTCGAACAAGCCCAACGCTCCAAGGAGCAAAAGGAAGCTCGGCGCTCGGAAAAGGAACGAACTTTGGAAAGTCGCAGATACGCCAATGGAGAGCAGCGAGTACAGATTGAGCGTCAACGTGCAATGCTGGGAATCAGCCATCGCTTGGTGACGAGTCGGAAGAACGATCGAGGGCGTGCAAGCAACGACGTTCGCGACTTCAACAGCGCTCTCACGAACGCTCTCAAGAACTCGCGAAACAACAGCACCGTCCAGCGCAAGATCCTCGAGTTCCTCGTCACATTGACCGAAAGCGCCGACAAACTCAAGGAACTCCAGAAGAAGGCAAAGGACAAGCCGAAGCGACTGGAGAGAGTACGCGACCGTGCCGCAAAGAAGCTGGAAAGCCTTCGCGACAGTGTCCGAAACGAGGACGAACGATCGAGAGTGTTCGACGCGGAGATTGCCCAAGTGAGACAAAAGATCGCAGAACTACAAGACGAGCTTCACAAAACAACATCCAATGAAGCATCTTCCAGAACTTCCTTGCAACGACTCTGTGCCCAAATCGACGAGAGCGCCGCTCAACAGGCAAAGGCCGTGGATGCACTCAAGAAAGCAATCAAATCCCGTGAGGAAGCAGAAGCTGAAAGCGGTGCCTTGGACGAGCAAATGCAGTCGAGTGTGTCCCGCATCACGCAAGCGTCCACCAACCTACAGGAAAAGCTCTTTAGCATTCACGAGGATGCCGGGTTCGAACGAAGAGACATGATGGCGGGAACTGTCCACATTGAATCATTGGTGACGGAGCAACAAGAATCCTTGGAAAAGACTCGAGCAAAGAAGCAGCGTCTTCTCGACTCTGTAAACAGTCTCAAGGAGAAGAAATCTTCTTGCGACACGAGGGAATCGGCAGTACGAGCGACAATCACAAAACTTTCCCACGAAACTCACCAATTGGACATTGAAGAGACGGAACGACGCAGCAAACTGGAGGAGCGCCATGCGGAGCTTCAAGCCACTGAAAAGGAGATTGACAATCTTCGCCAGTCTCTTGTGGGCATCAAAGAAAGTAGAGACAAGTATCGAAGTCAGGCCGAGGAGAGTGTCAAGGAGAAGCTCGAGGCAATCGAGAAGGAGACACTGCAGATTGCAACACTGACTACGGAACTCAACAACCACTCAGAGAACTTGGAGATTCAAAAGCAGAACTGGTCGCAGGCGAAGAAATCCAACGACGACAAGAAGAATACTACCACTACCCTTGTGGAAGACGCCAGAATGCAATTGGACAAGGTCAAATCTGACTGGGCTCATGTAGCGTCGCTCAACGAAAAGCTGTCAGCTCTCGAGCAGCAACAAACGCTAATCCGAAAGACCGAAACCGAAAAGTTGGAGGCTGAGATTTCGAAGATTCTGGACGGTAAGCTTTGATTTGAAATGTCTTGTATTGCTTTGCCTCTGAGAGTTGCAGTAGAAACAGAACTGAAACGAACGTCCCTCCTTGATCTCTGAATTCGTATAGATCATCCTGCACTGCAAGACATATCAATCGACGAACACGTGTCTTCCGATTCCCAACTTGACAACCAAGCAAACATCTGCCTCGAGCCAATCGTCGAAGCCTTGGCCAAGGAAATCGAAGATGCTTCGACCAAAGCCACCGAAACTCGCAAGGCTCTCATCGCAGAAGAGACCCGACTCCGAGAGGAAGCGGCAAGGAAGGCCCAGGAGGAGGCTAAGAGGAAGGCCGACGAGGAAGCAGAAGCTAAGAGGAAGGCTCAAGAGGAAGAGGAGCGCCGCAAGGAAGAAGCTGCCAGGAAGGCCCGGGAAGAAGCTGCCAGGAAGGCCCAGGAAGAGGCAGCAAGGAAGGCCAAGGAGATTGAGGAAGCTGAGGAACGCCGCAAGGAAGAAGCTGCCAGGAAGGCCCAGGAAGAGGCAGCAAGGAAGGCCAAGGAGATTGAGGAAGCTGAGGAACGCCGCAAGGAAGAAGCTGCCAGGAAGGCCAAGGAGAGAGAGGCAGCCGAGGAACGTCGCAAGGAGAGAGAAGCAGCCGAGGAACGTCGCAAGGAAGAGGCAGCAAGGAAGGCCGAGGAGATTGAGGAAGCTGAGGAACGTCGCAAGGAGAGAGAAGCAGCTGAGGAACGTCACAAGAAAGAATCTGCCAGGAAGGCCCAGACAGAGGCTGACAGGAAGGCCCTGGAAGAGGATCAAAGGAAGGCTAAGGACAGAGAGGCAGCCAAGGAACGTCGCAAGGAAGAAGCTGCCAGGAAGGCCAAGGAGAAAGAAGCAGCCAAGGAACGTCGCAAGGAAGAAGCTGCCAGGAAGGCAAAGGAGAAACGTCGCAAGGAAGAAGAAAAGAGCAGTCGTAAGGACCAGACAGAGAAGCGCGAGCAAACGAAACCAGCCGACGAGCAGTGCGCGGATGCGGACGAGAAACGCAAACGCCCCTCCAACAGACCTGTGCAGCCCGCCAAAAAGCAAGCGACTTCGGAAGGAAAGGGGAAGCCAGATGTACCCAGCACTGGGGACGCTAGAAAGCAAGGACGCAAACGACAGCAAGAGAAAGCAAGCCAGGTACAAAGCTCAAACGAGAATAAGCCAGAGACTCTCCCCCCAGCCAAGGCGACCAAGCGCAAGAAGAGTGCAAGTACGAGCGAGGGCAGCACCAAACGCGATCGCGGGGATGACGATGCAACCTCGAAGCGACACGCCAAGGATGGGAACCGGACTGGTCAAGTTGATCAGGACAGAGGCTACATCGCAGCCGTGCGCCAGCAGAACTCGCGCACTGTGAAGGGACCGAAGCACCGCGATACCTCAACCCGTACCCCCGCCAAACCTTCCATACTCGCAACACCGAACCATCCATCATCATCTCTGAGACCCGCCGGTTCGAGCGCGAAGCGTGGACTCAAAGTAAGCTTCATGGAATCTCCATTTGCGGATCAAACTGATGATGACAAATCGACTTTGGACGCCCACGATGAAATGGAATATAGAGACTCTGATGACGAGTCCGATTCTGAGCCTGTGACGGTTGGAAACAAAGCGAAGGGCGTAGAGAAACCCAGTTCGCGACGCGGACGCAACAAGGCGCGCAAAGAAGAGACCCAGGACAATGGCGGTGTGCTCGCGCAGCTAGGAAGTGGCGGCGTTTCACGCGATAAGCAATCGACCGCAGTGTCCCGGTCGTCTTCCAAACCCAAAGCTTTGAGCAGATCTTCAAGCAAGGCTACGTCAAGTCGGTCCAATCCTGAGGAAGGACGTGTCATGGATGCAAGCAGCAGCAGCAAGACGAAGAAGAAACAGCAACCAGCAGCATCCACCAGCAAGCGAACGGATCTTTCTGACCACAAAACCAAACGGGCGAAATCGTCCGCGTCCAAGCCTGGTACGTCGAGCCGACCTTCGAAGGAGTCAGGAAAGCACAGCTATTCCGGACTCTCGTCTTCGCAGTCGAAAAAGTCCTCTTCGGACAAGAAGCGCGACAGATCCGATGGTCAGGGCTCGAGTGGCAGTCGAAAGAAACCCAAATCTTCGGCGGAGCCTGCTGCAATCAAGCGACGACGCAAATCGAAGAAAAAGGACGGTGATGCCGTCAAACGCAAAACCAAGGAGGACACCCTCAACTTTTCGTTCTAGTCATTTCACGGCCGGGCTCCAACCCTTGTGAGACCACCAATCTACTCCACTTGAGCCCCTGTATGGAATGGAACGCGACATTGAATGACGACCAAAGCGGATGAGAGGAATGAACGAATGAATGACGAATGACACGCAACTTGGACGAGAAAGCAGATATTGGATTACAAGTAGCGCGCATAGTCGAATTAATTTAGTAGTGAAGGAATGGACCAAACCAACTAGCTCCCGTAGGCAGAATGTGAAACACAGTACCATGGTAGCATGAACTCCTTCTTGTTGATACTTCCATCTTGACCAGCCACAGAGGGCATGTGAAGTGATCCCTTTTTTGAGCCATTTCAGGGCATAACAGCCGTACGGTACGATACGGTACGGTACCGGTACAGTCGTACTTGAAGCATTCCAGAGAACAGCAGTTCCAAGCAGCCAAACAGTCAAGGGAATCCATTTTCATGGCATAGATCTACCTTCTTCAGGATCTCCATATTTACTTAACCATGCCAGCAACAGGGCTACGGTACATGTGGCTGTCTCCATCCCGTGGTCAATTGTTTTCATCGCATATTTGTGGCATGCAAATGACCATTTCCAGTCGCTTTGCCTCACGGTCCTAGCTCCTGGTACCGGTAGATTCCATGGACCATCTAGAGGAGCTCCAAGTGACCAAAGGCAGCAGCTTGTTGGCACGTGTACCGTATTGATCGAAAGAGCGAATATTCATGTTCATGAGCATAATATACTATTTTAGGATCACCAGATGGCCATTGCACATGTGCGTTGACCACAAACATGGACAACTGTTTCCATGTGCAGACAGCATAGGACTCTCAAGTGGCCAGGAAGCACAGGTACCGTACGGTAGGTGCAGCATCAGCAAGTGTGGTACCAGTGCTGTTTCTGTTTCGCAGCACAGCGCAACAGACTACGTTTTTCAAACTAGCTAGTAATACTTTTGCTATTGTAGAGTCCACTAAAAAGAAAGTAGAATGCATCAAGTGATATGCAAAGAGTTTCCTTATTAGACTTTTTAGTCGAAACAATGTCTCTGTATTTGACCAGAACACATTCGCCATGAGTCTCAACTGGTGAAGAGCTCACCTTCCGCTATTGCTGTACCGATTGTGATTGTGGTATGAGTCATAGTCTTTCGTTGATGATTTGCTTGGCGAGGACATCCCACCGTTGCGCATTGCACCGTCAGCTGCCGAAGGTTGGGTACCCGACGAAGAGCTGCTCGGCATGCTCAAGTGTTTTGGTGTCGTCAAAACTGTCAGAGTTCTTTCAAAGTCACTCTTGCGTGCCATGATAGTGGTGATCTCTGACACGGTCATGAGACTGACATCTTCACCATCAATAGCCACAATTCGATCTCCTGGGGAGATTTTCTCCGACAAGACGCTAGAAGATCTAACTCCCGAGACGACAGTCCCCTTGGAATCAGCCTTGTTAGCAAGAATGATACCCAACTTACCCGGCGGTGCCTGAATTGTCACCTTGTTTCGACGAGCAATAGCAACGGTACGCCGAGCGGAAGAACGACTCTTGCGACTGGCTCGCGATGCCACACTTGCTGAAGATCCAGCAGCGGCCGTAGCAGTTGCTGCGTTGTTGTCTTGTGAGCCAACCATAGCTAGCTGCATCTCCAGACGCAACAAATCATTGGCAACACTGCGGCTTTGCTCCGACATCTGAGACAAGTAGGATCGAGTAGAGCGATGAGAGTAGCGGCTACCTCTGCTGTGTCGACTGCCGCGACTGTCCACACTTTCTCCAGAGGAAGGATGCTGGTGATTTTTGCTAGACTTGCGGCGGCGTGATCTACCATGAGATCTGTGAGAGCGATGCGATCGATGAGACTTGTGGGACTTATTGCCACTGGAGGATTTGGATCGTCCACTGAGCGACTCCAAATCAGCTGCTATCCCTCGGGGGCCCAGTGCTCCAGTGACTTCATCAAACAACCAGGACTCAGAGGCCTCCTGATCAGAACCATCAGAGGACTCGGTTGGGTGGTTGGGATCTCCTCGTCGGCGGGAAGAGGAGTACTCTTTATCACCTCTGCGGCGACGATCTCGCATACGATCTTTGGCTGAGCGAGAGGAATCACGATAAGATGGCTGTGTCACGGACTTGCTGCTTCCTCCGCCCGTGCTGTGATGCGAGGCTCTGGATGCATTGGCCATCTCCAAACTGTCAATAATATCCGACACTGGAGTGGTTCCATCTTGATCACCAGAGGGCCGAACGGGTCTGAGGTTATGGTGCTGTCGCAAGTACTTGGCAGTGATTGCTGGTGCCGAATTGACGGAGGAAGCCGACACACGACGATTGCCTCCTCCGCCTCCACCACTGCCAGTACTTCTTCCTCCGCCTCCACCTGTGCTGGCATGTTTGCCCTTGGCTTGCGCAAGAATGTCCGAGAGTGTCATGTCAGCTGCTGAGTTGGATGGACGATGCGTCTTCCTGCCGGGAGAAACGGGTGGCGGAGACCCATCGACAGCAACTCTTTCGGACTTTGGAGCACCCCAGGATTCCGTGTCTGCCGGAAAGGTGACGTTGCTGAAATCAGCAAAATTTGCGAATTCATTGCTGGTGTCATTTTGGGAGGTGGCAGAGGGCGGGTTCGTGAAGCTTGTCGGAGAACGTGCCATCTTTGGTGACGTGAAATTGCGTCTCGGGGTAGGCGAGGCTGGGTTATGAAACGGAAACGGGTTCGCCCCATCTTTTGTTGGACTGACGGTCCATGCACGCTCATCTTCATCTTCGCTTTTTGATAGACGACCAAGCTGTGCATGCTTCTGCTGACTGGAGGATGAAGACGAGGAGATGCCTTGTGCATTCATTCGCAAGGCTCCTCCAGCATCGTCGCTATTTGCACCTGGTGACTTTGCTGGTAGAATGCCATCAGCTCTAGAGTCTCGATCCGCCAAAGTTGCTTCATCGTCAGTTTGCAGTGCAGGGAAAATGGAGTTGTCCCCATCCGTGTTGTAGTTGGTGGGGGATGACACACCAGACAAATGAGACGAGTCGAGGACTGTAGGGTTTGGAACTACTCCACGTCTTTTGAGAGCCTCGTATTCCGTGTCCTCGGCATCTGTGGATAGGTTAAAAGAGGAAGAAGAGGCATCCGATCGGTTCATATCATCTACTACTGGGACATGACCCGCCGAGAACCTAGCAGGTTCATCCTTTGGCATGTAGAACTGATGAGAAGGTGTTTCGCGCTTCTGGTGCTGCATATCAAACCGATGCAGCTGCTGGACACTAAGTCTCTGCTGCTGTTGCTGCTGAACAGGATGATTGTGTCCATTTCGGGTGGTTTGTACTTGGTTCTCGTCAGTGTCGCTGCCCAAATCGGATTCATCAAGGTCCACTGGGCCTCCCCAACCCTTGCTGTGGCTATTGGTAACAGGCGAATTGTGCTGTTTTACTTGTTGATGATGTGGTGAACCAGCCATTGTGTGAGGTCCTGGCTCATTGTTGGCACGTTCCATGAGGTTTGGTACTTGGTTGTGTGGCGACAGGACGCGTGACTCATTGTTGCCACTGCTGAAAGGACCTGCTCCATTGCTACTATTACTCACTGGTTGTCGTGGTGATGGTTGTTTTGCGTGCTGCTGCACGGCCTTTTTGGCACTAGAAGCTGGTGCAACTGGTGCCGTGGGTTGTTTGTTGTCTACTTTCTTGTTCTTCTTGGACTTGCGACTCTTCTTGCTGCTCCCCTTGGAAGCGTTGGTGGAGCCCTCATCGGGCCCCTTTTTCTTGCGAAAAAGCTTGGAGAGAAAGCTCGGCATCAGGCCAGACTAGTCTATTGAATAACAGAGAGGACAGAAATGTAGTCTGATGCTGACCGGTGCCTATTGGTTCCGTTATCAGAGGGGGAAAGGTCCAGTCCGATCGAATCGAGTCAGCCAACCTGCAGTCGGTCCAAAACTAATCCACTTTTAGCGTCTACCTCCAACCTGATGAGAGTGATGATAAAGAGCTCCGTCGATAGACGCTACAATATTGTTGTGTAGTATGGAAAGCCACACCACCGACAGAAAAAGCGCCACAATGCTCCTCACCACTTTGCTGGAAGAGGTGATGATGGAGCTTTCTTTCTAAACAAGCAACCCTGCCAAGTCGGCATCCATCTGGAAACACGGCCTCCAATGCAAAACAAAGCCAGCTTGTCGTTCGAAGACGTAGGCAGCTTTTCGTTCAAATTCCAACCTCTAAATGGAGTTGGCTGTTGATATTATATTAAGCTTCGGGGCTGAATAAAGTATAACATTCGTGCGCGCCGCGTTAAAGAGCCTATCCTCATCTCTAATCAGTCAATATAAAAACAAGAATCGCTTTGCTTTGCGGGAATCAATTGCACATGCTATTCGGCCACCGGACAACTATGAGAAGAGACCGTTAAACTCTGTGGGAACAACGGGTGGGATTCGGAAGATGGCAAGTGGCAAGTGGCTTCCGCTCTTGCTACTGTACAGTAGACTACCACTGTAGCTTGTGGCTGGATCAATGGGACTGTTGTCCAGCTAGTTGTCGCTGATGGAACTTCTTTGACTCGTGAGTACCGCAATAAGCCCGTTGGATCGCTATGCGGGCCACACCGGCACCAGGTTGCTACTGGTAGCTTCCCGGCGAGCCACTTCCGCCAAGCAAAGAGCTACCAGGTACTACCTACTAGCTAGTCTAGATCTCTAGTTGGAGCTACATGTAGGATCCACCCCAGTAGCGAAGGCGGGTACGGTAAAGGATGCCGTAGGACGTGCCGCCAAGGGCTGGGGGGACGTCTTTCTGGGCAAGGACGAGACGAGGAGCTCTCCCGTTCCACCTCCTCTTCTTCCACCGTGCCGGTACCACCTGTGTGCCATGGTCTGCGGGTTTCAGTTGCTCGTTCCACCCTCTTTGGAAGGCGGTGGGATACTATTCGATGGCGGTGCGTGCTGTTGCTTCTGTCCGCTATTAATAGTCTACGAAACCATGGTACCATACCTCTAGCTAGTAATCAAAATATGAAAAAGACTATTACATTTTTGCCTAACGCAGGTAGTTCTATAAAAGCCCGCACCCAATACTGCGCGAGCGAAAAAGTCCGTTCGGGTCGTCTCTCTCTAGTTATCCTCCCGTGTAGGGGCTTGCAAAACCTTTGTCACCTTGTTGCATTCCGTTTCGAGCTTGAGGTGTGTGCGGACACCAACATCCAAGGCCGTGCTGACGACGTTCTTGGCCCCCAGCTCCTTGGCGCGGCGTTTGGCCTTGTCGCTGGCTCTGCAGAGAGACCCAATACATCTAGCCGACAAGCAAGCGTTGTGGGGCTTTTTCGACGCCTTGCCCAACTCTGAAATCAGGGTCTTCATTATTTCGGCCTTGGAAATTTCACCTGATTCGTCCAAAAAGGCGCCAGCAATCTCGGAACAAGGGGCGGTCTTGATAGCGGATGGCTTTTTCTCCGTTTCTTCCGGGTTGTCATCGAACCGATCCTGGTTTTCCACCACATCGAGAGCATTGGCCAAAACGGCAAGGGCCAGATTATGCAGGGCGCCCATGGTTTCGGCGTCTTCCTCTTCATTTTCAAACTCCACGTCTTCGCCGATGCGGCTGAATTGGACCAAGGACAAAATAGCTTCGCGGATGCCCTGGAACGGAGCTTCGTCAAAAATAATATCATCACCAAGATCAGCGCCTTTGCTCAGTCCTTGGATGCCACGAGCAGTGCCGAGCAACACCACGTGGCTGGCAATCAAAGCCGTAGTAATTCCCGTCTTTTTGGGATCGGTCAAAAGACATAGACTTTCCAAGCCCAACTGACGGGCATCCATACGATCCTTCATGAGCAAGCCGTGCGCAATTTCAATGGCAATCACGGCATTCTCGTGCTCGGTATCTTTGGATTTTCCTTGTAATTCCACATTTAGGAGACGCTGGACTTTCTTGGAGTAGACCAAGTCCATATCCACTCCCTGAGTCGCCAGATGCTGGGTGACATCAAAGTCTCCAATGGCAGCATCCAGAATGTACCGACTGTAGCGATGAAAGGCAATGGAATCACCCTTGCGCCTTTGGAGTTCCACAACAATACCTGACTTCTCGCCTGTCGTTTTCCACAAAGACAAGTGCATTTCCACACCCTCCGAGGTCATCAAATAGGCGCTTGCCTATCTCAACAGAGAACAAAGGGGAAAGGTAAGAACCACACAATACAGCACTCAACACCCAAAAGAACTAGTAGAAGATACCTACCGCCTCATTGTTGAAAACTGCCTGAACGGACAAAACGCGAAGGCATTCCGCCAACCGTTCCGTCACAGTGTCCGTGTCATCGTCGACAAATCGACTGGATTTTTCCAGAGGATAAAAGGCAGGCACCGGCCGAAGATTTGGACAGACCCACGGGCATTTGGGCTTATTCTGCTTTTCGACTTCCGGCTCTCGAGCCCGGAAAAAGGACGCCTTGTCGATAACATCGTCGTTACCTGGTGCTGACTTGGGCACAGACGCCGCTTGTGGCACTAATTGGGGTTGGCGAGAACCGACTTGTACAGACCTAAACATCGATCGAAATGGAGGGCACACGCAACGCGCAAAATGAGCCGCTGACTACAAAGCATTCGCCATGGCCAATGTCAAGATTTCCACTGTCTTGGATGGAGTCCCGAGCACTCGACACTCAATAATTGTATGTGCATCGCGCTGGGACTCAGCAGGATCTCTACTTACCGCCATTGTGGCATCGACGGGGCAATGTCCCCGTCGCTATTATCATTTGGATTCTGATTACTAGCCATTGTTGCTGTTGTTCTTATTGTTTGTTGTTTGTTGTGATTTCCTTGATTTCTGGAGTTCCTTCTACTGTTGTTGTCGTTGCATTACTGTGCAAAACCAGTTCCCTGTGAAGTGGTCAATATCGAGTTTTATGGCAGCCTTTGGTTCGTGGACGGTCGTGTGTGTATGACAAAGCAAGCTCGAGAACCGACTGGAATGACCCGTGTGGATCCGCTTTGCCCGCAACAACAAAAGCGGAAACCGCGGAGTTAGACTGCCGGGATTCAGTCGGGAAGACTGGCCCCAGCAGTCAAAAATATCCAAGAAACCTTTCGAACAACCCCACACGTACCGGTACACATGCCAATTCAAGAAAAAGGGGGCTAAGGGGGTCCCCTTAATTTTGGGTGCTCAAGTCTTACCGGATCTTCGACAGTATCAGAACAAGACTACTGATGAGCAATGGGTGGTACTGAAAGGGCTTTGCTCTTTGATGCTGGCTACTGGTCATTATTTACACCGCATTCAAATTTGTCCAAGATCATTGTCTGGTATATGTCACGCTATACTCTATTTTAAGAAACATATTCAGCGGCAGTTGCCCTGGAGGTGCAAGTTGTTTTTTAGCATTGTTTGTGTGATTTTGCTGAAGGTTCATTCTACGGAAAGCAAACCTAACTGCTGTGGACAGTATCAAGAGATTTGCACCAATTAAAAGCTACCCATTTATGTCTCCATGGATCCCACAAAGCCAAGCCCTTTGGCCCCCGTACTGCTCCTCAATTTTCGTCCCTGCTGATCCCACGGAACCTAGTCCTGAATTTTGACTCTTCTGCGCTTTTAATAAAAGCTTGGCCCTCCTACTCTAAACCCCCTTTATATTGCATTCACTAGATTTGCTAATGAATGGTTTCAAAGCACTGTTTTCCGCACAAGTAGTTCTCAAACATGTTCCCTTTGTCCCTCATCTGCAATGGGTTCAAACGGGAAGCATCCCACCAGCAGCAACCGTCGCAGCCGTGTTTTCTTTGTGGATGCATCATGTTGGTGGCTCCGTACGGTATCAAGATGATGTCTTGTAGAAATTTTTTCTTCATTTCCTTGTTTTTCCACAAATTCAGACAAGAACATTGTATAGGGTTCTTGTGAGCAAGTGCAGGGATATGAGGGGCTTTAAAATCTCTTACCTTTCCCATGACCATGGAAGCTTTACGGATTTATTTGACAGACATGTCCGGGCTCTGTCCTGCGGTCATCGTCTTTTGGATTGGTAGAACTCAACTCCCACGAACCAGGCCGGAATAGTGCTCGTGGGAGTCGTCTTGCTGACTTCCCTTGTGAGCTGGTGACAACGCTACACGTACCATGTAGCGGTACCGTTCGACCGGCACGGTACGATAGCAATAGGTTACGGGAAGTTACTCGGAGCACCTCTGCCTGGCTTCACGGCGGTGGCTCTTGTTGTTTCATTATCAAGTTCGTACTGGCATGGTGCTGTGTTTTCAAGGCTGGGTAGCATTTTTAAATCCCACGCATATCTACGACTCTTGCTTGGCTGTTGTCATCAAAGTCATGGCTAAGGCTGCTCCATTTCCGCCCTCTTCCGCATCTGGCAACTCCGGCCAGCCACAATATGCCAGCATGCAGGGCATCTCGCTCCCTCTCTCGTGGTTTGCTCACAGCTGCGACCAGGTATTGGAAGTCGAGTCGTTGATTGCCTCGCTTCCGCAGTCAAAACGGACCAAGAGCGCAGCCAGGACCAAGGACTATCCCTGCCGAGCTTTTGCCAGCGGCTGCTGACCACGACAGGCGCTCACTCAAAAAGGCCAAAATGGGTACCTGTATGGCATCGTAATGTTGCGGCACCAAGACAGCTACATCTTGGTTTCTCCGCTATTCGTATGTCTGGCGGTGAGAGCGAGCGGCTGGCCTCGTCTACAAATACTTAGAAACATGAAATTAGATAAATGGTGAAGATGATACAGTCTATGTTGTTTGAAACTAGCTACAGCGCATTGGAGAATTGTAGGGCCATGTTTCTTGGGCGGCTTGCGCATCGTCCTCTGTTATTAATTTGTTACTGGCACACTTCATTCGTCTCGTCAAGTAGCTTACAAAGCAACGAAACAACTCGGCTGAACAAGAAGAAAGATCTTCAGAAACACGGTAGCAGGGAGGCCAGGTTGCTTTCAAAGGTTGAGACAGACGTCTCTCCAGCATAATTGTACGCACGATACCTGTACCTTCAAATCAAATCGTTCGGCGCAACACAACTATAGTGAGCCACGATGACACGATGACACGAATAACAAGTCGACTGCCCGTCGGGATCTTATAGAGGAATATTATTCTAAAAAACACTAACATAGCCTCAAAACATGCAAACCAAATCCACCTTCTCTGGGCTGGAGGACAATCAAAAAGGGTCTTGGCTGGGGCTACCATGGAATCGCGAGGGCGGCGGTGATCGTTGTAGCCAGTCGAGTGTCTTCCAATCTTCGACCAATCATTCATTCGTTGGTTACAGCGACGGGCACTTGGTTCTCATGAAGAGGGTTGTTCGACGATGTGTCAACATACACAGAAAGGATCTCTGAAACCCGTTCGCGTATTCGACGCCTCAATCTTCTCTCTTGCTGGTCTGCTTGCTCCTTCAAATCCAACTTTCGGCGTGCCTCTGCTTCTGTCTGTTCGACCTCATCTTTCTTTGCAGTAATGGTATCGTTCGACTCGGGCATTTTGACCTTTTCCTGTTTGGACAAATCCGTCGTTGCTTGTGTAGTATCTTCGTTCCATCCAATTGGTCCCAATATGCCGCAACCGCCACAGGATGCAAATGATAACCCAAATGCAAATTTTGAGCCTTCTGCTTGGTCTTCTGCTGCCATGGTGTTGTGATGACCGTTACATACCACCTCCAAGCGAATCGTCGAGAAAACAAATTGTGAGCTATCCTTTCATTGCAGCCAAGTTCCCTTTTGAGTGCAAGACCTTCCTGTGAGCGGCACACCAGCATACCGAAGCTACCAGTCTTTACGCGCAAGGGATAAGCGCACCTAAACTTGGAAAAGGAGCGCGGCGCTTAGAGGTGCACGTAGCAGGGAACTAACAGTTGTGGCGGTGCTCCAGGGGGTTGAGACGAGGCTGTCTGCCCGCTCAATGGTGGTACATGGAGCGCTCTATGGCTTTTGGTATGACAGTACCAACCAGTACGACTGTACAGTACCGGTGACCAATGACGGCTACAAAAGTTTAGTCGACCATCAAGCAAACTGCCTCCAAGCTGGTACCAGTACCTGGTACCGCACGTGAACTGCCTTTTGCTTTCCGGTTTTCCTATTCTTGCTTCCTTTCCTGGTACATGCAGCCAACATTGATTGCAGATTGAACGGGTAGCTACCTATGGGCTGCAGGTTCATGCATACTACAGCAACCTGAAGAAAGCAATGACTAGCTAGCTACCGGTAGCCAAGGAGCCCGCCCCGCTGCAAATCCTACACTGGTTTCGCTTTCTCGCGTTGCCCTAACCAGCTAGACTAGATACGGTAGGGTGTGGTAGAATGTGGTATTGTGAAGCCTTCTACCTGCTGACAGTTACTTTCGTGGCTTTGCCAAGGACCTTTTTGGCACAACTTTTTGGCAGAGCCGCAAAAGCACTGTACCAAAGGTACGAGCTCAAACAGCGCATTGGCGTACATCTCTCGTAGGAGACATACGGGACGCAGGCATGTGGCCAAAATGCCAGTCCCGTGAACTTGGTTAACTGGGAATGACATCACCAGATTTTAAAACAATTTCGCCCACACTTTTTGGAGCCGTGACGAAACGATCTCACCAACCACTACCACCACCTCTTTCACACCAAACAAGCAACCATACTAGTACCTTTGCCGCTACACGCAGAAGAAGAAGTACCACCATGGGCAACATGGCACTGGCGGGGATCCCCCCCGAAATTACGATCGAGATGAATCTGGATTGGTCCGAATTCCCGCCTTGGAGCGTAATGTGGGTTGGGTTGTACTTGGATATGATATGCACACCTCTTCAATGTGCTTGGCGAAATTATGTCCCTTTCGGACTGGCTGATCCAGGGGGGTGGTTATCAGAACAATACGCAGCTAGCAATATTGTGAACATGCTGGACACGCCATTAACCTTTGAGGCATTTCAAGCAAAAAAGGGCTTCGATGTCACACCTGGCTCTGGTTTTTTTGCTGGATGGCAAGACTTTAACCAATGGTCCCAATCAGCATATGAGTACGCATTCCACACGCCCTCAACTTCCTTTTCAAATCTATTCACCCCTACCGCACTGGTGACGGTGGCTTTGCTGGTCATGCTTTTCAAAGGCTTCAAGGCAGTGGTTATGCCCCGATTTCAATCCATTGGACGCTCGCTTGCTAGGTCAGCACATGGAGACGAGTGGGTCGAACAGAATGACGAACGAATTTATAAATTTGGGGAGTACGTCTATCGGCTGGTGTATCACTCTTCCATCAGCATTGCCGCCTTGTACTTCTACTTTCACGCTCCTTGGTGGGATGAAAGCCGGGGCGGCACTATCAATTTTTATAAAGGATTTCCCTTCGATCCTGTGTCTCCTGCCATGACGTGGTACTATGTGTTTCAGGCTGCCTACAATGTGGATGCCATGATCAGTTTGCTACAAATATCCTTCAATGTCACTTTGTTTCCCAGCGATTCTGTTTTTCCCATATCGGTTGGCTGGTCGGAAACTGTCCGAGGTGATTTCAACGAAATGATGGCGCATCACATTGCTACCAATGCCCTGATTTATCTATCATCCTATTTTGCCCAAACACGAATTGGCTCGGCGGTTTTCTGGATGCATGATATCTCGGACGTCCCAGTGGATCTGTGCAAACTTGCCAATTTTGTCAAGTGGAAGTCAGCCACGGTTTTTGCCTTTATCTTTCTGAACTTGGTCTGGGCGTACACTCGCTTGGGTGTTCTTCCCTTCACCATATTGAGATCACTCCACTCGGAATCTTACGAAACAATACGGGGTGCGGATAGAATGAACGTGGCCTACTACGCCTTCCAACCAATGTTCATGGGACTGTTGATGGTCCTTGTTATCCTTCATTCTGTATGGTTCTCCATGTTTATCAAAATGGGATACATACTGGCAACCAAGGGAGAAACCCACGACATCACAGAACACAAAAAGGGAGAAAAGCAAGACGTTCCCAATGGCAATGGTGTTCCCAACGGCAATGGCGTTCCCAATGGCAACGGTGTTGCGGTCAACGGCAACATCAAAAAGACCAACTAGCAAAATTTTCATGCGAAACCAAAACCAAACAGAATAATCTTCCATACAAGAGAAAAACTGGCTGGCCCTGAATCGAGAAGTAGACAGTTTGGTAATCAAAGTATTGTCTGTATAGAAATGCGTAACATCCGTGGCAACGAAACCCTCCTCGATTATTCGAGCTAGACGGCGAAGGATGCTAAGGAGTCCGTAGAAATTGCAAGGCAGGAGAGTTTTGAATATTCCGGTGTTGTGCACTGTGCAAACCTGATGATTGAAGATTCCGGTGCATCAAATCAAACCACTACATGTGCCAGTACTAGCATCTAGAAATTTTGGTATGATGCCCTTTATCATGGCGTTTCACAGCAGATGTCGCATCAAGCGGATAGCGGCTCCAACTGCCAAAAGAAGGCTCTATGTATGTACCTGTGATCGCGACTCGGGCCCACTCTATTAGATCTACTCTAGTAGACCTACTAGACTAGTACATGTATGTAGTCTAGTTGGAGGTGGTCGCGCAAGTAGAAGAGTGCCTGTGGTGTGGTACCGGTACCAAAGGAGGGTGAGTATGTAAACACCACTTAGCCGGCTTTTAAGAATCAAGAAAGCTTCGCGGCGGACCGGTACCGACGTGGTGCCAACAACCAGAATGAATAAGCTGGCAATCTGGCAATGGTATCGGTACTAGTATCAGGAACATGTATGTAGGTAACCTTTCCATGAACGATAATCTATTACCTATTGAGAGGGGTATCGGTACCAGGTACATTGGCTTTGGAAGACTTGTCCTATCTCAGCTTTGTTGGTTCTGCTTTGAAGAAGGACCAGCATGAGTGAAGTGAAGGAATCGACCATCAGGCAAATGACACGTCTAGCCAATGAGCATTGCGCTGTAAATCTCAGCCAAGGTACTACTAGTACCGCACCGTTTTTGTTGCAATTCCCTTTTCGGTTTTGCCTTCTGGGATAGTACCTTACCCTCCTTTCTCTGGTGTCTTTTTGATAAGGCTTCCCCAATGAGGCACCACCACTTGATGTCAGACTGGCTTTGGCGCATGCTGTGGTGGTAGGACAGCCAGTGGAAGAAGGTGACGAGGGCAACCATCATCACTACAACTCCCTTCTTCGGCATCTTTCTTCCATGAGCATGTCATCTTCTTCCGAGACTCCCAGCGAGGATATCAGTGATAGTGGCGGTGGTCTTTCTAGCGATATCCTAAACCAATATTCCCCGCCCATGGGGCGTGGGGATCTGAGATCTGCCATTTCTGCCTACTACAAGCGGTTATACGATTATGACGTCGACAGTGACAACATCACAGTCACTCTCGGTGCTACCGAAGCTGTGGCATCGTCACTGCGGTCGCTTGGAAAGCCTTCAGACAAGGTGGTGATCTTTGAGCCTTTTCATGAACTCTACCCATCTCAATGCCGTCTATTCTATTTGCAACCAACCTATGTGACCCTCAGGCCGGCACACGACAACGCTTCATGGATGTTTGACCCCTTGGAACTGGAGGAGGCCATGAAGGATGCCCGTTTGCTCATTCTGAATACTCCTCATAATCCTACGGGAAAAGTATTCACGCGCAAAGAGCTGCAAATCATTGTGGATCTTTGTTTGAAGTACAGTGTGGTAAGAAACCCGTTGCTTTTGTTTCCTAGCAAAAAAGTCTGCCTCCACAATACTCATGGCTTCCGTTCAGTACGTGATTAGTGACGAGATTTACGAGCACATGTGCTATTCCGAAAGCCATGGCCACATATTGTTGCCTCAAGCCTTTCCAGAAGTAGCCAACCTCTGTTTAATCTGCAACTCTTTGGGGAAGTCGGCTTCTGCCACTGGTTGGCGATTGGGCTGGTGCATCCATCCTCCTCACATCAGCGATACATTTCGAGGAATCCATGATCAGTTGGTGGTCATGTCACCGCACCCTGTACAGTATGCCGCATTGACGTACTTGTCACTGCCTGATCAGTACTTCCGCGAAGAGCTTAAGGAACGGTACCAAGGCCGGATCAAGCTACTTGCGGGGACACTACAGGAACTAGGTTTTGGTTTGACACCCGTGGAAGGAGCTTACTATCTGTTTGTCAGGTACCGAAATGTAAAGGCATTGGCCTATTTCGACAGTCCCATGGAAGCTGCCATGTATCTGTTGGAAAAGGTGGGAGTGGCTTGTGTCCCTGGGGATAACTTTTATGGGAAGGCTGTTGAGGAGCAAGGGAACCAATATCTGCGATTTGCAGGATGTCGATCGGAGGCAGATATCAAAGAAGCATGTTCCAGGCTGCGGGCTCACCTTGGATAGATAGTTATCAAGGTGGTTCCTGACCAGTGCCCGCATGCCCGTTTTAGGTAGCGTCCCAGAGATATATAGAGACGGTATGATACGTACCGTACCGTCCAGCTAGGCCTTCATTATTTTTTCCGCTGATTTTTCTTGTAGCTAGGGTACTGGTAGTACATGTAGTCCGATTAGATTGAACGAATCGAATCCTCAAATCCAGCTTCAGTCGTCATCATCTCATTCGTGCATCTGGGCTGACGAGACGCTGACCACCCACTTTGTGAACGAGACGGCCGAAGAAATTCTGGGCGTCCACTAGCTAGATCTACTGGAACTGTTTACAGAACTTCGGTGCTCCCTGTCTTATTCATCTCTACCCGCGTAGGACTTCAATCAGTATTTCCACTTGACCAAATCAGTTTCACCATGATGAATGCCCCACTCAAGCACCCCCTTCTCCCTCTCCTTCTGCTGGCCTTGTGTGCCGCAAGATCCACTGCTTTTGTTCCGTTGATGACAAGACATCTCCAGCAGACAACAACATTCATGACAATTGTGTCTCCTTTTGATGAATCCGGCGAGTCTGCCTCCGAGGATACGGCTGTTGCTACCAAACCAAATTCGATCGGGGAAGGTCCCTTTGATCTGACTTGGGAAAATGTGGAGATGGTACTGGACGAAATGAGGCCCTACCTGATCCAAGATGGTGGCAATGTTATTATTCAAGAAATTGATGGACCTGTGGTCAGACTGGAGCTTCAGGTAAGATAGTCACTTCTGAGTGAACATTTGCATGATATTTTTATTTGCGAGCCTGACACATGTAATGAATCAAACGGCATTATGAACACAACAACAATATATTATGATATCCTACAACCATGCTACATAAAAACAGGGAGCTTGCGGTACTTGTCCATCTAGTACTCAGACGATGAAGATGGGACTGGAAAGAGGGCTGAAGGAGAAAATCCCAGAAATTCAAGAGGTCATCCAAGCCATGCCAGAAGGGCCACCTCTCAATGAGGAACAAGTGAATGTCATTTTGGATGGAGTTAGACCATTCCTTCAGGTGGCTGGTGGATCTATCGAATGCAATAGATTGGAAGGAGTGGATGGTCTCCAACCAGCCATTTATCTCGAAATGAAGGGAAGCAGTGCTTCGCTCAACAGCGTCAAATTGGAAATTGCTCAACGATTGCAAAAGCACTTTATGATGGCCGGGTTGCGTGTGGAATGGATCGGAGACTAAAACACAAATCCCAACAAACTGGACCCCAGATGCATCTTGCTGTACACAACAACAAATCTTCCAGTTTGGTTCCAATTCTTGTGAAAGAGGAGACAACACAACATAGGTGCATACCTAGACTGTAAATAACTCGAGGGTGAAGTCCTCTGACGAACATGTACATGTACGTGTGTAGCCATCGATATCCAGGATTAATTAATTGTTCAGGAATCACAACTACAGCAGTAATCAATTTTTTTCCAAGATCTCTTACGAAATAAGAGGGAAGGTGCCCACTACTACTTCAGCTTGACACGTTTTGTGGGAGGACTGGACCCACTGTTAAGGTCTGCAGCCGAACCACTCTCTGAGCGTTTTCCTGCGTCTGCTGCGCGGTGATCGGTATCTGCCACCTGCATTGTAACGTCCACATCAACGCGTTCCTCTTCTTCGTGAACAAGGTCTTCATCCTGAGGAACCATCAACATTGCCTCACCATCGGGCAAGAAGGAAAAGAAAATCCTAGCCTTAGAAGAATCGTATTGAATGCGGTAATTCGCTTCCGCTGTCACGCCCAGGCAAAGCGAGCGCAATCGAACCGGGTCCTGTAAGGCACAAAAAGGTACAGTGAGTTAAATTCAAGGAACCACACAAGACGCGTGCTAAAACAATACTTCATGTACAACTCCATCGTACCATCTGGCGGGGCAAACAGTAGTCAAAGATACGAAGAAGCGCGTCTTCTTTGGCGACGTTCAGTAGGGCATCGGCACACTTGTCAATGAGCTTGGGCAAAACGGCCATCTGTTGGACCTTTTCCTTTGACACGCGGCGACAGTAGGATTCAAAGTCCTTCGCCTCAACCTTGCGGCACACAACTTTCTCAAGCATGGAAACAACGCCAGAGAAATCCGCGGGTGGTTTTGGTGTAGAAGATCGTCCCATACCCAATGGTGTGGGAACAACGTAGCCAGCTTCAGGTGGATCCCCAGGTGGAAAGACCTTCAGATTTTCTCGTGTGTCGGTCAAGAGCGACACAAGGAGACAGTACATGCGCATGAAAACATAAACACTCTCCGTGGCAAACATCAGTTGGAACTTCTTGTCCAGCTTCTCGGCATAGAGTTCGTCCCCTGTTGCAGCAGAAGATTCATCCCTAGCCATCACCCCATCTCGTCGCGCCATTATGCCACCGTTGGGCTGTGCGACAGAATGCAGAATCGCTGATGGGCGAACAGAGCCAACGCCAAATGGAAGCCTCACTCGATACCGGCACCCCATGGATGGATTGCCTTCCATGTAGGACATGATGTTTCCTTCCCCAAACGCTGTCCTTACTCTTTGGCCAGTAGCATCTGCAAGACACAGTCAATGCAGAGACAACGTGGATGGGGTTAGCGACAGAGCAAAGACGATTTCGACGACTCTCTCGGAAGCATGCTCACATTTCACTACACCAGGGCTCAATTTCCCACGGAAACTCTCTCGGAGTTCGTTGAGAATCCAATGCGCAGGCAGTCCAAACCACGGCAAAATAAACTCTGCCCATACTCTACCGACAGCTTCTCGCTCGGCTTTCGTGTACAAGGAGCTAGTTTTGATCTTCGTTGTGATCATCTTGAAGGCATCGTGATGAGAAGGGAAAGCGGCCTTACCGAGTTTGACGCTGATATGAGGCTGGAATAGCATAACCTCAGGTTCGGAACACTTTCGGGAGAACGAGGGTACAAATTTGCTCGTAGCGGGATGGTTCTTCACCTTGTTGGGGTGCTTGCTGTAGTGCTTGGCACGCTTGCATTCCTATGAAACATGACAAAGAAGTAACGTATGAGACACGGCGACGTGCATCCGAAATCATCAGCTTTGAGTTTCCCAAGAACTTACGTCAATGAGCTGATGCGAGGCGAAACTTCTTTCCAACTCCTTGCGGTAGAAGTAGCAGAGGTAGTCCATGCTGCCTTCGTAGTTCTCCTCGTAAAGTCTATTCCACCGTTCTTGCAGTTCATTTTTGGCCTTGCGCCAGTCACTGTCCTTTTGTCGCAGACGCTGGTAAACGGTCGGCAAAACAACCAGCGGATTGCGAACAAGATGCTGAAGCACTTCGTCTCCGTGCTCGCCGTAGATCCTTCCAATCGCGTTGATCAAGATTGTATTCATGGCATATCGCTTCAGCTGATACTGCAGTCTGCCGATAGGCTGTCCATCCTTTTCCTCGTTCTGGCGCATCTCCAATACTTCTTCGGCGTAAGGCTCGATCTGGCGCATGGCCTGTGAATTGCGCTCGATTGCCATATCGACCTCATATCGTTCATCCTCGATCTTGAACATCATCTCTTCGTATGCATTTCGCCGAATCCGAACGCCATCGTAATCCTCAGGGGAACTGGTCATATGCTTCCTTGAACTCCTTTCCACGCCAACGCAAACGACCTCAGTGTTCAAAACTGAAGCGTCTTGCTCCGACTCTCCAGGGTTCGTGATGAAAAGGCTCTGCGGATAGTCAGATGGGATGGTCCGATACGATGGCGTTGGCTTCTCGCAAGTCGAAAAGTCAAAGTCCCGAGTTCTCAGAGCGCCGTACTTAGACTTGTCCTTGAAGTTTGTTTCTTGATCAGCGTATGGACCTCGCCCAACAAGAATCTGCAAGAAAACAAGATCAGAAAGTGTGAATACTGGTCAGAAGAGGAAACGAATGAAAACTAGACCGAGAGCAAGAACCACTGGCTGGTCGCAACTTACATCTTCAAACTCCCTGAGCAAGCTATGAGCGTCACTGGCAACAGAGGGATTCGACACGCCCCCGCCAGCGTTGATTCCTGTCTTGGGTGCATGACCCTGCATGAAGAGACCCTTCAGTAACAATACAAGCTCCTCTTTTGTCACAATTCCGGCGCCAAAGAGGTGCAAGCATTTCAGGAACTCGGCATATGGAGTGTGACGGCGTGACCCAGCGGGCTTGTCGGGTGCCAGTTCCTTTCTGTTCAAATGCTCTTTGGCGCGCTGAAAGAATGCACTTTCCGATGTGTTTGGATGCCTTGGCAGCTCGGGGATATGGGTAGGTCTTCCTTTCTTGGCAGCTGCCTGGCTAGGATTCAACTCGCCTCTTCTGGGAGGCGGAACCGGTCCAAACGAGACAACACCGTAATGAGCACTTCGGATAATCTCCCTTTCGCGTTCTTCCAGTCTGCCTTGGGAAGCCCCAAAGGGAGCCGGCACAGGCGTCGGCTGAGCGGAGTAGGATGGAGCTCGTGGGGGCATGGCCCCAACAGGTTGAGCCCGTGACACAGGCTGCTCAGCAGGTCGCTGCATCTTTTGAGCGACTTTCATGATGGCCTCTTTGGAGGATCGTGCAGCCTTGCGTGCTTCTGATTCTTTTGCAGCTGCTTCCAGCTGTTGCTTTGCCTGCGCTTGTACAGCGTCTGGGAGGAAGTACGTGAACTCCTTCAATAGATCCGGATGATCCGCAAATAGTAGCGATACTTCATCTAGCACCTCCTTGATGCCTCGCTGTTCCTTTTGGTAGGTGTGCAGGATTTCTAGGAACTTCTTGTAGGTTTCAGGCTCACTTGAGAAACGTTTTTTGATTGTTGTCACATAGTTGATGGCATGATCAAACTCCAATGGCGGTTGCTGTCCTGGTTGGGCCTGCTGTGGTTGCGGCGGTTGTTGTTGTGGTGCCTGAGCATTGGGTGCTTGAACAGCCCCCTGCATCATCCCTGTACCTGGAGCAATGGGACCAGGCAAAGCCACAGGACCAGCAGGAGAGGGGCGCTGAGGGACGCCAGCCACCATTCTTCCCGGTCCAGCAATGGTTCCACCATCGAGTGCATCAGCTTGTGGGGATGCTAGTCCTCCCATGAGTCCTCCCGCTGGCCTTGCAGGTATGCCTCTTCCTGCCCCAGGGGATGCTGCTACTGCGGCTGCTCCAAGACCTGGACCAGCACCACGTCCACCTGGTGCTGCTAGTTGTTGTTGCTGCTGCTGCTGCTGTTGTTGTTGTGCCCTAGCCATCTCCGTCATGACAGTGGGTTGTTGTTGTTGCTGCTGCTGCTGTCCAGGAGAAGCAGCAGGACGGGGCAGTTGCTGTTGTTGTTGTTGGCCCAACAGAGGGCGACCAAATCCACCTGGCGTCGCAACAGAGGGCACTGGTTGATCGACACCAGGAGGAGCTTTTGGTTGTCCCAACATGGTGGGAGGTCCCGATTGCTGTCCTGCCAAGTTGGCGGCGGCGGCAGCTGCTGCTGCTGTTGGCCCATGTGCATGCTGTCGCATGGCAGCGGCGGCAGCAGCAGCCGCCGCTGCCGGCCCCAAGTGGATTCCTTGCCCCGTTACTGCTTCGGGACGCGCCGCCACACCGGGTGCTTGTGCGGCGGCAGCAGCTGCTACCGCTACTGCATGAGCCACGGCGGCAGGCGGGGCTTCAGCTCTGGGCAGTGGTTGTGGAGCAGCCGCTACTGGTGGGGGTAGTGGGCCACCGAGTGACATGGCTCTTCCATTAAAGACTGCTACGGGAGGACCTTCTCCATCCATTGGCAGTTCGATCTTGTACCCCTCGGGAAGGAATGTGTTGAATCCAAGGACAAGCTTTTTGTTGCCTTGAAAAAGATTGGAGACTCGGCGAATAACCCCAGGAGTGTCAATCTGTTGTGTCTTGAACGTTTTCATGATATCGAGGAACTCGTTGTAGATGTGTGGACGGTCCCCGAACTCCACTTTGACCTGGTCCAGGTATAGGAGAGCATCCTCCACTCGCAACTCCCTCATGGTGACAAATCAAACAATCCAGCTCTCTTTCTCTATTACGGTATACCCAATGGGGTATCCAGTCTTCTTAATAAAACTCACTTTCTCACTCAGTCAGAAGTGGCTTGTCTGCCAGCGAGTGCTTCTGACAGGGATGTCTTGCCACCAACTTTCCTGATACTGTCAACAAAGTAACGACCAAGAGCAGTTGTTAGTTTTGGGTTGTGTCTTCACTTTTTATTGCCGTGTATCGGAACTGTTGAAGCTTTGAGTGACGAGTCCAGTCGGTCGACTGAGTCCAGAGCCAGAATCAGATATCCAGTCAACAGTCTGGAAGATGACAATGGTCCGTTTGAACTTGTGCTGCTTTCCAAGGTGCCAATGCAGAACGAAGACTGTCAACGAAAAAGAGCAGCGCTCACTTGTCCTTCAGAGAGACCTTCTCGACCACATTATGGCCAAAGGAGACCACTGATGGTGATATCAACAACACTCCACGCCACTTTTGTCCCAGCGGCCTCATTTTCTGAAAAAACAATACCGGCTTCGCGTAGAACGAGTACCAGCGTCTCGTAGGATACACAAGCAGTCACCCTCCATGGTTCCATCACAAATTCGACCAAACCTCATTTCCACTCCAATCAAATTCGCCGCAAAAGCCATCACAGGCTCACAACATCATACTCAACAAGATACCGTAACAGCACGGTTGGGGAACGCCTCCTTCCTTCAATACGCATCATGGTCAGCTTACCTTAATCGCCAGAGGAAAATTTTGAAAGGGACCTTGCCTTCTGACGACGCCGTCTCTTTCAGTGGTGTGCGGAAAACTGCGCGACCGAACCATTTTTGACAGCAAGGTGGATTGTTTATACTTTTTACGCCTATAGTAAAGCTTGGAGAATTAGAATGTTGAAGATTGACATTTTTGATGGAATCGATCCAATAAATGAGTCTGATCTGATCCATGCATAAATGTCGCATTAAGGAATCTCCCCCGGCTCCACTGCAGAGCTGTTGAGGCACCACCAATAAAGTAACGAAGGCACTCCCCTCCAACCAAGACCAAACAACTTTCCAAACAACACTCGATCGTACCGGTACCAATTTGAGTTGGTCTAGAGTTTCAGCTGGGGCTCCTTCAGCATGGCAATCTTTCTTTTGATGCATCTTGTGGAGATTTGGAAATCCTCAAATGTACCCAAGAATTTTGCAATGCTGGTTTTTCTCCAGAGCTGTGAAGAAATATATATTTGGAAGCAATCAAACGAGCTAGTAGAGAAAACGGGTGCCCTTAGGGATGCGCAGCCAAGAATGTAGTTTGTAATACACAGCAGCAAGGACGACAAATTGCACTGCTAGTACAGTGGCATCTTGGTAGGGTACAATGGTCCTGCTCAGCTACGACACAACACAGCCACTTGCCAAATGCGTTATCCATTTCGTAGTTTCAATCCAATCACACTTGCAATAGAAACTCCATGGCTTTCGCCCCTATTGTCTATAAGGGGTCATCTTTTTCGACCACTGGTAGCATGGAATATGCTGCGAGAAAAGCTTGCCCCGTCACCTCGAGTTGCTGTTTGATTGATTCGTTCGTGATCGGCTCGAGAAACAATTCGCTCAATGATTTCTCCACTCCCCCTGACGAGCCGATAACGGCCGGATTCTTCGTCGTATACCTCTCTTATCTTGGAATTCTCGGCGTCATACTGGGCTTTTGACATGGGGACCATGGAACGGGCTTTTTGTTGCTTCTTTTGTCGTTCTGCCCCGTCATGTTGTTGTTGTTGATCCCGAACTACGGACGTTTCTTCTTTTGAGCGATCAATGCTTTGTGGGTTAGGGGTTTCTGCGATTTCGTGTTTGCTGTCGCTTCCTTCGGTCTCCTGCTGATCCGTCTCTTCCTCTTTCTGAAGCGCTTTCCTGCTCGATTTCCTCTCTTTGGATTTCCGTTCCTTTCTATGCTTTCTTCTTCGCCTTCTTTTGTAGTTGCTATCGTCATCTGAGGAACTGCTGTCACTGCTGTTTCTGACCGAATGCTTTCGATGCCGTTTCTTTCGATCCTTCCTCCTTTTGCGCGTCCTCTGTTTTCTACTTCCTCCCGAATCCTCATCATATCGCCGAGAGGTGCTGTGACTGTGACTTCTTTTGGGCTTCTTTCTTCTCGACGAAAGCGAGGATTCATCGGATGAGACATCACCATTGCGTCGTCGCCTCCTTCTAGGCCTCCTATCCTCTTCCGAAGACATTATGCAATGCAAAGAGCAGCTTCCAGCAAGTAGTTTACTGCATGGTTGCGGTGAGTTGATGCGGAAAATGAAGGGAACAATAAAAATAAAATAATAAAAATAAGATTTGCACCTGCACCCGACCACGAGCTGCGTCTTTCAAGTATTATTGTAGTACCATGGTAAGTTTAGAAGCTTTTGACGAAACGGTGAGGTAGACCGTAGAGGATACAAGCTGCTGCTTGAGTTCCTGGTTGCCCCGACCATGGCAACGCTTAGCTGCAAGCTGCTACTATCTAATACCAGCCAGCAAGCACCACCCTCGTTGCAGTTTGTCAGAGAAAGATAGCACGGTTCCAACACCGGTGCATGTTTTTGCTAATTCTACGTTGCAACACTAGCTAGTACCACAACGGATGAGCAACGAAGATATTAGACAGAGGACACAAAACTATGCACTGCTACTAAAACTAAATGCTTGCAGAGTCATCATAACTCATGAAGGACCATGGTCATTCCAAAAATAACGTGTGGTCGTTTGGCCAAGGCCAATCCAACAAGTTCTCCCCACTTGGTACAATATCCACACATCTAGAGAGCTCTATTGCCCGGCTGCAATGCTTGAGAGGTTATTTTCATTTCGTCCGTTCATTCAGCTGCCACTGGTTCGGAGGCTGGAGTTGCGGAGGCGGGAGCTTCGGAGGCTGGAGTTGCGGAAGTGGGAAGCAAAATGATGGGCTCTTTGGCATCGTTGTTCTTCTGTGAAGTTGCATCCTCCTCCTTTGGAACTGCAACTTCCTCCTTTGGAACTGCAACTTCCTCCTTTGGAACTGCAGCCTCCTCCTTTGGAGCCGCAGCCTCCTCCTTTGGAGCCGCAGCCTCCTCCTTTGGAGCTGCATCCTCCTCCTTTGGAGCTACATCTTCCTTCTTTGGAGCTACATCGTCCTTCTCTGGAGTTGCATCTTCTTTTGTAGTTGTGATTTCGTCTCTTGGAGTTTCGTTTTCGTCTTTTGGAGTTGTGACTTCTTGAGCTTCCTGAGTCTTGGCATTTTCTACGATCTCTTTGGGTGTTGCGGCTTCATCGCGGGATTCGGGCTCCTTAGGTTGTACTGGGGCAGTAGGCTCGGGGACCTTTTCAGCGTTGTCGTCATCTTTGCTCTCTACGCCTAGACCAGACAGAACCATCTTTCTGTAGTTCATGAGCTCCGACAATCTGGGAACTTCAAATGCCGTTGAACTGGCACTGCTCCTAACGGAAATCTCGGCGGAGGCAGCCTTCGACAGTTCCCTACTCAGGCCGAAGGCCTCTTCCTTTGGGTTGACCTCAGGTTTGGCTACTTCCTTGTCATCAGGCTTGGCACCTGCGTCGTTGGCATCTGAGTTCTTGGCCTCGAGTTCTTTCTCTGTTTTCTCCTGGGTCTTGCTTCCTTTGCTCTTATCATCAAAACCAGCTTCGTTAAGGACCTTGGCTCGAGCGTCGGCAAGAGCCTCCAGCAAGGCGGCAGTGTCCACGGAGATGTCTTCAACCTGGTAGGTGCCAACAGACTCTTCTTCCTCGGATCCATCCGATGCCTGCTTCTTTTTCTTTTTCTTTCCAGCCCCAGTGATTCTTGCGATGTACTTGGCCACTGCTTTGGCCACCGACTTCTTGGACGAGAACGTTCCGGCCGTCCCCACTGTTTCGTCATCTAAATCGATGACAGCTTTCTTTTTCTTGCTTTCGGCGGGCCCTTCACTAGCCTCCTTCGTTGCAACTCCAGGAGCATCAACGCCAGCATCCTTCGCCGTCATCTCGACACTATCATGTTGATTCTCCTTAGCGGGCTCCTGAGCTTTCTCAGTTGCCCCATCCTTCGTCTCGTCGGTTTTCTCCTCAGTTTTCTCAGGAGATACCTCACCCGACACAGCACCAGCAGCAGCGGTGGCTTCCTCCGGTCCTTCGCGGGCATCTGTCGCATCGGCGGTAGCTCCAACATCTTCATCAAACAAAGACTTGGAGCCCACCGTTGCATCCTTGTCGATCCCAAACGCGTGACCTACGGCTCTCTTCATGATGGAAAAGCTCGACGCGCTAACCTCATATTCAGAGTCAACCGTCTGGTTCGAGCAATTTCCACAAGAAAACACCATCGTTGGATCGAGTTACAAATACCAGAAGCAGGACGTTAAAACCTTCTGTAGCGCAGTGCCATTGGCTTGAGAAGTAAAAAATGAGAGAGCAAAAATCAAACTGAAGGGTACACAAATGCGTAGTCTCGACGGTATTGTCGCCAAACCCGTGCAACGGTTTAAATGTTGCCATGAATCCAGGTCTACATAGCCGCATCGTCAGTTGGCAGCGCACCTATTAGCCAATCATCGAGGCATTGTTCGAGCTGTTCGCTGCCTCCAACGCAACACAACCAATTTGACCGTTGGGAAGCATTGCCCGAATGAGTCGAGTCGAATGAGTCGAATCGAATGAGTCGAATCGAATCGAATCTTTGTGTAATTACGAATCGAATCCTCCTCTCTTCCCCCGGCTTACAACTCTTGCTCGAGCGCGTCACGATGAACTTTGAAGCCTCTGACCGTGAGATGCGAAGGAAAAAAATCCATGTGTTAGGTCTAGCTAGACTCGACTCTAGTTAGGATTCTGGGGAGGGAGAAGACAGAGTTGCAGAAGCAAGACTTTGCTTAGTGTGCACCAGGTGCCAGGTGCCAGCGCCAGTCTGTTACAAACTTAGGGTTTTTTGCTTTTTAACAGGTCCAGTTCCCAAAGGCCGTGCGTTGTTTCATGGATCAAGCAACCCAGACTTATCATACTTGGCTGGCTGGGCCATAGCTACTCCTTTTTTGAATTGCTGCTCGGGTGCGGTTGCTGGGGCTTTCGTCTATGCTCATACAGTGAGGAACCGGCATGTATCCAAGTCAAGTACGACTGCGGGTTTCGTCGGTCGCCGACTACTGTACTGTACCTGTTTGCAGGCAGGATATTCATACTACCTATGAGTGCAAGTAGTTTAGTCATACCAGTAGATCGGAGCAGGCAGGAACAGTAATTGAGCTGCTGGTTGCTTTTGACATCGCTGCCTCTTCGCTACGTGGTGATCGTCGTAATCACTCGCACGGAGCATCGTCTTTCTAGTGTCCTTGAGCTCTACCGGTACCTCTAGCTAGCTACTGTACCAGGTAGTTAGACTAGAGGTCCAAGCAAGGGCTAACATTGGTGGTACCACCTGGTACCAGTACCTTGGAAGCGGTAACACCCAATTCCGAGCCTGCAGTTAGTTAGCTGGGACTCTGCTGACAGACAAGGCTCCTCCAGCTCAGATTGCGTGGGAGTTTCCACACCTCGCGCGTGGCATTTATCTGCCGTTGATTAATTAGCATCAATTAGTAGAACTTAACCGACTGTCCGCCGAAGGAAGGATTGAGTTCTGCATTGCCTTCAGGACAATGGCGCCCTTGACCTTCCATTGGAGACAACAGCAAGTAGAACGCAAAGAAAAGTGGATTGCTTTACTACCTGAACCCTGGCCACTTGCTAGAGCCAGCTAGCGTGGGCTGGGCTCTTTTGGTGTTGATGTCATTATCGGTGGTTGTTTTGTTTTTATCTGCACGGATTGGCGGAAGCAAAGACCTTGCTTACCCCACTACAATACGCTTCTACCATCATCCTTGACAAAAAGGTGACCAAGCTAGTCGGCTCCTTGCTTCATCAAGATGGAAGGGTTTCGCACAAGCCTCGAACGTGCTATCCGCATGGAAGACGAGATTGACTGGTCTGTCCACACGGTTGACTATGTCATGTTCAAGCGGAGGCTGCGTGTCTTTGCTAAGAGACGGTCGCGTCTTCGAGAGCTGATAAGAGCTTCACCGGATGAACGCATTCCTCAAAATGTTGTCACTTCGATTCTGGGTCCCATTGCCTATCAATCACCGGCGCTAGCCTTTCTAGGAATGAAAGCGGAAGAGGCCAGAATGCAAGAAGAAGAAGCAAGGGCGAACCTCAACAATTCAGAAAACTCAAACTATTCACAACACTTTATCAATATACCACAGAACATGGACCGCAGTAGCAGTTATTCTGGAAGTGGTGGTGGTGGTGGTGGTGGTGGCGGGGGGAACATCTTGGGGGAGCCATCTCCTGCTCCTGGCCCAGGAGACTATGTGCCATTCGTCGACAGCAGTACTTCCTCCATGTCAGGTACTCGATTGGCGAATGCCGTGTCATCTCATCCTGTGCTACATCAGACAATGCAACAAACAACAGATGTAGAAACCGTCACAGATGCACAAGTTATGCCTCAAGTGGCCTCTCAAGAACCTCAACATGATTTGCTACAGACTAGTTTATCATCGAGCAAATCCGATGCCTCTTTACCTCCTAACATGCCCGTGAATCCAGAGGCAGTCAAAAGACTCAAGAAGAGGGCCATTTGGAGAAGCGTATCCAATGCGGAACGAAATGAACTCGTCTTATTCTTGACATGGGAAATGGACAAGGTAGCCATGTTTTATCTGGCACGGTGGCAGCGACTTTCACAGCTCATTGTGGCAGAGCGACCCTCTGTTTCATTGGGTGACGAGATATTGGAACTGATTGCCTTTTGTACCATTAACGTCGTGACATTGCGACAGATTCTGATCCGATATGACGCCTTTGCGCGTACCTTTGAGGGAACCCCTCTTCTCGACTACTACATGAAGCGCGTCAGCAGGAGACAAACGTCCTTTCGAAAAGTGCTCTTTCACGAGGAGTTGAATGCCTTGGCGGATCTCTTTGTGGATGAAATGTCCCCAGAGCCGGCCATTTGGACGGCGTTTGAGGGACAGCGAAGAATGTTCAATGACATTCTGGAAAGAACACAGCGATCGGAAGCTGTGGCGTCCACGGGGCGAGAGCTTGTCACAGACAGCTTTGTCCATACTCTGCGGCATTACTTTCTTCTGGGAGGAATTGAAGATGCCCTGGGGCTGCAACCAGAGTTCCTGACACTTCGAGGACAAAGTCTCACAGGGGAGATGGCCAAGTTGGCAGAATGGAGGAAAAGGAAACACTTGGAAGCAGAACCGCCCGAACAGGAACAGAACCCTCGCCTCAAGCCACAAGAAATCTTCCAACTGACATTGACTTTGATTGCCACCTTCCTGTATTGCTTGAATTACTACATTGTGGAGCCATCCAGCACCATGTACTGCAATGCCCTGGGAGCCTACGATGCCATGTCTGGATTTCTGATTGGTATGACACCTCTGGCGGCGTTCATATCCGCAATTCCCTACTCTATTTGGACCAATCGGACCTTCCGCCAACCCATCATACTTTCGGGGTGTTTGCTGATTCTGGGGAATCTCTTGTATGCAAGCGCTTACAATTTCCAGTCCATCTATGTAGCGCTAGCTGGGCGGTTCTTGGTGGGGCTTGGAGCCCCGAAGGTGTTTGTCAGGCGGTACATGGCAGACACGACCCCTATCAATATACGAACTAGTGTCAATGCTGGCTTTGGGATGGTGGTCGCAGTGGGATCTGCTCTGGGGCCAGCAACAGCAATCTGGTTGAATAGCATCCAATTCAGGCAACAAATTCCGTTTGTGGGGACAGTGGTTTTCAATGGATTGACTGGGCCAGGATATTTCATGGCTGTGCTTTGGACGGGCTTTACCATTGTTGTTATACTAACCTTTGGGGAACCCAACCGACAAGGTCTGGCAGAACAAAAGAAGTTGGAGCAACAAGACACGATGGTCACATCAGTAAATCTTGACCACCAGGGACCTCAATTCGTGCATGACGAACCACTTAGTGCAATGATCGAAGGAGACCGAGCCAAGTTGGCAAAAGACTACGAACTAAGGACCATCTTCAGCGGGGACGAAAGTCGCGCCACCTTTGGCGAAGAGCTCTTACGACCTGAACCACAACCGCGGGACAAGAAAGGGTGGTATGCTGAAGCAATGGACTTCTTCGATCTCATCACCCTTCCTGTGCGAGTCTGCTTGGGTCTCTTGCTTGCCAAGGTGTTCTGTATAGAGATTCTAGCAAGTGCCACCTCTGCCTTGACCAAAAATCGGTATCACTGGCAAGTCCACCAGGTTGGAACCCTCGGTTGCGTGAATGGCCTTCTTGTCATCCCAATATCTATCCTTGTGGGAAGGCTTTCCATGTCATACCAAGACAGGAGACTGATGACTTGGCTAGTCGCGATTGGCTGCTTCGGATTTTTTATCAACATCGACCTTACGGATTTGGTCTCGACACCGACTCACACCTACAACAAGGGGCATGTCCTTGCCGTTTCACCCCAACGATATGTTCTGGGTTACTTTTTGACGTACTCTCCTGTACAATGCTTTGAAGGAATCATCGGTTCTGCTCTCAGCAAGGTCATACCAACAGCACTGGCGTCAGGAACGTTGAACTCGGGTCTTTTGGCAACTCTCGTGGACACGTTCGGCCGTGCTTGCGGCGACATGTTTATTTCCATGGCTGGCTTCATCAAACTGAGACAGCTGATGAATCTGCTGTTCATCCCTGGCTTTTGTATTATGTTAACGTGTTTGGTTGTGATTCGCAAGTTCTACGACATATTGGCCGTTTGAGTTGCACTTGGAATTCTCTTTGGTTCATGCTTCCAGAAACAATTAGAATTAGGGCAACGCCCTCCTCTGCTTCGACTCATCATTCTCAACATCGAAATACCATTCTTGTAAACTAGCAAACAACTGGTGAAAGTTTAACAATTCTTTAAACCCTATCTGTTCTACCCGTACCGGTGCCGGTATGCATCTTAGTCAGTACAAATCGGGAGAGTCATCGTAGGCTGCATCCATGTCCTTGTCCCACTCTTTGATCACTTTTGCAGCTCTGGCATGGTCTCCTCTGCCGAAGCCATAGCTGAATCCGTACACAAGGGCCCTCTTGGTATCAGGTTGATAGAGGATGCGCCCCCCACCAGTGACTACCGCCTTGTACCCGCACGCTTCAATCCATTCCACAAGATCCCTGGCAACATCCTTGTGGTATGGTCCACCACATTCTTGTGGGGATGCACTCTTGACAAACCATTCGTGGACAGAATAAGTATTCGGGTCTATGCTTTTGACGAGGACGTACTTCTGCCGTCCTGCTGACAAGATGGCCTGAGGAGGGAGGCTTTCAGGTTGGACGGAAGAGGACGTTCTTTGCTTCATCCGTGGCGCGCTATCGACAAGGCCAATATCCAACGCTGCCATTGTCGTCATTTCTTCTAGCGATAATCGTTTCATTGCTTCTTTGTAAAGAGCAAGTATAGGAGTCCACCAAGCAGAATTGAGTTCGTACTCGTTCCATCCCTTGGACGGTATCATTTTGTCAACTTTGTTGATGTTCCCCTTCTTCTTTGTTTGAAACGTTCGTATGTCGGGATCGAGGAAGTTCAATCGGCAGCATTGAAGTGCCAATGTAGTGCCGTACTTGCTTTCATAAGAAGACTCTCTGGGCTCAGCACCCCCGTACGGGACATCTCCAACCAACGGATACCCTTCCGCGGACAGTTGCCCTCTGATCTGATGAGTTCGTCCCGTCAACAGCTCCACTTCCAATTCTACGACTGCCTGACAAGTGGGCGGCATCACTTCTTTTGCGGAGCTCCACAAGGATTTGGCCAAATCATCACTGGCCGCGTTTCCACGCAACGCACAGACGTCTCCCACCTTGTGAATGCGCATGAGACATTCGGCCCATCCTGCTTCAGTTTTGCCGCTGGTTATTGTCGTGGTAGCGTTTGCAGGTAATGACGCGTAGAATCGTTTCGGGGCACGTACCGATGGTTCAAGGTAGTGCCGTATTATCGTTTGGTCCTTGGCGTATGTTTGCAACTTTTGCAATGCCGTATCAACTGACCAGGAAGGACCAGAGCTCTCCTCATCGGTTGTTGAAGGTGGCACGAGGCAGACCAAACACCGATAGACTTTATGGATCCCACTGCTAGTGCCTCCATCTTTGGTGGATACGTGTTGCTCGTCCGATTCTTCGTTGCTGGTGCTGTCAATGTTGACAGTTGGCAACTTTGAGGCAGTCTTGTGTCGCAGCAGCTGTGCATAGTAAGCTGCAAAGGTTTTCGATGTTGCCAAAGTGATCAATCCGGACGTGTTCTGGTCCAATCGATGCGGTGTAACCACATAGTCCAGGTCCGGATTGGCTCTTTTGAGACAAGCCGCCATGTTTTCAGCGTGGTTGTCCACCGTTGCATGAACCGGAATGCATTCCGGGGGTTTGTTCAGCACAAGAAAACCTTTGCTGGGATTATAATCCACAACCACAGAGTTTGGTTGGCTTTGGGAATCCAATGACCAATCGTACTGTGTGACAGCTGGAAAGCGGCGTGGATTGTGGTGGATTCTAATGTAGTCACCCTCCTGCAAAAGAAAGTCGGCCTCCTCTTTCGACAACCTTGATGGTTTCTTGTAAATGTTGTCCATATCTTGTGCTGGCAAGTACCAAGCAGCCCCTAGTTCTATCAAATCCTCAGCTGAATAAGTCATTGTTTCTGCAACAGCTTCTTCTGTTTTCTCTCTGTACTTTCCGAGTGCCGTGTCTATGGCATCGACTGCCTTGATAGGGGCATCTTCTGGTGCGATTGCAACATGGATTGCCCAGTCAGATGAGTCCCAGGAAGAAGCTGCGAAGGCTGACGGCATTGGGGTCTGCTTTTCCTCGCTATCCTGTCGCTGCAGCCAACAAGGGACTGAGTTCGTATATGGTCGACCATGACCATCGCAGTGGGTTTTCAAACTCTGGAGCCAAGAATGGCCTGGACCACCGGAGCCATTTCTCTGGAGGGATACTACCGAATATCTTTGGCCAGGGATATAGCGGTAGCCGCGTCCGAGGAAAGAGCTACAAGGCCACACACTTGTCAGAAAAGCACGGGATCTCCTGATGGGTAGAGTTCCTGCCGATATCATGAAAAAGATCCAAAATCGTACTATTGGTAGAAAAAGCGAGGGCGTTCCTTTCCTTATGAGGCTTCCGTTCGTTCTCCTGGTCCTGATATAGTCTAGCCTCTCTCTCATACTATTGATCCTTGTTAACGACAGCTCTAGCTACTATTAATAGCCCCAGTCAGAGATATGAACAAGAGCAAGGACGTCCTTGGCAATCTACCACGGGCGATGATGGATGATGGGATGATGATGGGAGTTATGGTGGAAGAGTGGATGGGAGAGCCCTGACCCCAACCCTGTTGGGTTCCGGATAATGCTAACTTAGGGTTAGGATTGATTGATGGCTGGCTGGCACTTACGTCAGTGCGTGACTTATCCGCCACTTCTATCAATCGTGAACCACGGCGCCCTCCAAATGCTGATGGTATCTTTCCAATTGGTTGGCAGATCCACAGCGCTAAGCAAACTACACGTCTTCGCTTTGATAGGTTTCGTGGCCTTGCCATCACAGGAGCTATCATCATTTTGAAGTTCAGTCTGCACTCATTTCGACACAATATTCCATCTGACCAAATAAAAATTGCACCATGAAGTTTTCCACCCTTTTCTCCTTTGCCGTCCTTGCCACTGCTTCTGCCTTCACCCAAAGGCAAGTTGGATTTTCTTCCAGCGCACGAAGAGCATCCACTTCCTTGAATATGGTGGCTGATGATGCGAAGGTCATTCTCGTTACGGGATCTTCTCGAGGTCTAGGAAAATCCATTGCTTTGGAACTTGGAAAGCATGGACAGAAGCTTGTCATCAACTATGTTTCGGACGGATCCGAGGAGGCCGCAGCGGCGACTTGTGAAGAAATCAAGGCCCTTGGTGGTGATGCTATTGCTATTAAGGCTGACAGTAAGTTGAGAAAAATAATCCACCGCTTTACCTTTATTGGATCTGAATGCATTCTTCATGATTATGATTACTTCAACTTCCTTACAAACTGACTTTTGTTCATTTTTCGTGTCTCCAGGCTCTGATCCAGATGCTGTTGACAATCTCATGGCTGAGGCAGTGGAAAAATTCGGAACTATCGATGTTTTGATCAACAACGCCGGTATTACACGTGATACTCTTGTCATGAGAATGAAGCCAAAGCAATGGCAAGATGTCATTGATATCAATCTCTCTGGGGTCTTCTACTGCACCAAAGCCTTCTTCAAGGTCGCATCCAAGAAGCGCACTGGCCGAATTATCAACATTTCTAGTGTTGTTGGACAAATTGGAAACCCTGGACAGGCCAACTACGCAGCCGCCAAGGGAGGTGTTTTGGGAATGACCAAGGCCAATGCCAAGGAGTTTTCTGCTCGTGGAATCACTGTCAACTGCATCTGCCCTGGTTTCATCGCCACTGACATGACAGCCGAATTGGATGAAGCCTACCTGGTAAGTTTGTTTATTGTATGTGTTGGACACCTTCGGTTTAATGGATTGAATTTCTTACTCGAATTACTGTTGAAAAACACTCTTGACGTCGCAGAAAAAAGTGTGCGAGGGAATCCCTCTTAACCGTCTTGGAAAGCCCGAGGAAGTTGCTGGCATGACTCGATTCCTTGCCATTGATCCTGCATGCGACTACATCACAGGACACACCTTCAATGTTGATGGAGGAATTGCCATTGGTGTGTAAACGGGTAATCCATTATCAAGCTCGGAACCGAATGAGTGATTAGTCCAGTCTCTTCCGATTGATCCTTCAGCAATAAAATAGATATTTTCTTCCTTATATTTGCCCGCATTACCAGTTCAGTTGGCTTATAGCGGGCAGTCACTCGACTGTGACTGGTCTCGTCGACCAACCATCAAGCTAAGCTACAGTCGCGTCCAAAAACACAGAACAGCCGCAGTAAACCGAAAGGACGCTACGTTACCGCTCCTATCAAACGATCAGAAGAGGCTACAGGTATCCAGAAGTCCAGTATGAAGCGAAGCCAAGTAACGAGCGAGAGCTAGCTACCGGAACAGCTTTACAGCTACAACTATGCACCCGCTGGAGTCCCGCACATGGCGCATCGCCGACCGCTCGAGTTCATGTATGTGCATGCCGAACACGCCCAGCTTCTGAATTGTCCCTCATCCTCATCGTCTTCGAAGTCATCTTCGTCGGCATCATCAGTGCCAACATGAGCAACGAAAGTGGGCCGGTCATCAGTATTGTTCATGAATTGCTCCAGCGAAGCGAGTAGTGCCTCTCGAACGGTTTCTTGGACACTTTGCTGCTGTGCCGCTTGGTCTTCAACACGCACGTCATCATCACCACCATCACCATTGCGCCTGCCGTTTGCAATCCCCTGAACTACAAGTGTACCAGCAGCAGGTGTGCTCTGCATGAGGGTTGCTGGACCCGCTGCTGCAACGAAACGCCTTCGCTCTGAGCTCGAGCTCTGTTGTTGTTGTCGCTTCTTTTCTTCGTTCATGAGAGTGAATATTAGATTTGAGAATTCGTTTCGCCTCTCTGAAGCCCCCACTGTCAAGAAAAGAATTTGCGTCTGGGTTGCCCGCAAGTGCGATCGAGCAACGATGTCACTCATTTGCTCTGTGATCGTTTCCAACTCTGACTGCAGCTGTTCAAAGGCAGTTTTTTCATTCCATAGACGTTTTCCGTGCCTTGCCCGTTTCATTGCAAGGCTTTCGAACTTGAAGAATGAATAAGCATAGCTGTGCTGCAAGACGGCACGACATTCAAGCAACTCGGTGAAAGCTGCGTGGACGAAAGACAACCCTTAGGATGGATAGGATGGATAGTTCGTGAGAATGATGGAAGTAAGAATAAGAACATTCTTGTAGGTGCCAACACGCGTCCAGCCTGACTTACCCTTTCCGTCAAAGTTGAAAGTTGGATCGCAAGTGTACTCTGCAGCAGCATCCACCACAGGGGCGAGTCGGCTGCAGACGTTTTCACTCATGTTTCTTTCCAATGCAGCACTTTCCATGTGTGCATTCCAGCGCGTGTAGTGATGCAAGAAACGTTTCATTTCCTTCGATTTCCTCCACGCAATACGAGTCTCATGCATTGCTGTGCCATAAGTTTGCGCCATCACCTCTGGGTTGTTCATAACCTCGTCATTAGTGGCGTCTGCACCGGTGATCCCTGGCGGAACTTGGTCAGGTGGCGGCGGAGCGTCGTAGTAATCGTGGTTGTCTTCTTCTTGCCAGCGATTGCAACGGAAGAATCCACCAGTTGCAGTGTTGTGCAATTTCCAGTCCTTTCGACAGATCCAACTAGAAAACACAGAAGAGAAACGAGGCAAAATGAACAAATCGGATTGCAAAAGCGCAATGACATCCCTTAGCAGCTGTCAACGTACCAAAACTCGTGTTTGCACTGGGGATTAAAGCAAGTCATGTGGTTGCAACCTTCGTTCTTTTCTATGGGGGCCTTGCACTGTAACGAAACGAGTTGTAGTAAAATGAGAGCGCGCCAAAGGGGAAATGAAGGCACCACACTAGTCCCCGGAAACGAACCTTTGGGCAAGGACGGGTGTTTGCACGCATCCATAGTCGTTGCGCAATGTCACTGTACTTTTCATCCCCGTCTGGCGCGTTACCATCTTCGTCTACTTGTTCAACTTCATCCATCATTTTCTGCTTCCAGTTCTCGAGCGCATCACAACTGACAGGAAAGTGAGGTTTGCCTTCGGCACACCCAAAGCAAAACCTGTGAGCGCTCTTCGGTGGGGACAAACTTCGTGAGTTTGTTGTTTGGGGATCAACAACTCCCTCGTACGTGACAGGCAAGCACTGGCCAGGAGCCTCGCTCTCATTGTGAACAGCAGTGCACACTGCTCCAACACAGCTGAGCTGTTCATAGTCCACTCCCCACTTCTTCATGTCTTGGTTGATCTTCACCTTGACAATTCCCTCGCATCCCGGGTGTGAACAAAAACGTAGATCCAACGCACTCGAAACAAAGTTGTCATTGGCGGTCTTCGTCAGCAACGCAAATGTTTCTTTGCTGGGGGCAAGCGCCGTGATTTCTGGCAACGACATGGGCATCACACATTCATGATGGGGACACGGCACAGCAAGGCCAGTTGATCTTGACTGCGCGCAGTCGACCAAATATTCCCCAAGACAAGTGTTGCAAAACGAATGAGAGCAGTTGACCAGGTTTGTCCAGTTCTCTTTGTCGACAATGCCAAATTCATCGAAACAGATCAAGCAAACACTGCTGCTCATGGAATCCTGGTTGGCTTCATCAGTTTTGGCATTGCATCTTTTCTTTGCGCGAAGCAATGGTTCCAGTGGTACACCCGCCTCTTCAACTGCTTTTTTCGGTTGCTTTGTGAAAGCGACAAGAGCCTTTTCCACAATCCAACCATGGCGAGAGAGATACTGCTCCACATGCGCTGTCTGAATGGACCGTAGACTCGCTAAATCGTCGTCCGTCAAGCAGTCTTCGTTCGTTTCGATTGTTTCTCCGATTGATGAGAGCTCAGACGAAGTTTGCTCGCCGGCTTGCCCTGGCGGATCATCTTTCATGTTTCCAGCTTTTTGATTGCTTTCTGTTGCCTGTCTGGACTGCTCAGGGGCCTGTTCGTCCTGTTGACCGATTCCTGGTGGATCAGCAGAGGCGGCGCTACTTTGACAATTGCTTGCGGTTTGTTCTCCCTCCGTTTCGGCTGATTCCCATCCAGTTTCGTCGTCATCTTCTTTTTGAACGTTGCTGCTAGGGTTGTTCTCTCCAGACCCTTCTTTATCGGCCGACCCGCTTTCGCTCTTTTTCTCGGGGTTTGCCTCGGTCAAGGAATCGCCATTGACGTCGGCCTCTTCGACGTCTTTCATTCCATACATCACTTTCCGAAGCTCGTTCTCGTCTTCCTTGCTCTTGACAAATGACATCATCCCTTTACAGCACTCCGCCAGCCGCTTGGTTCGATCTTTGTCAACATCTTGCATGGAAAGTGTGCGAAACCAAGAGTAGGGAGCTGCGAGGGACAAGCGGGCTTTGACCAAGTTGATATTTTCACTCTCGCTAGCGTCTAAATCGTTGTCATCTGGCGTCTGCTGTTCTGCCATGACCGCTGCCAGTAACTCGTCGTCCATCCCATAAGGATCAGAATACAACAATGCCCTGGCCTCAAGTTGAGCAGCCAGCTCTGGATGGTTTTGTTCTGCGGAAAGTTCGCAAGGCGTTCTAGCGCTGTCGTCAACTACAGTCAACATGGCCCCAAACGATGAAAGCACGGCCATGCAAACATCTTCTCTGCCAAGCTCTGCCGCATAATGGAGTGCGGTTCTCCCTTGAGCGTCGACTGCGTTGACCGAGGCTCCTTCACCGGCGCTTGTTGTCCCGTCATCAGGGTGGGACCACGACAAGATTGCCAAGAGACAATCCATGCGATCCGTTTTCAATTGATTCCACAAATGTTCGTCCCACACCAAATAACCAGGAGCATCCATTGGAGAAGCGTCCTTTTGGTTTTTGCCATCATTAGTGTCTCCGGTTTTTCCTCCAGAAGAAAATGTCGTGTGAAAGAACTTGCTCATGGCGCGTGCAGCCTTCTTGGCGCCGACCATGGACGAGCCTCCACCCTCCGCGTCAGTGCCGTCCGCCAATTGGATCTCGACTGGTTCTGGAGCCGAAATACCTACGGTAGAAGCTGTAGTTCCATTGGCACTTTTCAGACCGGCGGCTGACCCTTGCTGTTTCTTTTTGTGGTTCAGCTTGGTCATGATCTTATGTTGCAACGTGCGCCACAATCTTTCCTCCGGTTCGGTCCAACCTCCTGCAGCCATGTGCAAGGCGGTTCTCCGTTGTCCGTTTTTAAAGTTGGGTTCAACAAACGGGTGTACCAGCATGAGTCGCACCAACTCGGCATCACCCAACCGTGCCGCCTCGTGCAAAGGCGTCGTCATTCTGGGGTCAGTTAGAGCAATGGTTTGTACATCGTTGGCAGTGGCCGATTCTGGGTGAGCTGTGCTCTCGGAAGGCTCCATCAATTCCGAAGGGGTGTCAGTGGCGGTAGAAGTAGTTGCTGCCGCGGCTTCTCTGGCACCCCGCCGACCTTCCAATATTTTCAGACTTGCCCAGAATGAGGATGCGGGAGTACGTGGTTGCGACGTTCTGCTTTTGCGCTTTCGAAACGATTTAAAGTGTCGCGTGGAACCAGGCTGTGATTGGGCCGCTGCGGTTGGAGGATCTCCCGTTTCGGGTTCGCTCATGGCCGCTATAGATCGAGGTTCGCCAGTTGTCGGGTCAATTTCGTAAGAAGGATCTTTGTAATCGTCCAACAGGAATGGTTCTGATGGATTCATGTGCAGCGGCAACAGAGCCGTGTCATTGTTTGTCGTGTCAGACATGATGAGATCCAATTCCGAAGGAGTTTCCTCTGACGGCGCGGTGTTGTTGCTAGGATTTTTCGCCTTGGACGGGGTTGATGCTGCTACATTTGAGGCGCTAGACTTTCTTCGAAAACTCATTCGTTTTGGCTTTTCGCTGTTTGCGGGTGATGGTTGTTGCTTTTTGGGAGTGCTGCTGGAACTCATAATGGAGCTCAAGCTCAGTTTCTTCATCATGGAGGTTCTCTGAGCGCCATTCTTGTCCTGTGAATGAATGAAAACAAAGAATGTTAGATGTATTACTCCCACAATTCTTATTTTGCTGCAACAGGACGAAACAAGACAAGACAGCCTCACCTTTTCTTCCTGGAGTCTTTGGTCCTCTTTGTGTTTGGCTTGATCAATTTCCTGTTGGATCCATTTCTGCAAGTCTCTGGAAGTGGCCTTGTAGGCCCGCATGGCCAAATGGACGTCTTCATTTTGAAAGGCTCGCCACAGACGACGACGCAAAGATCGGACCTGTTCCTGGACGACCAATTGTCGAAATTCCGCCGTCGTGTTCTCGTCATCGGCGTGCGAACTGGCTTTTCCAGTGCTAGATGTCGGCGACGACGTGGTTATCGCTCCATTGCTCTTCTTTCGGTTCGCCATGCTGCCAAGTTGTGATGCTTTGATGCTGAAGAGGGGTTCTTGTTCCAGTGGTCGACGCCAACCAAACACGGATATCGGAATTGACGGAAGGAAGGATCTTTAGCGCTATGATAGCAAGGACCACCACCACCAATGCGAGGACAGAGCGAGCACTCCGCTCTCAAGGAAAAAGACAGGTTTTTAGGTTCCACACGACCGCCACTGCTGATGTAGCTTCTCTAGTCGTTAGAAAGAACGAAAGAACAGTGGCGAAAGGGACAATCGCGTTGAGAGATCAATCCGAGAGACAGCTCAATTCCTCTAGAGACTGGCTTGCATGCAGGCAGGCAGGCCACACAATTTCTCTCTTTCTGCCTCGTCCACTAATAACTGTCTGATGATGGCCGATTCCTTGGTGCCGTCACGCAAATCAATCAAAGACTTGGTTTCATGCATGTGTCCCATTGTCAAACTACAGCGGACCCAGTCGTTGCTGTCGCCTTGAGGGCGGGTCACAAAGCTGAAATGAGACACGAGCTGGTAGTCACGGAAAAATAAGGTTAAAGCTACAAGAATTGAAGAAGGCTGACGTGGAAAAAGGGCTTCTGACGCTATTTTTGTGGTTTAGAGTTAACTTGAATTTTTACGGACAACTTTCTATTTTGCAGAAAGCGACATGCAAAGCAAATAAATGGGTGAGTACTGTATTTTGCAATTGAAGATCAGCTATAATAAAAAGATCTGTTTCAACCTTCAGAGAGCCGAGAACCACAGATGAGGCTACATTGCAGAAGTTTGCATCTTCCTGTCCCTCTCTAGTTTCTAGCTGCTAGGCACACAACGCAGTAGGCTGTTTCATGGAATATGGTCCTGGTTTCCAAATGCTAAGGCAGAGGCAAACGAATTTCCGCCAGTGGCCCTATGCGCTGATCTAGACGGCGATTTGACTGAAACACTTAAACAACCTACCGGTAGAGACCACCAAAAGCTCGAAAGCAATGAATGACACTATGCAAATCAAACCCTCGTCTCTGGCCAGCTAGTTTCCTCTCCAGCTGAATGGAGGCTATTGCATCCAAGCCAGACTGAGACTCGTCGTAGTGGTAGCCAGCATACCTCTTCAGCAAGGGTCCAATGTTCCAACCATTAGGAGCGAAGGACTCGACTCTGGAGTCTAGACAAAAGTGAAAGAGCGAAGGTAGCTGCTGAACGACCTTAGGGTGAATGGAAGGAAAGAAAAATCTTCTCTGCCAGGCTGGCAGGTCGGAGTTGCTCCACCCTCGCTGGAAAAGATCCGTGAAATCCCTATCTCTAATTACCCGACATCGTGCTTTGCGTTTGGCTTTGGGGTGAGAACGTCCTGGAGCCAATCCTGGGGCAGTGGCTTAATTAAAAAAACAAATTTAAGGCACAAAAAGGCACTTTGGAAACTATTTAGCTGTAAGATGATTGTGCGCAAAAATCTGGGAAAGCTTGGCATGGGTGACGACGACCACGAAGGGAGGGCCTTGCTCGGCGCTTCAAACCTCAGATTGTCACACCCTCTTTTAGCTTTCGCTCCTGTTGGATTTTAGTAAGAGCTCCCAGACCACAAAAACTCAATGATAGCAGTGTTGCGAGGCAAGGGGGGGATCAGTCGAAGAGTAGAAGAGAGACGTTGGCGAAACAATCAAAACCAACCATCTTGCGATCTGTGTTGTAGAAGATCGAGGTGTTTGATTGCTTGATTGAGTTGGATTTCCTCTCGGTCGGTCCACTTTAGTAGGCTCTTCGACTGGTCTCAGCTCATTGGTCCATTGGTTTGCGGCGGCATTGTCATTTATTTCTACCCACCCTCCTTAGTATTATCCATCCGTCACCATCTCGTCATTACAAGTGAATTAAGCTTGTTAACTACCGTGCCGTCGTTGGTCGGGCGGTCGAGGGGATCATTTTCCTCCGTGGAAAAGCTAAGGATTCGAATCAATCGATCGGCATTTCCGCTAAAAACAACTCATGAGCGGCCCACAATATCAGTACCCTCCAAATCATCACGGCAGGCCATACATACAAGTCAACGACCATGATGTCCTTTGTGGTAGGGGAGTTAACATTGCCAGCCATCCAGGGTAAGAATCGAATCAATCCTTGTTTTTTCAGCGTGCTTCGTGAGGTTTTTGGGTATCTTTGTCATTTTTCGTGTCAGATTCATCGAGAACCCTACGCTTTCATTATCTTGTCTCACCTAATCTTTTAATGAATGCTTCTACTTTCCTGTTGCTCTCCTTGCCATTGTCATTGGATCGCGCCACAGGAACGAAAGATTTCGTGCGCTCGTCCAGACGCGACACGACGAGAACTACTGTACCCTCTACACTACTACCGAGAAGCGTGCCGTGGCTGAACAGATTCTCAAGCATATCAAGTCTCTCGATCCTCCTGGAAGATTTCTAAAGCGGGTAGGGAGAGCTCCGACGTCGCGAGGGCTCAATGGTCCATGGGAACAGCTGTCTGATCGGGAGGCGATCAAGAAAACCTGTCAGGCTCTCAGAGATTCCAACCGGACGGATCGGACCGGGTATGCCGCTGCTGTCGCTGTGCCAGATGATGTACGAATGCATGCAAGCTCTAGAGTTGCTTCTGGACTTTCCAATAAAGAACAGGCCGCCAGAGCCGCCGCAGCCAAAATCAAAGCCGACGGATCCACGGCCACAACAGCAGGAGTGCCCATCCCTTCCCCACGGGCACCGCATCCGACAACAATTACACTTCCAGTGGCTCCAGGGCCCTTGCCAATGCCTCCCTATCATTCTGGAGTGCCAGGGGTCGTACCAGTCCCAATGTCTTTGCCGATTCCGATGGGGATCCCCATGCCAATGCCACCGGACCTGTCCACCACTACCCAGAGCTATGCCATTCCTCCTGGGGTACCGCTTCCGCCTCCTCCGCCTCAACCCACGCATCACCATCACCATCATCCGATTCACCCTCCGCCTACAGCTTCTCATCCTAGCCATCGTCTTGCTCATCTTCCGGTGGCGCCTCATTCCGCGACAGCTCCATCTCCTCACCCTCCAGCAATACATCGTCATCATCCTCCTCCTCTCCCTCCAGTAGTCCTTACACTCCACGCTCCACATCCGGCCTATCATCAACACCATGCACCCCATCATCATCAGGTATTAATCGCCCCACATCCGCCTCCTGCTCCTCCGAACGTCCGTGCTAGTCTTGTGTTGTCTCATCCGCCGCCACAACCCAAGGCACAGGGCAAGGCAGCACAGCCACAACCTCAGCTAAAACCTCCACCACAGCGAACATCACCAGTCGAACCAGCCGTTCGGGCGTCGGCTCCAGCACGGGTACACGCCCCACCACCAGCTGGCAATGCAAAACCTCCACCTGTTCAGATTCAACCAATGCCCCCTCCTCCACGGCAGCCTCCTCCACATCCTCCGATGCCAACGGAGGAGTCTTTGAAGCGATCCAGAAGTAGCTTTGAAAGCGATCAAGCATCTCTGTCGGGTGAGGAAGCAGCGGAGTGGTCCAAGAAACCGAAAGCAGTGGATTCCAAGATGCCAGCTCCGCCTCCAGCAGCCACAAGGACGATCTCCGTGCCAAATCCGATCGACACGAGTATAGCAGCGCATGCCCCCATTGGCCACACCATTACACCTTCCAGCACGGGAGGCTCTGCTGCTGGCTATCTCTCTGAGGGCTTGCTTTCGAGTTACGACTTGGGTATGCCCGCTAGAACACCGTCCCAAGAAACTTCAACGACAACGGGGACCACTCCAACAACCGAAGGAACGGCTAGTACGAGGGCTCAACGTCTCTCTCTGTCCCCTGCATCGGCCATGCCTCCTTCGCCTAGTCTGGCCTACGACCCCCACCGTGCCGGAGCTGTGAATCCAAGACTTTATTCTCACGATTTCGGTACGCCGCCGACTCCAACATTGAGTGAACTTCATCACCCGTATGGTTACCACCCTTTCATGCAGCACCACGACCATGCCGGATTGGCCCCGGCTGATCCTAACAAGCAACCGTTCCCATCTGCAAACGCCTTTTTGGAACATCAACAGCTACAAGAGGCCGCCTCGTATTATGGAACCGCCCCGGAGGAAGGCGTAGAATTCTCCACTACACCAGCCCCTTTTCCTCCTGACGAATCTCTGCTTTGACAGGGTTGACTCGGAGTGGGGCTGGTATCTCTCAACTCAAGCAAACAACAACAAACCATCTCATTTTCGTCTTTCGAGTGAATTACCACTCTATCAAACACTCCACTCCGTCTTCTATGTTTATATATACACCGGAAGCTCTTTGGTGAGCTTTCGCTGGGGAAAATGTGGAACCCTTTCACATCATCAATCAATCAAGTCCAATTTCACCTTTCTATCTCATTCACTCACGCAACAACAAACAAAATCCCTCTAGAACTAACTGTACACAGGCACCTTCATGCCTGGCAGGAACAAAGAAACAAATACAAGCTAAGATAAGCGCTATAGAACAAAGCTTATGCTATGCCATCACAGCCATTATTGATCAGTAGTTGCTCACCACTGTCGTCGTCATTGTCAATTCGCTCTTTCCCAGAATGCTCCACTGAGGCAGGTGTCAAGCAATGCTGCCGTTTGATACTCAACTTCCTTCATGTCTTCCAATGGTCCTCCGTGCCTCCGTGTCCCTTTTGTAAATACATGAGGGTACGAGCTGTAAGCTCGGCAGAACCTTTGTGGTAGTCCACATTCTGACATTTTGTATGGAAGTGTTTCTGCTTAGTCGCTGAGAGCCTCACTTGAGGCCTGCGAATGCAAGGGGTTCAGGTTTTATTATCTAGTCTACGGTACTAGCTAGTAGCTGGTACTGTGCTGTACTGTACTCTACAGCACCGTCGCTGGAGTTTTCTTGCTTGAAATTTCCGCCACCAATCCCTTGAAAGCATTTTATGGCTTAGCCGACTTCTTAGACTTTCGACCGTTGGCCGAAACACAAACCTCCTCGTCGCAAGACTGTCCCTGGTTGTGCTGGTTATTGGATGCCGTGTGAAGAAGAGTTGCATTGGTGGACATCACATTGAGTTGCCCTGGCAGTAGCAAACAAAGGAAAGCGCTTGAAGGTTGGTGTCAAGTCAAAGTACCTCTATTAATAAAATTAAAGAAGAACCATGGGAAACGCCGGAAGTGCTCTTCAGGCCGCTCAGGCTCAAGCCTCGGTGACGAATAAATTCAATAAGATGACTGGAGGCGACGAACAGAAAGCCCCCGATCCAGAGGAACAGAAAGCCAAGGAGCGAATGCGCGAGGAACGAGACCGACGTAATGCTACCGATTATGCTGACAGGAAGGCTGCACATGCCAAGAACAAGAAAAAATTGTCATCAGCCTGGGCAGACCACAAAAAAGCCAATTCGGCGGCCAACAAATAAAACTGAAATAATCCTCTGGATTGATCCTGCTATGGGCGCAAAGGGTCAATTGGAAGAGGCGAAAGCGGCAGTAGGGTATATTTTGGTGTTCCAAAAGCAACCTGCTTGAGCCTATTCCTCACAAAAATCACCAACAAAAATAAAAAAATCTTTAGACATCGGCAGGACGAAGACCTCAACTAGCACTCTAGGTAGTTTCTTTGTGTCACTAATTTTGTCATTTATCAAGAACAATCAACTGCTACTACTGGTCAAACTTTTGTTCTTTTCGTAGCAATCAGATGTTCATTGGAAATGGGTTGCGTATACCTCCAAATCTTGGAGTTCCTCCACATAGGTTCTTCCGCCACCACTACTAACTGATTCCACCGTGGCAAATCCAGAAGTTCCCTCGGCATCCAATACAGTGTAGCGTAGCTCGCACGTAAGTATTGCGAGGCTATCCATTCGTTGTGGGGAAGCACTCAAAACGCACCAAGTGCTTCCTTGCACGTCATATGGCAAAACCTTGAGAGGTACCTGCAAGGACGGTTGGATGGCTTCCTCTGACGATTCTGCCACAACAAAGGTGACATCACCCAATGATCGGCCTTCCAGAGTGTGTTTCACTTTTGCTTGGATAACCAGATGACGAGGGAAGAAGTGTTTGATAATCATCACGTCAGGGAAAGTGGGAGAAGCCGATGAAGATGGTCGGGCAGCTAGGGGCTTGGTGGAATGCAGGGGGTTGCCAAGTCTGAGGTTCTTGAGTTGGGGCACAACATGAAGGTTTTCCTGCGCTTTGAGTTGTGCTCCCGTCAGCTGCTGCTTGAGAGACATGTAGCGAGATCGAAGCAACGACGAGACCACTGACAACCGGCGAACTTGCGATTCGCTTTCCACCAGAGCAGGGATCAGAAATGGTCGAGCAACGGCTGACACGGGTACGTCCTTGGGCAGAAGTCGCAACGCTGCTCCCCAGTCCATCACGCTTCGACGAAGCGCCAAAATTTGAATGGCGGAAGCCGTGCCTTTCTCAGGTGTCTCGGATGATTCTAGTGCCACTTGCACCAACGGAACGTAAGCACAATCTGTGGTAGCGCCTGGCTCCAGATACCGTTGCTCTTGCTCCGAGATCACCAAATCGTCAAAGAAACCTCCACCTTGTTGCTGCCGACGAGCCTTCTCGCGTTCTCTTTTGGCCTGGATCTGCTCATGACGAACATCACAATATTCGAGTGCTAGATCCATGCGTTTCAAGTCCCGAAACAAGATTGTCAAAGCATCCTTGTGCCGGCCGACGTTGCCCAGGACAAAGGCTCGCTCCTGTAGGAAGGAGGGAGGCAGTGCAGACAAGAAGCGGTCAGACCGAACTTTGCACAGCGGCCATCGCAACAGACGCCGCAACTTTCGTCGGAAGATGCGACCCATAGCATTGTCATCGTCGTCGTTGGTCTTGCTATCGGCTGGGTCATTGCCATCACCTCGTTCGGCAATCACTCCTTCCAGAAGCAAGAACGCCAATTCGTCGTGAAAATCAGCCACCCGTTCGACGAATCCATCCTCCATGGGCAGAGAATCAAATTCGTCCTCCTCTGAAGGCCGGCCAGTCGCAATGCCGAGTGCAGACTCCAAGAATGTCACAGCTAGAGCACGGCCCGATTCCAGTGGCAAGATTGTCAGCCCTACATCACCTCCATCATCTTCGTCCAGTGTCGATTTGGGAGTCACATCCCCATCGGACAATAACGAAGGGTTTGTCGACACCAGCCGATCTTTTCTAGCGGAGCCGTAGGGAATCACTGGTTGTATGGATTGTAGAAGCTGCAAGACTTGCCTTGGATAGGTCGGGTGTGCCAAAGGATCATCATTGGCATTGAGGGCTTTCCATTGTGCCGGGTTTTGTGGATGCAAGGCTGTAAAGGCGCTCAAGCCGAGACGAGGGTTGTGCTCCAACAAACGACGAGTGGCTGCTGACTGTAAGACAAGCTTGCAGCCTTCGTCGCGACCAGATCCCCAAAGCTCGCTCAAGTGCGTTGCCGTGTAGGAATCATATTTGATTTGGGACCAACCTAGCTGACTGGAACTACTGCCGCTGGAAGATTGCTGTTGATGTTGCATGCGTTCATATAAAATCTGCATGGCTCGCTCGTGCTTTCCACAAGAGCGCAACAACCAAACAGAAGCCTCGACAAACTCCATGGGAACAGCTCCTCGTGCCGCCGCCGACGAAGATGATACAATAGGTTTCGGAGAAGCGCGGAGCGAAAACTCTCCCATGTGGAGACTTTCCTGAAGCAAGGTCTCCGCCACACTATCGCACACCTGGACAGCTCCATCGGATTCCAGCTGATGCGGTGCTACAATCATCCCCAACTGGCTTGCGCACGCCTTTGCCGCTCGATTGGCCAATGATGCTTGAGGTGGTTGCATGTACGCACATACCAAGCACAAGAGTGCTGTCCCAGTCAAGAGGGACGGTGGAGACGACGCCGACACAACCGCGGGCAATCGTCCTTGCCAACGACGGGATGCAGTACTAATTTGTTGCGTAGATGCGGTTGCAGAAGGATGAGCTTCTCCAAACGCACCTTGATGCTGCGCAGCTTCCCCCGCTCGGTTGTTGCCGGTTCTGGCCGTACCACTATTGTTACCACCCGGAGCCGACGATTGTTGCGTAGGCCAACTTGTGGTTGCTCCAGATTCCAAATCCATCAATCCCAAGATGGCCTCCAGATAGTGTTTGAACAAGTAGCGCGAATGCGGGGTTGGTTCTGGTCCCACATAACTGGTAGCCGTAAACGAGGCATGAACCGCTTCTGCCAATGCCGCCCGTGGAAACCCATTGGCTCCAAGCGCATCAATCGCCAATCGCATGAACCGATCGGCCAAATCTTGTGCCGAATCCGGCTGACAATGCAAAACCTTGGCTTGTCCAGCGTAGGAGATGGCCACAATCCAAGTTTTTTGGGCATCCACCTGCAGTGTCCGCAGAGAAAAGTAATCGTTGGGTCGCGTTCCTACCTCCACGGTCCTCAAGGCAATTGCCAGACAGGACGGTGATCGAACACTCAGCAAGCCATCGCTGGTCAATACAACCAGCCAAGGCCATGAAGAGGCGGCCGCCAAGATGGGACTAGCGAGGGTGACAACATCTCCCCGAGGGCTACTCGAGGAGAGTCGAGGTGGAGGTCCATTGTAGAAATCCACCACGGAGCAGGTTCGACTGCTGGCGAGAAACCAACAAGACCAATCGGGATCCTGCATGGAAGGATCCCTGACATCCAAACACAAGACTGGATGTACCTGTGAGGATTGTGCAAAGGATATCAATTTGGTGGTGCTGATATTCCCAGGAGCATTTCCGGCGGCAGCAGCCGTGGAGAAGGCTCCGCCATCTTCTTCCATGAACCCCGCAGTGGTCCGACGACTCCCCGCCACGGCGACAAAAACGTTTCCCACGGCCACCACGACGACGCTGCCATTTCCACTAATTGCCATGGCATCGGGTCCGGATCGCGCTCCCGGAGCCGGCAATGTGACATGCGCAAATCGGATTCGAAAATTGTTGCTACTGCCAGTAGTAGTTGGAGTGCGAGGAGGCCGCGAGCGAGACGCGTTTGACGAATTCGACGACAAGTCCGGGACCGCCACTTGTCCCAGCTGCCGTCCAGCCGCGTACACAATGCCACAATGGGGATGGTGCACCGCACAGGACATGCGTGGCAATGGGAATTTCATGTTGGAGTTGGTGGGTGGTTGCCAAACTCCAAATCGCCCTTGCGAGAGTGTCATCCAATGCGCACCAAATGCTCCTGGATGAGCCGCACTGTTGCCTCGATGATCGTCAATCAAAACCAAGAATAGATACGGCGGTACACCTACTACCGCCACGACACCCCCTGCTAATCCCGAAAAATCAACTGGATAATAGGTTCTTGGCAACTGTGGCATATTTTGGTTCATTCCCAATGCGACTTGGACTTTATGAGGTCCATGCTGGCCACGGCGTTGCTGCTGCGCTTGTTGTTGTTGTTGCTGCTGCTGCTGTTTCGCTCCCTTGGTCAATCCCACAAGAGGAGCAGGAGCATACGTTCGGTAATGCAGTGATCCTCGTTCCGTGCCCACCACAATGGCTTGTGCTGTTTGCTCTTCGGAAGGATGAGACGCCGCCACTTCAAACGGATTCGTCGCGGCCTTGCTGCCGCCATAGATCGACGCAGCGGTATCGTCAGGCGGAGTGTACACACAAAAAGATCGGGGCTGTGACGATGCCGCCAAGTCCCAGGTGGCTTCCAGTGACATGATTTAATAAAAACCCAGGTAGCAGGTAGCTAGATAAGGTAGGGTAGATGGGACGTGTCAAAAAAAGCCAAAAGATCTTCGTGATCACCCTGGTTGTGGTCGCCGTGTGAATGTATACTGTAGGCCTCTCTCTCTGCCTTGATGCTTCAACACGGCATACTTGGGATGCAATGATACCGGTAGCAACGTCAAGGATGGAAGGATAATGGATCGTCAAATCGTCCATGGTGGCTGTTGGATCAAAGTTAAAACCGCAGAGCTGCGTCTTCCAAGATCCATCCGAGGGCAAACCTGCCCCTGAGATAACTTTGACGACCGCAACACTCGACACCGACCTGCTTGTCCTGTCCTCAACAACACTCTTCAGACAACACAGGCCGACAAGAATCAATAACAATGGCCACTGCCAAGGAAGAAGAAAAGCCATACGATGCCGGCGAACTGGAAAAAGCTATTTTGGATTCCTCCTTTGTCGCACAGGCAGCCAGCTCGCCGCTCCGAATCTGCTGTTACGGATCCTCGGCGGCCAAGACACCCACCAAGTTTTTAAATGAGGCGTGGAATCTTGGTTTTATATTGGCCAAGCGAGGACATACTTGTGTGAATGGAGCTGGTAGCTTTGGATGTATGGTGCGTTCCGTTCAGTACTGTAGTGCATCAAACAAAGTACTGTTTGAATTGCAATTACATGTATTTTAAAATTAAGATTGGATGTCTCTTTAGTCTCACAAATCGGCTACCCAAAAATATTATGTTGCATTCAGGCCGCCATGAATGATGGCGCAGATGCTGGAGACGGACATATTGTGGGGGTGATTCACGAAATGTTTATTGTCGATGGAAATGATTGGTACTGCAACCGTGATGGGGGAGCTCATCGATTGTTCAAAGGCAAGACAGACACGAACAACAGCAATAGTACTGCAGATACTCGAACAGGCCCTACGCGGGAAATGTTGGTGGCCGGTGGCAAAGATCTACAAGAACGAAAACGGTTGCTAGTGGAAGGAGCGGAAGGTCTAATAGTACTGCCAGGTGGCCCAGGGACCTGGGATGAGGTGAGGCATCATATATACATGTCTTCAGGGCTGTTCTGATAATGCATTCCGCACCACCGTTGCTCATTCTATTCTATGTCATTGTTGGTTTTCTTATTGCGTTTGCCATTGCTGTGCCTTCCTTCCTTCATCCATTTCAGCTCTGGGAAATGGCCTGTGCCAGGAACCTTGGCTTGATTAGTCTCCCCATTGTGTGCGTCTCTGTGGATGGGTACTACGACAATTTCCGGGCCATGCTGGACCGAGCTTTTGAGGATTGCTTGATCAGGAACCGCCCAGAAGATGTAGTGCACTTTGTAAGTACATCGGAAGAAGCCGTTCGTTGGATCGAGATGCAAGACGACCTTAAAAAAGCAAAAGGTAATGAGGCAACGGCGTTGCCCTCGGTGAAGACACGTGCTTCAGTCCTACGTAAAACGTCGTTCTTGAGTACCCCCGCTGTCTTTACTCGGTCTATGAGTTGGTTTTCTGCCGATGATGGCGACGGAGATGCTGTAAGTTGGTCCTTCCCTGCACTGGGAACGATTGTCTTTGTGCTGGGAGTCACGGTCGGAATCCTTTCTGCCCCTCATATCAATAGGAAGTAGACATAGATACATACCAAGACTACTGGCTAGGAGCAGATATATGATGTAGAGGAGCAGCGCAGGAGATTCGTGTCGAGCAACGCCAAACTAATGATTCTGCGTCCGAGTCGGGCAGCTTTCATAAGAGATGTGGCACCTCAGTCAGACCACCATTGAAACACCAGGGCCAACGAGCGACGAACTTGCCCAGGTTTCTGCTGCGACGACGTACCTGAGCGTGAATGATCGTAGGTGGCTGTGCGGTCTCAGATTCGACCTGTTTTACATGTATTTCACCGACGTACCAGGTACCGACTTTGTGGACCTCCGACGGAACCTACATACCCGCTTCCCGGGCCCGCGAACACCCTGGCTATCCAAAGAGGGAACATGTAGTACACTAGTGTATGTTACCGCTTCGGTATCCCTTCCCATGGCTCAACTGGCCACATGTTGTACTATCTAGCTAGCTAGCTGGAAAGCTCATCCGTGAAGGAGGAGTTAGTTGTACTACAGGCTTGTTTCATCGCTTCGCGAAACTGCTCGGAAAAAATCTTTTGGAGATGAGAACCGCTGTCAAAGCAGCTGCCGGCGTCAAAAGATACCATTTCCGCGTCGACTTTCATGATGGCTTCCAACCTGCTCCGTCCCATCATAAGAACACAAAACAAAGAAGAAGAAGAAGCGAAGCACACAATAAGAGCCAGCTAGCTAGCTAAGGAAAAAGCAAGCATTTCCTTTGAACGCGTAGAGCTACAATGACGTCTTTCAAGTATCTCATCCTGAGCTTGGCTGTGATGGCAACCTCAGCGTTCCAACCCATGTCGTACGGAAGACCCTCGCTTGCATTGAAAGCCCAGATTGATGAAGCCAAGATCAAGGATGCTGCAGAACACTTTGGAAAATATCCGGTGGAAGAAATTGAAGAAATGAAGAAGGGTGAGTCCTCTTGGAAACTGTGAGCACCTTGGATACGATACCCCTGCTTGGTGGCAACTCAACCATGGTTTGCACTCTTAATCATTCTACAGAAATCCACAAGGAACGGGTCCAAAGTCTCATGTTTGATCGAAACAGTGTCGTGAGCGCTGAAAAGGCAGCAGAGCAACGCCTCATTGAGCAAGAACTCGATCTCCAGCTTTCTCTATTGAAGAAGGATTTGGAAGAAGCAACTCCTGAACAATCACTGTTCCCTGACATGACAATGTTTCCAGACGTTGAGGAGCCCATTGAAGAGCTACCGCATCTCAAAGACAACACAATGGCTGCGAAAGGTGTTGCAGATCAGAAACTCTTCATCTTTGAAGAAGCCTTCCTTGAGGAGAACGTCTTAGAGACACTTGCTTTCTGCGCGGTTTTGGCACTAGTGATGGTGGCTCCTCAAATCATTTAGTCTTGGCGGCCTACACTTCTCATGGTTCCTACCATTTCTATATATCCAATATCCATCGACAACCCAGAACTGAGCAAAATCTGCAAACTGCAAGAAACAGTCTGCCAAATTTACAAGAGAAAGCTACAACACAAGGGGCAGGCTAGAATACATAACATCATAAGATCTTGACTATTGGTCACTTCCCCATAGCAGCATATTGCTACGAGAGGCATTATTTGCCAAGTTTTGCACCTATCGTACGATCCATCGTTGCTTCCACCTGTTGAGTAGACTTTGGTCCTGTCACTTGAATGGCTCATTGTGTTCATAACACTTCCCTAGTAGATTGCCAGATCTACAGGTATCACGACTGCAGAAACTACCAATGTCCTGCGATCCCAAGAAGCCACCAAGATGACCGACTATGTACTGTAGGCCTCTGTAAGTCCGGCGGCCAGTCCTTCCACTGATGTTTTGCTTCCATGGAAACACATCCTGGACCGGTATCATTTGCAAAGAAAAGTGCTTAGTTTGAAGCGGGCCTCCAACACTATCATTTGTGTATCCCCAGTTCCATCTTCGCTACCTGTATGGGTGGCTTTCTCTTTCTAACAAGTTGCTTCTCTAGCTAGCTACCTGGTAGCTGTCATCTGTTAGAACACCCTTGTCATTGGAGTTGTTTTCTAAAGAGCTCTGCAGGTGGCGCTATTCCAACCTTCAGGCCCCGTCCAACTTGTCGATGCTTGCCATTTCTACGGGCTTCTTTTGCAATCTCGAAGAATTTCATGGAAAGTTCTGCAATGACAAGCTGACTCGGAGACAGAAGTTCTTCAACAATGCCAGCCTTGATGTGATGATGAGTGGTGATGAGCTGCCTTTTGTGGAGATCTTAATCCTGACATTGTTTCCATCTGATCTTTCTAGTAGAAGTGCCAAGAAAGTCCACTATTATTGATCAGAGAATCGAATTTGTTGGTATATATCAAGATGAAAGCTTCTGGCATTTTGCAATGCTTGGCATTGGTGCTCGTTGTTTCCACAACATGGTCATTTGTTCCCGCCGTTCCGAGACGGTCCAAATCCAACCCTCTGTATGTTTTGAAGGACCCTCTTCGATCGGATAACAACCAAGAAGACTCGGAAGAGTCGATTGAAGAGATCCGGAAAAAGTTGCTGGAACAAAACGTGGATTCCACAACCAAAGTCCTGGGCAAGAACAGTACGCTCCAAGATTGGAGGGACCAACTACAGCAAGGAACACCTCCGTTGACATCTGTCGGAAGAGAACGACTGTTGGTGGAAATGGAACTACTCCAAGCTCTGGATTGTGACGAGGAAAAAGACGAGGAAAAAGCCATTCGCAATCTATGGTACTATTGGTACAATGAACGCGGGAGGAGCAACACGGCCACGCTCATGGCAGCCGATCAGCTGGTTCACTTGGGTACCCAGGAGGGACGAAAGGAAGCCGAAGCCATGTACCGACAACTGATTGTAGAGGAAGGTTTGAATTGGGCCGAGCCACTGAACCGATTGGCAACTCTGTATTTCTACCAGGGACGCTATGCGGAAGCCAAAGACTTGTGTCAAATGGTACTCACCATCAAACCGTGGCAATTTGGGACAGCCACGGGTATTGTCACGGTCTGTGAAAAAATGCAAGATACGCATGGTGTAAACTATTGGTCGACAAGGCGTATGCCACCGCTTTCGGAGAATCATGGCAATGCCCGAAAAGAATGGGTGAAAAAAATGACGCAGCAAGGATCTTCCATGTTGGGCCGCGGCGAGAAGGTCCTTCAGAAAGCTTTCCAATCCGCAGATGATGATAGCACAACTTCTGGCAGTGTCATCAGTGATGATGATGATGATGCTGATGAAAACGATAGAGACATTACAAGCGACGACGGATCCTGGGAGTGAGTACTGTAATGGATCCAAATCTATGTTTGCGTGTCAAGATACATTTTTTTGCAATAGAACCTGTACCGTATAGAATGAATCGAAGAAGAGAGACTTTTAGAAAGATAAATAGGATACAGTAAATATTGGTTGTTATATTATGCACTGGTGCCGTAGAGCTCTCATAACCAGGATTTCTAAAGCTGATACCTTTGCAATAAGCACACTTCACACTGTCATCATCAGCTAAACACCTCTCCGGAGGGTGAGGAAAAGTGAGAAGGGAAGGTCTCTTTTCTTCATTCCACTTCACTGGCTTAATCTTGAGGATTCTCATGCAAGACTGACAATGACATCGTCGCCTTTTTCCTTCTTCCTCTTTGACAGTCAACCCAGCCTTCTCCCACAGAATTCTTTTGATGTGAAGGGTGCCTTGTTTTCTCTGAACAGGTGTCATTGCTGTATCTCTACGATACAATCACAAAGAAGCAAGTTCCCAGAGAGAAGCCCATCAACCTTTGATTGACATTTCATTACATTACTGTGTTATCGTTCCATAAATTAAAGTCATTCATCATGATGTTTGGATCTTCCGTCAAAACCATGATGCTCGGAGGCAGCAAAGCGAGAATTCTTTCTTCTCTGGCCCACACCACCGGTCGTCGATTGGTTCCTCGTCAGAGTAGCGTCTTGTTGACCAACCGATGGTTTTCCAGTGATCCCCATCGCATCCAAGACAACAGCGCTTCGTTCAACAACAACAGTCACTATTCCCTCCACACGGAACCAGCTGCCAGCATCAACAGCAATGAATCCTTCTTGACTGATGAGAAGGCCAGAACTTCCATTCTAATGGAATTATCCGATCGTGTGGGTGTGTTGCACGACGTGCTAAAGCACTTTTGGAAGTACGATATCAATGTCACTCGCATTGAAAGTCGTCCTTTGCAAAAGGGATGCAATAATGACAGCACCCAAGATACCTTTGATTTCTATTTGGACTTTGATGGAGATACGCAGGATGACAACGTGCAGCAACTCCTCCAGGCACTCAAGCCATTGGCCAACAAGGTACTCATTTTGGACAGCAAAGATGTCTATTGGTTCCCTCGACACATTTCGGAACTGGATCTCGTTGCCAACCGCACATTGGATGCGGGTGTGGACTTGGAATCGGATCATCCCGGCTTTCACGACACGGAATATCGTGCCCGAAGGGCCCAAATGGCCGAGAATGCCCAAAAACACATTTGGAACAAACCCATTCCCCGAGTCCAGTACACACAAAATGAAAAAGATGTGTGGTCGGCTGTGTGGGATAAAATGGAAGGACTGTTGGAACAGCATGCCTGCAAGGAATATCTGGTACGTTAACACAATGACACGAAAAGAAGAAAGCACCAAAGTAGATACTGACCAACCTCATACTCTTGTCCATTTTGGCTTGCCTGCAAAACTAACTTGTCTGTGATGAATGAATGAAACTACCACAACAACAACAACAACAACAACAACAACATTAGGAATCCATGGAACTCATGAAGAAACATTGTGGCTACAGCCGCAATGACATTCCTCAGCAGGAAGACATTAGCGCATTCTTGATGGAACAAAGCAACTTTCGAATGAGACCCGTGGCGGGGCTTTTGTCGTCTCGTGACTTTCTCAATGGGCTCGCCTTTCGAGTCTTCTTCTGCACCCAGTACATTCGGCATCATTCCAAGGTGGGTGGGTCCATGCTACCAACGTTCCTCTTCAAGTGGATGGTTGTTTTGTACTTGCTTTATTCGATTCTCATTACTATTATTTTCTGTCGTGTTGATTCCTGTACCGTACTGCAGCCACTGTACACTCCCGAGCCCGACATTTGCCACGAGCTCTTGGGTCATGCTCCCATGTTTGCCGATCGAGATTTTGCCGACTTTTCGCAGGAAATTGGGCTCGCCAGTTTGGGAGCATCCGATGACGATGTCCAAAAACTGGCGCATTGCTATTGGCATTCGGTAGAATTTGGATTGTGCCAACAAGATGGTAAAAACAAGGCGTACGGTGCGGGACTGCTGTCATCGTATGGAGAATTGGAGTATGCCTGTGCGGACGACCATCCCGGAGCGGATGAGCCTCCAACGATCAAGCCGTGGGACCCCGAAGTGGCCGCTCATCAGGCATTCCCCATTACCACGTACCAGCCAGTGTACTTTTTGGCCGAGTCTCTCCACGATGCCAAGCAACGCATGCGTACGTACTGCGAAGGATTACAGCGTCCCTTTTTTGCACTGCACAATGCGCAGAACGATTCCATCCACATTGACCGACCCGTCAAGCGCACTCGTGGGGTCCCTACGGAAGAGGAAGCTGCAGCTTAGAGAAAGAGACGGTGGTTGTAGAACGGACAAATAAAAAAATGGCTATTGCAAGTCGGTCAGAACTTGTGAAGAGGATGGGGTTCCAGCCCATCCATCCGAATGGAAACGACATGGGCACCAATGAAACGAGGTGCCCTATTTCAGAACGAATTTCACAGCAGGCGCCACAAAAAGGGCCTTGATTAGAGCTTTTTGCATGCATACAGATACATATATATGACAACATGTTAGAATCCAATCTTCCAACTGCACAATAATATAGTATGAAATGAATTGTCGTGTAGTTGTTGACAACTAAAACTTGTGTGGCCTCCTTCGTGCCGTGTATTTGGTATCGGGCCGAACGTCCTTTCCCTTTTTTCTCTGCATGGCCTTTTTGTGTACAATCCATTCCTTGGTTTTGACACCCTTTTTCTTTTTGGGTGCCTTCTTTTTCTTATTGTTGGCACCCTCCATGGTGGATCCTACCGTAACATGTTGTTGTTGTTGTTGTTCGTGCATACCAGTAGTCAATGGTCGCTGCTGCTGTTGTTGCTGTTGAGTGGAGGATCGATCAAAGGAGAGAACCAAGTAGTGTTTTTTGGCCTTCGCCGAATTGGGATAATCGACGACGACGCCTCCGGCAAATCCCACCTTGGTGGCAGTTTCACTAATCAATACAGCTTGATCGGCCGTTTCGGGATAGAATTGCAATACAGCTCTACCCCCTCGTTTGAGTACCGTGTAGAGGGAACTAAAGAATCGTAGGAGTCTCTTTTTTGGATTTTGATTCTTGGAATTGGAATAGCAGAGCCACTGGAGTGCCGAAATGGAAATGCAGGCATCAAAAGTGGCGGGGCGAAAGGGAAGTCCCGTGCCCATGTCCTAAAAATAAATAGAAAGTGTTAGTGATGTCAATTGTTTGTTGTTGTGGTTGTTGCGATGTATTAAAAAGACGTACATGATGCATGAGATCTCCCGTCGAAGCTCCTTCTTCTTCTTCTTCCTCTTCCTCATCATCACTATCATCCTGTTGCATGGATTCTTCTTTTGGTGGTTGTTGACTTTGTTGTTTGGCAGTATTATTGGCAACGGTAAGCATATCTCTCGAGACATCACATCCCAACCAAACATGTCCGTTTTCTTCCAAAATTTGTCCCGACAATCCCGATCCACATCCGACATCCAAAATCAGTGCGGGAGTATTGGGATCCAATCGCAATAGTTCCATGGCTCGTTCGGTAATTTCTCGTTGGACTCCAATCATTCGCGAGGACGAATGGTACTTGCGCGCCTCTTTTTGATTGTAAAACAACGACGCATGGCCCGTCAATTCGGGACGGGATGTCATGGTAAAAATATAATAAGTGTAAAATTTAATAAATAGGACTTGAATGAACTGGAGTAGAGTTGGAATGGGGTTGTATTGTAGCTATGGAGGCTCTCTTCCTTCAGTATTTCTGCGAGCCAATTTGTGGCCTTGTCTCTCAAAGAACACAACAATGGAGAAAGGTCGAGACTTTGATTTGGTTGTTTCATTTGGTTTGAGTGGTGGCCAATGCACTCGTGACTAACCGTCAGAAAGAGGAGTCGAGTCTGTCCTTCGAACGTTTTTTGCAAGATATCTTTCAACTTTCAACCTCTCGATCAGACAGATGTCAACAAAACAACAACACACAACAAATCATCAGAGTGACAGTCTGCATCGAATTCTTCAATCCACAGACAGTCCAAGCCATCCTCCTTTCTCTTTATCTATCACAGCATCTAGCATAGAATGTATCTGATTCGATGTAAGCGTTCGAATGGGGTTTGTTGCAGATCATGGATCCTCCTGCTGTTGGTCTTGTGCCTCTTGACGGTTGAGAATGTTCACGGTAATGAAGATACTGCTAGTAGCACTACCACGGAAGCCAGAGTCGAAGAAGAAGTGCACATTCAAACAGAAATGAGTGACGATGGTAGTAGCAGTTCAAGTACAAGTAAAACAGCAAGTACTGCTACGACGACAGACGAGAACAACAGCAACAATAGCAACCATCACGATTGTGCCTGGGGAACTCCCTGTCATCAAGAACAACAGGAAAAGCAGCAACATCAACAAGTAGACGACAAGACCACTGACGATTCTACTTCTTCGACTACCAGGCAGACAGACACTGCAGCTACAGACAGCACAAAAGCCGCCACCGACAACACGAGCAACGGTAGTAAAAACATTCCCTTTGTCCATCACACGAATCATCATCATCACCAACCCATTAAACCTCCGTCAGGATTCGCCATTTGCGCCCGCGTCTACACGGATCCACACGACAAATTGGCTCATTTCACCGATGTTGAAGAAGGCGACCATATCACACTGCCCTACTGGGAATGCGGCGCCACGGGATCCACCACATCGCCATTGCCCGTCAAGGATGCCTACTTTCGACACGCACTCTCGGGTTCGAAACCACAAGTCTGGAGTGGCGCCGAATATGGACCACATCCCCAACTGGTCGTGGCGTTGAAACGCATGGAAATTGTTCTCAATTCGGGAGAAACCAAACAACTCACACCGGGACAAGTCGTGCTTATGGAAGATGTCGTGTCCGGAGGACACAAATTCAAGGCACTCGAAGCTGATTTTGACATGACGTATCTGGTACTCACATTGCCACAGCATTATCATCACGTGGGTAAAGATCGCATGGCATTGAAACAAGGGACCATGGAAAAAAAGAAACAACCGCCGTGTGCGAATGAACAACCACAACAACAGCAACAACAACATGCCGCCGGAGGAGCCTTTGTCCCCAAGTCGACACCACTCACAACCCTCTCGTCGTGGGAAACTATATTGTCGGGACACACCGTGCCGGATGGAGAAGTCGCTCCACTGCGAGAAGGACGCGTACGAAAACTATTATTGGGAGCCATTGGAGTCTCCGTCTCCAGTTTGGTCGTCGATTTTCTGGGCAAAGTGGCGCCGCTTTGGCTGGCCGTCGGAATTGGTGGAACTTGCTTTGTCGCCGGTGGAACCTATGGCATTGTACAATGTGGAGATTATCTATGGACCGAATGGGAAATGTCACAAGAAAAGAAACGATTGTTGCCCGCAAAGGAAGAAGAAGACGAGGACGATGATGAAATCATTGATGTGGTGGTGGCAGAAACTGGTATTTGAACAACTAAGTGAAACCACTATCCAACCATTCAACAGCAAGAATGAATCTGGGTGTCGCTTTGTTTCGTCGGTGTGGACTCGATTGGATTGAGTCATTCATAATGGGCCTTGGAGCCCAAGGAATGACGGGCTGCCTGCTTGATTTTCCAAGCGAAAGACAACAACAATTTGCAACGTTTTGGAAACAAAACACAAGGCCCCATCAGCTTGCACTTTTGCTCGGCTTCTTTCCACACGCAACAACGATGATCAACAAACTGACCGAACGACTCGACTCCCGTCGTGGAGGAATTGGTGCGACTGGCCCCAGTGCACATCCACCAAGCCACCTACCGCATGAAACAATAGTGCTCTACACTTGGACGATTGGTCTTCGTTCATACAACAAGGAATGCACTACTTGTAGAGTTCCATGTACAATAGTTACGCTAAAGCAACTACATACTGTAAGGCTAGTAGGAGAATTCAAGTACTGCGAGCTTCCACATTCGGGAGTATCGGCGACACTCTGATTCGATTCACATGTTATATGCATAGTTTCCTCGTTGACTGATGAACATGTGCATATGCATACATGGAACATGGAACCTGTTGCTACAAATTTCAATCTTCGTTGGAGTGCCTCCGCGTTGGCTTCCACGTTGCGAAATGATCTTGCGACAACGAGCGTTCCACGGCCAGTGCGCAGCGAACCTTGGTTCAATGTCCAACGAAGCTGCACACAAATACTTGATAGCTACCGGTACCGGTAGGGAACCATACAGCATCTGAAACTCTCCTTTTCTTACCACGAGAACCATGAGCCACGTAGATGTAGTGGAAGAGGAGATTCCTCTCCAAGAAACGCTTTCTCACTTCTGGAAGGATGAAACATTCCATGACATCCAACTGAAATGCAATGATGGAGTCATCATTGGAGCCAACCGCTATGTCCTCTCCATTCGAAGCAAAGTCTTCCAAAAGATGCTTCTTGGGCATTACAAAGAGTCTTGCATCAACGAAGTTGTGGTACAATACAATAGCAGGGCAGTGAGAGCCCTTTTAGAATACATTCACACCGATGAATTCAAACTTGGACTGGGGGACAAGACCAAGAATCCTGAGGAAGAGGTAGAGAAGTTGACAACGTTGGTGTCCTTGGCGTCAGCATCTCATTTCTACCAGCTTCCAAAGCTCCACAAGAAAGCATCAGACTCTATCATTCAGTTGATGGATGAGATACCATCACTGTCTCTGGTTGTCCTGGAGGCATGCACAGCAAACGATTCCACCCTCCGAGATGAAGTCAAAACGAGGGCACTTTCCATGATTAGGACCAATGTGGATAGTATCAAACAAGAGAACAATTGGTTGCCAGCCATCAGCATTAATACCTTAAACACCATGCTGCAAGATGACCAGAAGACAGGAATGGACCAGCACATTCTATTTGAAATCTTGCAGCATTGGGCTGGAAATGATGAGGAGCGAAAGAATGTTGCCAAGGACCTGTTAGGAAAGCACATCTGCTTGGAGAAACTTGACCCAAACTTCTTGACGTCATCTGTGATACCAACTGGCTTTGCTTCAACCCAACAACTAATGCAAGCCTTCCAAGTCCAAGCACTATTGGCCAACAAAGAGCATGCAATGTTCTCTAGAAAGAGCGCAAAGTTCTCTCATACAGCGAAGGCCGAGCAACCTTTAGAAGCCAACCCGTGTTGTACGCCCGCAATGCATCGAGGCTTCTGGTAGAGCATTTGAGTCTCCAACTATTTGTGCAAGAGGATCTCAAGGAGATTTAGGCAGAGGTCCATGTAGGCCACGACCTAAAAAGGGGGTCCAGGGGGTCGTGGTCCACCGGGCTCCCCAGTCCCGGTGTCTCCTGGCTCTCGCAGCTGCAATCGCTGCCGGTACTCTCCCGGTCCATTGGAAGACAGTGGTAAACAGTGGTAAACAGCGGTCGACAGTGGTTGACAGTGGTAAAGACAGTTGTACATGTAAACAGCGGTAGAGATGTAAAGATAGGGGTAAACAGGGGTAAGATAGCGGTAAACAGCGGTAAAGACAGCGGTAGACAGTGGTAAAGACGGCACCACTGTCTTCTGAAACAGTGGTTGACAGCGGTAAGCAGCGGTAAGCAATGGGTAAGCAATGGATGAATCGCCGAAAACCTTGGTGGACAATGGTGTGCAATGGATTTCTCCGTACCCCAAATTGACGGATCAAAGATCGAAGTGTCGAAGAGGCCATTCAAAGGTTGGCTCCCATGTTCACCAGCTATTGACTGTCACGCACTCATTCAGGTTTGGAGGATACTAGTACAAACCAACCACAGTCCAGTTCACCACAGCCAAAACCACTACGAGTACTATAGAACTATTTGTCTTTCAACCTGCCCGAATGACTTAGTTTTTGTGATGCTCTTCTGACTCTCTGCATTGCTTGTTGTGAATCACACAATTGGCTTGTTCCCCCTGATCCCAACGATCCCAGCCCCAATTTCGCCTTCTCTTCTCTTGGCTACCGGTAGCTAGATACCGGTACTGGGGTTGGCTCATGCCAGCTACACCACCGAATTCAATCCTGCAACACTCCTCTTCCCCACAGCTCTCCCCGCCCACCCCTTTCGAAGAGACAACTGCTTGCACTGAACGTGACTCTTCATCAGCTCCACAAACTAGTAGACCTCTAGCTAGCTAGAGGTTCCGCATAAAAGTATTGTAAGAGGCACTCACAGGTTCTGAAAAAGCAACGTCATCTTATGACGCGTCTAGCCAATCAAATTTAATGGGTGCAATTCCACTCCCACCAAGCAAAAACGCCACCACCCAGATTCCCGCTTGATCAAACCGTTGCGCTGTTGCGCTGTGCCATGAATCTCGACAGAGCGACACGGTACTGTCCCCAAACCAGCAGTTACCTTCCTTCCCTTCGGACTGCATGCATTTTGTTGACAGAGTGATGTCTTTAAAAAAACAGATTCGTCAAGAGGAATCTACAACCTTGGAATAACTTGTGGCTTTCACGCTGGCATTGGCTTGGATATCAGTTGGAATCGAATCTGGCAAAAGTTATCAATCTCTTTATCGGCACGATGTCAACCGGGCTCTCATCAGTTGTCTTCAATAAATCTGTTGTTGGTGGTGTTGGCGCTACACCTATTATCAAGAGAATCTCGAGAATCTCTTGGAAAATGGTGGCGTTGCTCCTGATTTTATTCCTCTGCATCACGGATGCCGCCATTCGACCTTCTCCTGGTGGGGTGGGTGGAAACAAGGTGGCTGCTCGCCGTCCTCTACCCCGTCTTTGGTATCGACGCTTTGAAGAAGGATCGGTGGAAGACGCGGGACGTCGGATTCCTCGCTTGGATCAGTTAAGAAACAAAAAGAGCGAGAAGACTCCTTATCCCCGAGGATTTGCCGTCGACTTGTCGCTGCTACCCGAAGAACAAACTATTTCGCGAGAGGCTTTGGCTTCCGAATTGACAACACTCTTGCAAGGTATCGAATCCATAGCCAATGACCTGGATCGGGGCGTATTCCCTCCTCTGGGTATCGCCACCGGTGCTGCCGAGGATATTGTCACTGGTGCTGCCAAGGATGCTACCTCCAGGAAACCAAAAAAACAATCCACTACCAAGGCCGATAAACTCCAAAAGATTAAAACAGTGCAGGAATTGAGACAAGCAGTCCTGGATGATGGAAAGGAGTTGAAAGAGTTGCAGCTGGACCCAGAAGCTCAACTTTTAGTCAATGCTACAGCCCAGGAGCTGCTAAATCACGATGTGGTCGAGCTAATGGTGCAAAGGTTCAAGAGTGGATCCACGCCAGGCAATCGAGCTCCCGGGGATAATGCTCGGTTGGCACTGGCCATTGAAGGCGGTGGTGAGTAGATACTGTACTGCACTGAACAGTACTGCAGCACGTATATGCGGTGTTTGCCATTGACATCTGACACTGGCTTTTTCTGTAGGAATGAGAGGTGCTGTTTCTGCTGGCATGGCATCAGCTATTGCTTGCCTCGGACTCCATGATACCTTTGACGCCATCTACGGATCTTCCGCTGGATCCGTGGTGGGTTCGTACATGATTTCAAGGCAGATGTGCATGGATGTCTATGTGGATATCCTACCGGCTGCTAAACGAACTTTTGTATGTACTAAACGCATCATGTCAGCGTTGGCTGTGACTGCCATGAACATGTTCCTCTCGGGTGTCAAACAACGAGCTACGCGAATGGGCAGCAAGAATACATCAGCCGAAGACAATGAAAAGACAAAAGGATTTGCCTCCAAACTCTCACCAGGAATGAACATCAGTTTTGTGTTGGATGGGATCATGGGTCCAGAGCATGGAATTCGACCCATCGACATGGAAGCCTTTCAGAGAAACGCCAAAATGCAACCCCTTCGAGTGGCATCCTCGTACGCCAAAGATGGAAAACTATACAGCAGATGCTTTGGAAGCGAAGATTTCTTTGGAGACAAACGAGCAGTGCGGGAAGATGGAACTCGGGAAGGACTCTTTGCGTGCCTAGAGCCCAGCATGACGGTGCCGGGGGCCACCGGTCCGCCTTCTCGACTCAAGACTCATGGAAGCGACGACGAAGCAATCCCCTACTTTGATGCATTTTGTTTCGAACCGTTGCCATACCGGTCGGCAGTCGAAGAAGGAGCGACGCATGTGCTGGTACTTTGTTCCAGACCAGAGGGCTTTGTGCCCAAAACCAAACCAGGTGTCTACGAACAAGCCATTGCTCCCCTCTATTTCAAGTCTCACGGAGAGCCCGAGGTGGCAGACTTTTTCTACCGTGGAGGACAGCTCTACATTTACTTGGAGGATCTCCTGACTGTGGAAGAGGGTAAGGTTGCTGGCATGAAAAAGCAGGGTCCAGTGTCTGTTCCACCCCCTAGACTTTTGTACGGAGTAGATGCAGACCATGAGAATCGTGAACTTGCTACACATCGGGATGAAAAGTGGAAGAAGGCTCATTTGTTGCCGCTAAAGGTGCCATTTGGTACGCCAGAACTGAAGACATTAGAGCAAGAGAAAGATACCGTGAGAGAGGCTGTAAAAGGGGGTTTTGCGGCAGCTTTTGATCTTCTGGCACCAGCTATTGGATTGAATACTCACCATCATTTGACAGGGGCAGAAGTTGCAGCTTTGATCTTTCCTAAGAAGGCTGGCATGCTAGATGAGATTATTCTTCGGGAAAAGCTGAGAATTGACGGTGTCCACATTGAGCACCGTGAACACCACCACTCATCAACCACGGAGACTACCCAAGAAGTGGGCAAGGCTTCCTCTGGACGTCGCCGTCGTCGAAACCGAGCAAGTCCCCAAGAAGTGGATAAGACTCCCTCTGGACGTCGCCGTCGAATCCGAGCAAGACGGGATCGATTCCTCCGTAATGCTCGCCACGTCTTGAGCATACTGGCCCGCAACAAACGAATATCAGAAGCCAACAACGAGAAAGAACGGATGGAACATTCCATTGACAGTTTGTTGGTGGTTCCGGATCTCACGCTCCACGGAGGAGGTACACTCGACAATGACAAGCAGAAGGCAGAACACTTGTTGAACTCACTACCTGGTCTTCGCTATGGCAGAATGCCGCAACTAGCAGCTAACCTTCACCATGTGGCATCATCTCCCGAGACCATCACAACAAACGACGAGACCAGGAAGGCGTGATTTTGCTGATGGTTCCATGCAGCCCTCAACCCACCCTAGAGGTCATCGCCCCAAGCTATGGCGGTTTCTCCCATCCCATCCCACCAAATGGACAATTGTACATATCCGCCTCAAAAAAATGCCACTTAATAACGATAACAAGCTTTGAACATTCGATCGCCACAGAGCGAGAACTCCATAGCCATACTGGTACATTACTATGAACAGTGTTTCTTTCTGTCTAAAGAGGATATCCCTTCAGATTTGATATGGCAACCACATTTCTCACTGAAAGATTCCATTTCATTGAAAACACCATGCCAGGTAGTATTGAGTTGGATCATTGCTTTCAGTATTCATTGCATAGTATGGCTGGTGTTGGCACTTGTGATGGGTTCCTCCATACCGGTACCAATGGCTACCATCTGGAAGACACCTCTAGACTAGATACCGGTAGGCGACACAAAATTGTGCGCCTCAAGGGCCTCGGCGGCAAAATTCTGCACCTCCAGGGAGTGCACATCGGCCCAAATAGTCCGCACCTCTAGAGGCTGCACCTTGGGGGCAATAGTCAGAGCAACTGCAGCAGATGCCCCAGAGCATAATATCAGCCATGTACACGACAACTGCTAAACTAAAGGAAACTGGTTATGTTAGAAAGTTACTGATAAGCAACAAGGAATCGACATTGGTATTGTGTGGGTTGAGCTTCAATGATAAAGGTGGATTAGATCATTCAACCTAGTGAGCTTCTGTACCGCTGCCGTTGGTTTCATTCTGTTCCAAATCCTTTTCTGGTTCAGGCTCCTCTTGCCTTTCTTCTTGGCGTCGCTTGTATCGAGGTTCCCTCATGCATCGGTTGAAGATACTGGCCGCAAGGTAAAAGATTTGCGAAAGGAGCAATGCGGCAGCATCATCTCCCCAGCGACATCCTCCATGATTATCACACACTGAACTGCGAATCATGGGCCAAGTCAGAGCCAATCCAATTTGGACACCAACACCACTCAAATCAAGAATCTTTTGAGAGCAGGGAAGAGGGCAGAGGCATTGATTGAAAAAGCCAAAGACCGCCAAGATGCAGCCAAAAATGAGGGCCATCACACTGCAAGCACGGGCCATGTTGAGTATCCAGTCATCCTGGTCAGTTTCATCCTTATTCCAGCCTTGACAACCACTTCCATCAATGTCGGCTCTCCAAGGACCAATATTGCCTGCACCATTTCTAAGTTCGAGCATCTTGCAAGTACCCACAACCGCGGCATTGGCAGCAATGCCAGCAGCGATGGAGCCAAGCACGGCAAGTTCTGCGATTAATCCAATGAGGCCCATGTTTGGTTTGGAAGGATAAAACTTGGTGGATGGTTTTGAAAATGTAATTCTTTAGAAAGAAGTTAGTTGTGGGGAGTTTTATGAGAGAGCTGTGCCTTTCCAAAAACAAAAATGAGAGCTGGTGCGATCTTGTTTTTCCGAATGCGAAGATCAGTGACTAACTCTTGACAGTCACGCTGGTTTGCCACTGAGGCCTTTTATTCCATGTGTGTTGTGTTCCACTGAGTTATTGATGTCACTAATAGTTAAATCCTTCTTTCAACTCTTTATCAAACCATTTCTATTGTATCAACTGAGCTGTTTTGAGCATTAGAGGCATGTGAAACACCTTTGTCAACCATTTCTACTGTATCAACTGAGCTGTTTTGAGCATTAGAGGTTTCTGAAGAAATCAATTAACACGCACGTTACCGGCACTGGTACCGGTCAATTCAAGCTGATACTACAGTAAGGCTAGGGGTAACGTTTTAGAAAGGCATTCGTCATTGTTTGGATCTTGACCATGGCGCTTACTTGGTCCAAAATATGCCGAGACAACTTGAACCCAACACTTCCACCTCCTTTCACTGCATATCCTTCTTTGGGTTAATGACCAAGGGCGGTGAAGCACAGCATTGACGCCTCATTTCTACAGCTGCAAAAGGAGGCAGTTCTGTTCTGTCCATGACGAATCTTCAAGGCTCATTTTTCTCTTATCGCAGGGTATCTGGTTTTCTCTATTGGCTCCTGCCTGTGCTCTGGGGTTTGTCTCTGTTATCAACATCAACTGGCGCTTGGTTATTGTTGCCGCCAGTCGCAACCAGGACAGACTTCCCCTCATTTCTGCAAGAGAGTCGCATCAGATCATCCTTGGCTGCCACCAACACGAATTCTGCTTCATCGGCAGGACCAAGCACGACCATGGACGACCCAAGGACACAAAAGCGACTAATTTGCATTCGACATGCCCGGAGCGAAGGCAATGAATTCATGGCAAGACCTGGAAATGAGTGGGGCGACGCTACATTTCGTGATGATCCTGACCTCATCGATGCCAAATTAACGCCAACCGGAATGAAGCAAGTGCAAGAGGAATTGTTGCCTAAATTCCAGGCGAAGGATGATGATGATGATTATTACGTCAAACTACTCAGGGACGTGGATTTGATTCTGGTGTCACCTCTCACTCGAACACAACAAACATTTCAGTACGGAGTCTTACCAGCATTGAAGCAGCACAATGGCAACAACAATCTGCCGCCTATTTTGGCACACGCTTTGGCTTCAGAACGAGTCTACACCGCTTCTGACACAGGTCGATACGTACAAGAATTGGCACAAGAATTCCCATGGGTAGATTGGTCTATTATAGAAGGACATACTGACCAAAAATGGTGGTACACTGGCAGCATGGAAGAGGAGTTCCCCGAGTGGCGACCTTTTGGGCAGGGACAATGGTATGCCGTACCGGGAGAACCCATGCCAGTCTTTACCGAGCGCATGAAAGCATTAGAAGAATGGATTGCAGCACGGGAGGAACAGACCATCCTATTAGTAGCTCATTGGGGGGTCATTCGCTATCTTACGGGTGGCTATGAATCCGCCAATTGCGAAGTCAAAGTATTGGACAACTGGGTGCCGTTGCACCAGCAAGAAGAACAAACAACTACTATCGGTGGCTAGCTAGCTACGAGCCAATCCTCACTTTGGGAACAATTCCCTCATACACAGTTTTGCGAACAGACTAATGGTAGAAGCCAAGACAATTTTGTAACATTTTTTAGTAGGATGCAAGAAGCCAGAAGAGAGATACATGTACATTTATTATTTTCTTGTGGATAATTCAACTATCATTCGTTCAACGGTTCCCAGATCCATCACCAAGCCAACCAACCGCATATGGCGCAATGAAGTGAAGAGCAAATAATGTCAAATTTTCTTTTGTTGAGTAAACCGCTCACTCTTCCTCCTGCTCTTCTGCCTCATCAATTTCCTCTTCTTCTTCGGCGGCTTGCTCTTCCTCCTCTTCTTCCTGTTCCTGCGACGATGATTGTCGTCGGTGGTGCTGCTTAAAGTTGGTCTTTTGCTGCTTGCTTCCTTTGCGGTGAGGAATGTCGCATCCTTCGAGCTCATAGGCCTCACAGAGTCGGCCCCAGTCCTTCATTGTGAAAGAAAGCACGCATTGTTTGGCCGTCCCATCATGATCCTGACGTTCATCGACGGGAGCAATGAAGCAGCCCGCCGAATCCAAACCCAAAGGAGCACTGGACTCACTCAGTGGCGCAAGAGGTTTGCGCATGCGAATTGATGCGGAGCCTTTCTTGATCAAAAAGGAATAGTTGAACATGTTCTCGACCGTCTGAGTGAAGGACTTGGGGTTGAATAAGAACGGCACCAGCTCGACTTCGCTACCCTTCTCTTGCAGCTCCACCCTGGCCGCATTTCGCAATTCTGGCTGTGTAGCCTTGACCTCGTCATATTTGGCTCTGTTTTCTTGCGCAGCCTGTTGCGATCGTTCCTGCAAGATTTTGTCCATTTTTTTCAAATCTCGTTCGGCTTGAGACAATTGATCGGCGTTTTTCTTGGCCTTTTTGCTCATTTCCTCTGGCTTTTGCTCTTCCAAAGTCTCCTCCTCCGCAATTGATTTGCGCTTGCGAACGGCACGGGCCTTTTTGATGGGGACGCGACCATTTTCCAAGGGACCCACCAGAAAATTGACACAGCTAGGCAGAGAGCGGAAGCAGACCCCCACTTCCTCGCCCAAGGTTTTCCAATCAAAATACGAAGTGCCGGCGGATCCTGCAGTCAATTTTTTCTGTAAGCTGTTGATCAAACTAGTTGGTTTGTAGCGAGGGACCTGGTTGTTTTTACATCGCATAGCGAGACGAGAGAAGTGAGAATAGAACGGCAAAAGTCCACTACAAAAGTGCTCCGACACTTACAGTCACCATATTGTTGATCTGACTCGAGACATGCTGTGAAATGCTGTTGGCGTTTTCCGCGTCAAGCACAGCTTCTCGAGTGAAACGGACATTCTTAAAGAGATCATTGTTCTTCTCTCGTGCTCGTTCCACCCACTGACCGCCGTCATCTTCGTCCATGGGACCAGTCTGCAATTCCTTGCCCAATGAGCGCTGCTCGGCCCTCAATCTACGGCGGTCGTCTTCTGTCAAGCCAGAATCCGCCCCCATTTTCAGCTTCTTGTTCTGGCGTCGACGTCGAGTTCGACGCGTCCCTTGTTCTTCTTCATCATGCTCTTCTTGTTCCTCGTCGGGAGCCTGTTCCTTGGGTGCCATGGTGTCGTCAAGTGGCTGTACTAGCTAGTATGGAGATGGTGCTGAGGATGAAATGAGATTTTCCAGAGGACCATGGAGTGACAGTCCTCTCATCAGCCAAGCGGCAGCATTGGTTTCTTGGCTCCAAAATTGAGAGCGGGCCGAACGATCCGCTTCGATCTCAGTCGAATTTATTCGGATGGTGCACATTCGAATTCGACTCATCGGATCGAACCATTCGAATTCATCGGAACCTTGTCTTTGGGCTTCCTCTACTCAAAACAAGAGATGACTAGCTAGCTAGCTAGACAACACAGAAGGAATACGATGTAGTGACAGCGGCATTATCATGGCTCTTCTTTCTCACCGAAACTGGGTTTTGGATTTGAGGAGGTTCAAGTAGCCAGAATGGTGTGTTGGAGGCAGCAGTGGCATTTTGTCGGTTGCACCTGTACCGTACCTGCTCTGCAGGAAAAGTCCGGATTTGCTTTCCCGTCCAGTCAAATCTAGCTTGTTTGGCGGAAAAGTCAGGATTTCTCAACCATATTGGTTAGGGATAGGGTCACTCACACTGGTGTGAAACGAACCAAAATCCGGACATTCTTCCCCATCCGGACTTTTCCTCCAGGGTAGCCAGGTGCCAGGTACCGTATGATGGCTTTGCTGGCTTTCAAAAGATCCAATCCCAAAGCTGCCGGGTGTTGTGTGATTTTTTGCATGCTTGTGTCGGGTCTCAGATCCTCGCGCGGCACCCAGCAAGGGTCTCAAGGCAGAAACCATTAAGATAAACAAACAAAGATGGAGGAAGAGATTGGCAAGAGAGCCTTGTCAAACTGTCGCTCAGCATCACCCGATCCACAAAAGCGAGCAAAACAATCTATCAAGGTTCATAGTCAAGATGCCTCGCAAGCCCTGTCCTCTCTTCTTCAGCAACTTCGATTCATCAGCAGCGCAGGTGGCAGCAAAACAGATGCAACACAGGAACTCGATATTGCCTTGTCCTTACAAAAACAGGTGAATTCAGTTGTCCAACAGGCAACTACCAATGTCAGGCTTGCCGAGGATGATTCCTGCTTGCGACACGAGGATATGTGGACCAACCAGATCTTCCCGTTTTTGGGTATGGGACATTTTGCCTTTGTGGCTCCAGTCAGCCATAAAATGAAAGATCTTTACTCGGCTTATTGTGGAGCCGTGGAGAATCCTCCAAAGTCAAACGATTACCATAGGGACACCGATACATTGGAAAAGGTCTCAATCACCAGCACGGATACTCTCCTCGAAGCAGTCTTCTCTAGTCTTTCTCGAGCAGAATATTGGTACAGGCACCGTAGTACTGGGAGCAACTGCACTGGGTCTGGCGGACAGATCGATGGTGCCAGGGTTTGTGCTGCAGCTGCCAGAGCAGGCTGTATTGAAGCTATTCAATGGGCCCACAACAAGGGATTCGATTGGGACGAAGCCACATGCAGTGATGCTGCCAAGAATGGTCATTTAGGTGTCCTAAAATTTGCTTTCAATCGTGGCTGTCCTTGGGATGAAAACACATGCCACAAGGCTGCTGAAAATGGTCACTTGGAATGCCTCAAGTTTGCTGACGAACATGGCTGTACATGGGATGAGGACACATGCAGCAATGCAGCCAGAAATGGCCACCTGAAAATTCTGAGGTACGCCCATGAAAATGGTTGTCCTTTGGATGAGGGCACATGCAGAAATGCTGCCAGAAATGGCCATTTGGAAATTCTGAGATATGCTCATGAAAATGGCTGTCAGTGGGATCAACGCACCTGCCTTGATGCCGCGGAAAATGGCCGTTTCGAATGCCTCAAGTACGCCCATGAAAAAGGATGTCCATGGAATTGCGATACATGTGCAGCTGCTGCTAAAAATGGCCATTTGGAATGCCTCAAGTACGCCCGTGAAAACGGATGTCCATGGAATGGCGATACATGTGCAGCTGCTGCCAGAAATGGCCATTTGGAGTGCCTCAAATATGCCCATGAAAATGGTTGTGTTTGGGGAGATAACACATGCCGCAGCGCAGCTGAAAATGGCCATTTGGAAATCCTAAAATATGCACATGAAAATGACTGTCCATGGGATAGGCTCACATGCTGCAGGGCTGCAGACAATGGCCATCTGGAATGCCTCAAATACGCCCATGAAAATGGATGTCCATGGGATAGAGACACATGCAGCAGTGCTGCTAGGAATTGCCATTTGAAATGCCTGAAATATGCACATGAAAAGGGATGTCCATGGAATGAGCTCACATGCATCAATGCTAATATTGGTGACCATCTAGAAGTGATGAAGTACCTTCATGAGAATGGCTGCCCTGGTTCTGACTGTTACCCTGTGATGTGGCGAGGATGAAGAAGAAAACACTACAGGTATCGGCGCTGGCTATACTCAAATGACAAATTCCGGAAGAGTTTTGGAGCACTTTTAAGGAATCACCTTCAGCGGGTGTAAACTAGTTAGTTGTAAAGTCTACGAGTACGTATTTGCTACGGTACCATAATGTTGTACTACTAGCTAACTAGAAGGACTCATAAATGGAATTCCTTTCTGAAACTCCCAGTAACAGGATTGGGCCTCTCAAGCTTCTCAACTATTTACCTTCAGGAGACCATCATATCTCAGCCAAAATCAAACCAACTTCCATGTAGCTACAGTACACTGTCCCTCCACCTACAAATGGCCCACCTGCCTACACGAGTGCTAGTACCATACCCCGAACAGGAGTGTACTAGCTAGTACTAGAACCAGGTACCAGGTACCAAAGCCACTGCATGTCCTTGACCTTCGACTCGGCTCCTTGGCTTGGAGCTTGCGGTGGTTGGACTTTCGTAGAGAGAATCAAAAGCGACTTCCGGGATTCTCTGTGAGTAGTATTCATGAAGGTGGCGCACGTTCCTCCTATTTAATAGCAAGCTACACTGGTTTAGAGCTGGATCTACAGGTTCTTCAAAGCACTTCGCTTTCTCCCCACTTGGGGAGCTTTTTCCTCTGTAGCAGTTATGTTTGGGTTGCTACGGCACTGACAGTAGATTGGTTTCTGTTCCCTTGATGCGAACGCAACAGATGGACGAAGGAAGCGCAACAAGCCTGATGTTATCCGAGCAGCTGTTGCCGACTCAAGGTGCCGCCAAGGCAAGTCCTGCTTCCACAGCTTCGCTTTTTCCAACGGGGTTCTGACTGTAGAGTGGTTTCTGTCCCCTCGTTGCGAATGCAAACAACAGATGGATAAAGTGCAACCCGACTGAGCAGACGGTGCAGTTTTGGCTCAAGTTGCTCGCCACGCACCTCTGCCATGCTGCCAGTGCCGGTACCGGCACCAGTATCATCAGGGCATGAACCAAACTAAAAAAAGAAAGCTGATCGTTCACTTGGGAGGATTTGAAGTTCTGAGCTTGGATTAGTGGTTTTATTAAATGTCACCGTAACGCACACACCCCTAGATGCAAACATAATCATCAAGGATACTGATGGACTGTCGTAGATCTTAGGATTGTTTTAGATTAGAATTACACGAAAATGATAAGTAGAGAGAGCCGCAGTTTGGAGCGAGAAAGATTGAAAGAGGAAGAAAGCAGGGAAATGCGTCCAAGGGAACGTCCACCCAGAGACCAGAGAGATAACCTACTAGTGCTTGGGCTGGAGCTGGAGCTTGAACATGCGAAACGCAACAGTTTCCATTCGCCACCATTCCCTGTTTATTGCAGGCACATCAAGTACGCCTGGATTTGCTCCGATGATTTTTCAATCGAGGAGATGACCCCAGTAACACTGTTCGACCGAGCATATCTTTCTGTCTTGGGAGATGTCATCACCAAGCTCTTGCGAGTCTCATGGCTTCGCTTCATAGATTCTGACAACTTTCGAAGGCTCATCTTGAAATCTTTGCTGGACTCGATCGATGATGATGATGTTGACGATGACGACGATGATGATGACATCGATTCCTCCGTCGGGAGGACAATCTCTTCCTGGAAGAGTAGTTCTTCCATGGGAGCTTCTTCATTGCTGGTACCATTGGAATCGAAAAGGGCGAAACCTTCCAGCAAGTTGGATCCAAGCTCCATATCCAATTCCATGATTCTCATTTCCTCGTCTTCGGTTTGCCATTGCTCAAGCACCTTGGTGGCTTCTTCGTATGAGCTGGCGGAGAGCTCTTCATCTTGCATGACAACATCGGCAGCGTTGCTGATCCAGAGATTATAGTCGGCAGAGGAAGGAAAAGCCTCATCAGAAGTGAAGTGGATACTCATGGTGGCTTTTTGCTTTGGCTAAAAAACAATTGAGGGGGCTGACGCAGACGGATCAGCAGCAAAAACGCACGAAGAGAAGGCGAAGTTTATGAGCAGAGAATTGATGAATGTTATGATACCTTGGGTGATGGAGAGAGCTTGGCGCTCTGAAGGCAAATCCTTCGGAGGTTGCAACGGCAGCTATGTCACCGTTGTGGTTGGAGACTGATGAGCTAAGGGAAAAGAATCCTATGGGCAGAACGAGGGTACCGTAAAAATATGAAAAAAGTCTCGAATGGTGACAGAGGAATTCTGAAAAGAACGTTATTAGTTCATTACTTCAACAACAGACACACCAAGAGACTTTATTCTTAATGCCATTGTTTCCCAAAGAACACAAAATGTCAATTTGTGACTGAACGTCACGCACAATAGCCCACATCACAACCAATGGAATGCTGTGGTTGCATCGCGTGCGTAATCCGGCTTCTGATGAGCCGTGAAACTTCTATCTCTGGAATCTGGAAGAGTGTTGTTGAACTGATGGAGCTAGATCCAGTGATGGCATGCGGCAGCCAAGTGGAGGTGGAACTGGTAGGTAGAGCACAGACCAAGGCAAAGAAAAAGGATGCGAAGGGGAAGCTCATTGTGACGCAAGTGAATGCTGAAAGAACCCAAGCTGAAGGTTGGGTTCTGGTGCGATGGGAAAACAGCAATGTCATCGACTCTCCTTAGATCTACTCTCTTCCAAAGATCGGCTGGGCTAGCCGCGGTAGCTTTACCGGTAGCTAGCTAGTACCTGGTATTAATAGCAAGCCAGCTTCCACCCAACTCTTGGCTAGAGGCTAGCTAGATGCCAGAGAAATTGATGAATGGCTGAAGAACACAATCCTCTATTGGAAGAAACACACCATCATCACAGTGCGTAGTTTTTGTTTCCCCAGGACAAGAAGTATCGATATCAACTGCCCTGGTCACTCACTACAAGGAAGCTTTGAAGCTTTCCTGTTCACAATTGGTTACAGTTGCAAAACAAACCTGGATGCATTTGCAAAACAAACATGTTGTATTTGCAAAACAAACATAAGGGGTAAGGATCATTGTGAAGGTTTATTCTTCGTTTGCTAATGTGTGCCACTGGTGCAGAATAGGTTTTGCCCGTGTTGCTGGCCTATCTTCGTGGGAGTCACAAGATTTTTCGATTTGTTTGTTAGGGTTAGGGTGGCGTGGATCTTTTTCCATTTCCGAGATCGCAGCATGAACTTTCAAAAAACAAAAGCGCTCCTCGAGATTAGAAGTGCCAATGAACAAGCTCTTCAATAGCTAACTCTAGCCAGAAGTAAATGCAACCAAGCTCCTCCTGGCTGTGGCGACGACTCGTGGGAACGGTGTAACTACCTTGAAAGCTACCAAAGGTTCGGGAGCTGTATTTTAAAAGTTATAATTAAAACAGGAAAGATGGGTCAAGATGATGCGGAACCAACAGGGGTTCCAGCCGCTCCATATCCGCCCATGCAATCCTCACGATACCCTTCTGCTCATGTGACAACGACGCGCTCTTCATTGAGTTCTACTCCCCAGTACACGTCATCCTCCACAACTGGCACTGGACGTCACGGTGGTGATGCCTCGAACATGAAGTCTCCTGATTCGGCGGCTACCATGGAAGGATCTTCCATGCGTCGGGGTTCAGCAACGGCGACTTCTGTAGGAGTACAAGTGCAGGACCATTTAGCTGCAGCCTCTTCCAATGCTCGAGTGGGAAATGCCGCGAATACTGCGGCGCGTCAGGCTGTGTCTCGCATTCAATTTTGCCACGCCAATGTGGTAGCATGCATCAATTGCCAGCCGCCGCCTCCTCTACCCGTGATTGCAGCCTCCAATACAGCAGCAACACAACAAGATTCACCGTATGCAGGAGCTCCGTCGGCACAGCCAACACCACCGCGTGTCAATCGCAAACTGGGACCCATCTTATTGGATCTTCGACAGATTGTGGCAGTCCCTCAGCATTACAGCAGTCGACTGGGACAGCACGAACACCATCATCAATCCACAGAAATGCCAACTCTGTTTACAACTCGGACACTTACACTGTCACGCGGAAATCCTTCCTTGGGGACAAGTGTCTCCTCGACTTGTCTGGATGTATCTAGTATTCTACCAGCCTTTGGCGCCACCCAGAAACCGTCTCCCTGTGCCACTGGTTTGACCACGGGAGCCTTGTGTATTCATACCTTTTCCACAGAAACCACAACTGACGATGGGGGCGACTCCTTGGCAGCTTCCATTGAATACTTTCATACACCCCGACATCACCGACCAGCCACAGCCGTGTCTTGGAGAAGTTATAATAGTCGCCATGTTGCAGTTGGGTTGGTCAGTAGTGCCATGGCAGGGGCTACACCCATTTCATCGAGTCATCATCATCACATGAACGTCAATAATCATATGAATATGAACTTGCCCGCCATGAATGCTCGTAGGGGAGGCACCAATAATCCAGTCGTCACGGGAGTAAGAGGAGGTGGCGGTGGGGGAAGCGGGGGAGGTGGAGATCGAGAATTCTGTTGCTTTCTCTGGTAAGTGATGAAATTGGTGGAATTCATGCCCATCACTTCGCCATCGTGATTGCTGCTCACAAATCGCTTTATTGGCTGCCAACGTCCTCTACATTTTCAATGGGTTTCAGGGATATTGAACATCAGGCAGCCGGTAGCGGGACCAAACGTACCAATACGTCTCCCTTGTTCAAGTTGTCCCACAATGCCGGTGTTGCATCTCTGGCCTGGCTTTTGGACGGTGGACAGACACTGGCTGTGGGTGGACAGCAGCGAAACATTCAATTGTATGATTTACGTGTGTCTGGCACGAGCAGTGCCACACCACCAATCAGCGCCTTTGGGCACAACTTTGGTGTGCATGGCATTGAAGTGGATCCATTCCGACCTCATCAATTCGCAACCTTTAGTCGTTCTGCTGAAGAGCCTGTCAAAATCTGGGATGCCCGACGCATGGATTCAGTAGTGAGTGAAATCAAAATTGGTGGCATACTTCAAGCTGCAACTTCACAATCCACGACGACAACCACCGACAACCATAACAATGCAGCCAACAAGAGTGCCACAGTATCGGCCCTTCGATGGTCATCCAGAGAGTCTGGTGTACTGTCCATTTCAATTGCGGATGTGGTGCTGGATTACGATACATCCTCTCGTCCAGTATTGTCTCGAGTCAGCAGAGGAAAGGGGCCCATCCTAGACATGGCTCTGTATCCTGGTTTACTGCCTTCAACCGATAGTCCAAGTGTTGTTCCAAGGGCGAAACCAGGACAAAAACAGCCAGCGGCTGCGACAGCCGAAGGAATCAACGACATGTCATTAATTACAGAGTTGTACCCTCAACGAATGCTCGTCGTCGTTGACGATCGCTCGGTGCAGGACATGGCGAAGCATACATCTGCTCCACTGGCAGTATCACGCCGTGATGGTCGAGTTGTTCATTCGTTGGGAAAATATCTATTCTTGGGAACGACACGGTCAGGGCCAATGGCAATGGAGTCGTTGAAGTTCCGTTCTGATGAGGACATTTCCGCCACCATGATGCGACGGGCCCGATGCGTCCAGGTCGCGCGGTATTCCATGGACACTACCTCGAATATTCGACTTTTGGCGGAAGAAGCACCTCTGGATAGGCTGTCATCGAATCGGGATGCTCTGCTTCGGCTGTGGACATGGATTGATCGAATGGAGTCGTTGTGCGGCTCCCACGAGGAGATGGGAGCCATGGAAGACGGAGGCACGTTTTGGTCAACAAAAGGATTTGACGAGTGCGGGGTTTGGAAACTACTAGACTTTGACAGTGAAAGGCATACAGATACTATCGTTCGCTCCGATGCCTTGGCGTGTGATGTCTATGAAAGTCCTGTGCGAAGGTACGAGAATTGCGAGTGTATCGATGACTCGTGGCTACATTAATCAACCGGCTTACCCTCCTTTTTGCCCTGTACAGAGCCGGGCTGACGGCATGCGGCTGGACCGGACGGTTTGATTTGTCTAATGTTCTGGCGGAATGTGAAAGCTTGGGCGAGTACGAACGCTCCGCCGCCTTGGCAGTCTTCCACGGCAGCTTGGGATCAGCTGTGGATGCACTGCAAAGAGGGGCAGACGCCATACACCGGCACTTTTCCGACAATGGACGACACGATCTGCCTGCTGAGGCTCCACAATACGCTGAAACGCTACAGTTGGTGGCCATGTGCATCGCTGGGTTTGGTGGCATTGATTCCAAGTCCCCCTCCTCGGGCGTGTGGAGGAAAGCTTGCGAAAGCCTGATGCGACGACCCGACATGAGCGGAGACAACCTGCGAACCAGCCGGACAGCGTATCTACGAGCTTTGTGCACATTCCTCATCAACATTAGCACAGGCCGCAGCTACGATGGCGTGCTGGAAGACAACAACCTTAGTCTTTGCGACCGCGTGGCGTTTGCGTGCCGATTCCTCGGTCGAGTACAGCTCCAGCACTATCTTCAAAAGTGTGTGGATTCTTGTCAGGCAAGTGGCAATATTGAGGGGCTGGTCATTACGGGTATTGCAAAGGAGGGGATTCGAATTATTCAAAGCTATGTCGATCAGACGGCAGACGTTCAAACAGCCGCGCTGGTAACAAGTCGCGTGATTCTCCCTGTGGATTGGACTCCCGAACGACGCATCTGTGCCGAATTTTTGGATGCCTACCGGACACTGCTCAATACGTGGCAAATGTGGCAATCTCGTGCCATGTTTGATGTGGACCGTGCCGATTTGCTCCGTCGCATCAAGATTCGCCAAGCCGATGCGGCTCATCATCACCAGGGAGGAGTACTACCTCACAACATGAAGAACTATCCCACTCGTCGTGTTCAGTCTCGCGGGGTACGCCAAGGAGTCCGACAACCCGATCCCGATATATTTCCTTCGGTTCCGGCGCAGTTGGATGCGCGATGCACCTACTGTTCCGCCTCGTTGGGACTGCGACGCCTGGACAATCACGCCAATCAGTGGTTATCGAAAATGAAACCGGTTCTTTCCTGCTGTCCCTCGTGTCAAAAGCCGCTCCCGCGCTGTGCGATTTGTCTCTTGTCGTTGGGCGCCCTGAATCCGTACATGGAACTGACCCGCGAACGAGAACGCACCACCCGAGTCGGTCAAGTGACGCTGCCCGTTCCCGACGACCTGTCGTCTTTGGCCAATCTTCCCTTTGCCGAATGGTTTACCTGGTGCATGACTTGCAAACACGGCGGACACGCACATCATTTGGTCGGTTGGTTTGCCAATCACAGTGTGTGTCCCGTGAGTGGTTGCGACTGTCGATGTCAATTTGATGGGATTCAAAAGTTGAATCGTCCCGCCTTGATGATCCAGCCACAGCAGCAGCAGCAGCAGCAACAGCAACAATAGTGGTAAAGCTCAGCTAGGAACCGGTAGATTGTTGCTGGATCACATATATCAATCAATCAAATCATTGATTGTGCAGTCTATCTTTGACTGGTTTGCACGACAACCGATGAATGGGACTGGGTCCATGCGTGTGCAACGCTTGCAAGTGTTCTCGAGTCGCATATCCTTTATGCCGATCAAATTGGTAGTCTGCTCTTAGTTCTGGAGTCACAATTTCTTGTAGGAGGGATTCGTGATGCACTCGAGCAATAATGGACGCCAGTGCCACCGAGTAGACCGTCTCATCGCCTCCCTTCCAAGCGCGAGATGGAATCGAAATCTTGTCGTGTAGTAGAATTTTGGGACTCTTGTGTCCGTCGGTAATGCAATAGAACTGGTCGTCCATACATGCATTAGTTTTGGACGCGTCTTGTCCAGTAATTATTTGTTGCATCACACGGTCTATGGACTCTTGAAAACATTCCTTGGTGGCTTGTTCTAGTGACACGTCGTCAATGACTTGATTGGATCGCGAGGCCACACCCCACACAATCCCGGATTGATTTTGGAGTATTTGCTGGTAGATTTGGTTGCGTTGTTTCTTGGATAATCGCTTGGCGTCGTCGACCCCTGGAATTACTACTGACGATAAATGAGTGATACAACAACTGGCCGTGACAATGGGCCCTGCAATACACCCCGTTCCCGATTCGTCGCTACCAATCACAAACGGAAATCCCCGCTTGTGCAAACCCTCTTCAATCAGCAGAGTTTCCTGGGGGCGTCGCTTTCGCAGAGGCTTGTTGCGACGATTGTTAGAAGACGCCAATCCCTGTACAAGAGGAGATGTCCATACGAAGAGAAGCAGCAGCAGGAGCAGCGACGGTGGAAGCATCTTTAGCATTGTCTCTTCTTTATTGTGATTCTTGGGTGTTTTGTGTGGTCAAGGCTTAGCGATGAGGATCTTTTGGATCTTTTGGTGGTCTCATTTTTCATTAGGGCTCAGGCGAACATGTTTTGACACCCCTTCCGACACGTCATCGGAAGCACGGCTTCGCAACCGCAAACGAGTTGACGAGTTGATGGCGGTCGCACGGACACAATGAGAAAGCTATGTGCTCTTCCTCGTCATTGATTTCGGTTGACACCTCCTGCTTTTCTCACTTGACTTGACTTGACTTGCATTGTTGCCTGTGGATCTTTCATTACTGGCTTTAAATCGTTGCGGCAAAAAAGGACTCACAAATCAGAGAGAAGAAGGAGTGAGAGACAGAATACAATACTATTATCATACTAGCCAGTATGTTGAGAACACTGGCCCAACGAAGCCGACCATGGATGGTGGCTAGGATATCCAGCAGCCAGGTCCTGGTGTTGCCTACTACTACTAGATGTCTCTCCACTACCACCACTAATTCAACTACCACTTCTAATACTAATAACAATAATCCCCTTGAGCCCACCATGGTCTTGGAAGGATTCCCCGAATCCGTGGGAAACTCGGTGGCACGAGCGGCTACCCAAGCCCAAACATCCGTCTCCCTCCAAGATTTGATGCGCACCGGCCAAGGCGAGTACTTGCATCGCACCTTTCAAGATGATTTGGACAATGATCACACTGCTACGGAACTGGTACTCATTCAAGTGGCAGGCTTTTTACGACGCGAAATGCCCGTCCGATTGGCCCATCGCATTCAAGATTTGGAACGGGTACCACTCATGAAGGATGCCAAGTCGGTACGGGATGTACGCGATTTGTACATTACGTCCTTTCAGGAACTGGAAGCCTTTGATCCACTCATTCGGACACCGCAAGAAGAAGAAGACTTTTCCAAATTACTCGAAAATATATACGAACGACATTCCAAAGTACTCGTACAAATGGCACGAGGCGCCTACGAATGTAGAGACTTGATACGGACGCAAAAGGATCTCGAATTTGAACTCATGGAGGAAACACACAACTTTCTGGATCGATTCTACCTATATCGCATTGGAATGCGGGTACTCATTGGACAGTATCTAGCATTGCGCCAACCACCCGTCGAAAACTATATTGGCATTGTGTGCAGTCATACCAGTCCCTACGAAATTGTCAAGCGAGCCATTGACGATGCCGCCTTTATGTGTACCCGCATGTACGGAGATGCACCCGAAGTCATTATGAGTGGACGATTGGATCTCACATTTCCCTATGTGCCCACTCATTTGCGTAAGTTCACATTATATTAATACACGTCGTTCTCATTCGACGAAACCAATCCCTGATCCGATCCCATCTCTTTTCTTTTTCTTTCTGGAACAGACTACATCATGCTGGAACTCTTGAAAAATTCCATGCGTGCCACGGTCGAATGGCACGGCGTCGATGCCGAATTCCCTCCCATCAAGGTCATTATCGCCGATGGAAATGACAATGAAGATGTCGTCATCAAAGTCAGTGACGAAGGGGGTGGAATTCCACGATCCAACACGAAAAAGATTTGGAGTTATCTATTCACCACGGCCGATCCCTCCATACAAGAAAATGTTGTGGGAGATAATCCCGATCATTCCACCGATTCCCCCTTGGCGGGGTTGGGATACGGGCTGCCCATTAGTAGATCCTACTGCCGATATTTTGGTGGAGATTTGTCCATTATGAGTATGGAAGGTGAGTTTTGTCATGTGATTCATATTCGTGTGAGGCGGATTTTGGTTGGTGCTTATTATGGATGGCTGACATTGTCGTTGGACTCGACTCGACTCACGCGGTGGATTGCGTCAGGATACGGCACGGATGCGTTTGTGTATCTTGCAAGGTTGGGAAATACAAGGGAACCGCTGCCCATTTAAATCCAACTACAATAAGGATTATTTGGAGGCTCGAGGTATTAGTGGAACACGCCAACAATCTGCTCGAACACCCTGAACAATGAAACGATTCGATTCGATTCGACTCAACCACATAGTTGGATTGTTTGGAAAGTCCTCGCTGCCTCAGACTCGTACAGTGCATGTGTTTGGTGGGATGCATCTACAGTACACACTCGGATAGAACGATAGCTACCAGGTACTAGGTGACTTGCATTTATTTTTATGAGACTTCAATCTGCACAAAAGGTTTCATTTACTACTCAGGCTCCGCTGCCACCAAATCATCGACAGCGTCTTCCAAATCTGGTTGGCCGGTTTCTCCTGTAAACCAACGAACAGCCTTGGGAATGATTTGTGTGCGCAATGCTTGGGCAGCATCGTAGTCTTGTTCAAATGCGGCTTCCAATTGTAGCGCCACTTCTTCATTCATTTCTTCCAATGGAGGCATAGTGGGAGGGTTGAACCAATGGAAGAAGGAATCTTTCTTTTCAGTTCTCGTCACGGTTCGCAGTTGCCCGGAATGTTTTCCCTTGCCTTTTTGTTTCTTGGTCACAACTTGCTCCGTCAAACACTTTCCTTCTTTCCATTGAATGTCACAGCCAATCACTTTCTTCAAAATGGGTTCATCACCGGATATCATCAAGTTGGGGACTTGGTATCGTTTGGTTAATATCTCATTGTCGAAATATTCGTTCTTGGCAAAGAAAAACTGGAGCGTAAAGCCTGTTCCATCGGCATCATCTTTACACGTGATATCCAAGAGGCAATCGAGACAATCCACATCTTGCTCGGCAATCATGGATCCAACCGTTTCCATATTGGACAAGGCGGATACCCAGAAGTGCGGAATGCATGATTCCTGTCCTTGGATAATTTGGGCTCGTTCTTTGTAGAGACCAGAGTACTTGGCTTGGTACTTGGCTTCGAGGGCAGCTCGTTCTTTCAGGTATTCTTCGAGGTAGGATTCTCGAGTAGAGTCAAGCTCTTGGAGCTTTTCGACGAGACCATTCAATATCTCATCCGTTTCACCTTCCTCCTCCTCCTCCTCTTCTTCACTGACCACATTGTCAACGACTTCATCGGCTGATGTCGCCATGGTTGCTTTGGACAGAAAAATGAGGGAAAGTTTGAGTGGTTGTCATCGAGGGGTAGCAAGCCAGCAGTTTGCTTTAGATTCGATTCGTGGGAGTGGCAATCGGTACGGTACATGTAGCTATTTACCACCGGGACCCCAAGTTAGCCGTGGTGATCACGAGGGGCAAAATTGCAGCCTATCGATCGTACCTTATGGACGGGGGAGATTGCTACTGTACCGGTAGGCTACTAGCTAGTAGGAGCAAGGCTGCGTGTTGGCCGCAGAATCTTCTCGGCCTTGGTCTGCGGAGGTACCGGTACCGGTACCGGTACTTGAAAGGTACGGTTTTGCCCAATAGATTTGGTTTTGATAGCTAGCTACAAATGTAGCAACTAGCTAGCTAGTAGTGTTACGAAATTCAAAGGTTTGGCTTTCAAGGAATGCAGAGAATGCTCGGAGAGGAGTCGAGTCGACTAGTAGGGTACTGTAGCTCAGATACCTGCGATGACTGCAATGTAATGTACAGTATTGGATGAGCTGAACAGAGCATTAGGGTATCACAATCGCTAGCTACTGGTACTAGTAGCTAGCAGTTAGCTACCGTAGCTGCCCGGAAGAAGTGGTAATGAAATGTTGGTCCTGTAGGTGGTAGCAAAACTGGGAAACTTTGATGGGGCCAGGACTGAAGCGGGCCCGGGTCGTAACGGTCAAAGCGGCGCCGTGGACGCGAATGACGTCGAAATGGGGAAACACGTCCTTCTCGAGTGATCCGACCGTAGTCGGTGGCGTTTTCACTCTCCTCTCACAAGGATGCACCAACTGCTGGTTGGCTGCTTTGCATTCTGTTTGCTTGCTGGCATTTTTTGTGATACTACCCAAGCAAGAGCAAATAACATTCCCAGGACTATCACAAATAAAAATACAGATATCTACAAGAAGAAGAACCACAATAAGAGAGCAGCCATGAGCGGAGCATCAGCACCAACATCGAACTGGGATGGAGCAGCCATGACACAGACTGACATGATGGAGAAGGACACTGTTTTGGTTTTGGACCATGACGATAACTTGATCGGATCAGAGTCCAAGCGAGGTTCCCATGAATTTAACAAGAAGCAACCCCGTGGTGTTTTGCACAGAGCCTTTTCTGTCTTTATCTTTGATGAATCCACCGGAGAACTACTCTTGCAGCAGAGGGCATCCACCAAGATTACCTTCCCCAATGTACGTTGGTGAAAAAGTGAAAGCAAAGAAGTGAAGCCACCAGAAATTTGAATATTGTTTATGCGCGGACAACCATCCTCATTATCTTTTTTTCTTCTTATCATTTCAGGTTTGGACCAACACTTGCTGTTCGCACCCACTTCATGGAATGGAGCCAGCTGAGGTTGACAAACCGGAAGATGTAGCCAACGGAACCGTCATGGGTGTCAAGCATGCCGCCATTCGCAAACTGTACCATGAATTGGGTATCCCCAGCAGCGAACTGCCCATTGAAAATTTCAAGTTCTTGACACGCTTGCATTATTGGGCCGCGGATACCGTCACTCATGGAGCCAAGAGGTAAGTCTGACAATGTCGGTTGTCTTGGGAGGAAAATTGGCGACCTCTCTCTAACCAACAACATTGACGTCGCTATGATTACTTGTCTTGTGGTGGTACAGCCCATGGGGAGAACACGAGATTGACTACGTCTTGTTTTTGTGTGTCCCCAACAAGTCGGCCATCACTGTCAAGCCTCATCCAGATGAGGTGGATGCCATCAAGTGGGTCACCAAAGACGCCTTGTTGGAAATGTTCCAAGACAAATCACTCCTCTTTTCTCCATGGTTCCGTCTCATTGCCAAAAAATGGATGGTCAACAAAGGAGGTTGGTGGGAAGACCTCAAGGAAACCATGACCACCGACAAACACTGTGACTTTGACAACATTCAGCGATTTGACCCACCCAGTGAACATTTGGGTGGAGAAGGAGAAGCGGGGCCACTCTTTGACACGGGAGACAAATCGTGAGTAGCATTGTCATGGCACGTCAGCCCTTTTTACCACAGTTCCATCACTCACTCACAACTTTCTCTCCGCCTGAATTAATTTCCTTGCCTTCAATCACTGACAGCAAAAAGCAAGGTGCCTACGGAAAGATCAAGATTCACACCGAGTCAAAACTGGCGCAGCTCAGCCACTTGGATGAAGTCTTTGCTGCATTCACCTTTATGTATGTGAATCCATTAAAGTCCAACTTGGACACCGATTATATTCGCAAGACCTTTTCACAGGAAGATTTGGCGTTCTGCGATGAAGTCTTGGTCAAAGTATCCCGTAGTTTTGCCGCCGTCATTCGTCAGCTTCCCAGCGCCATGTTGGTGGACATTATGATCTTTTACCTGGTTTTGCGAGCATTGGATACCGTCGAGGACGACACCACTGCCTTTGATAGCCACGAAACCAAAATCAAAGAGCTGAAAACCTTCCGTGAACGCGCATTGGTCGATCCTAACTGGAGCATGGATGGAGTGGGTGAAGGAGACGAATTGCTCTTGTTGCAGCAGTTTCCAAAGTGCCACCGTGTCTATGCTGCGTTAAACCCAAAGTCGCGAGAAATTATCGATGACATTACCCAAAGAATGGCAGACGGCATGGCAGAGTTTGTTGGCAAAGACTTGGGACAAGGAACCAAGGATATTTCCGAGTACAACCGATACTGCCACTTTGTTGCTGGATTGGTCGGCGAGGGTTTGAGTCGTCTTTTTGCTCAATCTGGCCTGGAGCAGGAGTCCTTTGGCAAGGAAGTCAAGTTGAGTGATCAGATGGGTCTCTTCTTGCAAAAGACAAACATTATCCGTGACTACTTGGAGGATTATGTGGATGGACGGGCATTCTGGCCCCAAAGTGTGTGGAAGAAGTACTCCAAAACAGGAGACCTTGGTTATTTTGCAAGGCAAACGGACAAAGATGCCCAGGTCAAGGCTCTGGAATGCGTGAACGATCTTGTCACTGATGCTCTCGAGTTGGTTCCCGATTGCTTGGTTTACATGTCCAAACTTCAATGCGCGGAAATCTTTAGGTTCTGTGCTATCCCTCAGGTCATGGCCATTGCGACTCTGGACAAATGCTACGCCAACCCCAATGTTTTCACAGGAGTTGTCAAAATCCGCAAGGGAACCTCTTGTAAGCTCATCCTCCGAACCAACAACCTTGACGAAGTTCACGAAACATTTTACATTTTCTCCAAGGCAATCATTTCCAAGGCAAAGAAGCAACAAGCTGCCGGAGTCGTCGACCCTTCATACGCACGCACTATGAAGGCTTGCGATACAATCCTGGAATGGACTCAAGCTGGTTACAACCGTCAGACCCGGGCCCGACGTGTCCCCTTGATCCTCAGTGGAGGACTATTGGCAGCTGCTGGCATGGTCGCTTTTGGATCATCGTCCTCGTCGAGCGACACGAAGGGCGCCATTGGGGCTGCCTTGGTGGGAACTGCTGGTCTTGTGTACACATTTGGCTCTAGCGCCCTGCGCTCTGGATCTGGCTTGAAGACCGCCGATGAGTTGTCCAAGAAGTAAGCGAATGTAAAAAACTGCTACGCGCGAGTGGATGTGATGTAATGTGGATAGCGGTGCCGAGAATACTCAACAAATGCAAGCACCGTCACAAATCGGCCCGTATTAGAAAGATCTAATGCTCCTTTATAGTTAGTTGTTCTACACATTATTACGGCACTGGCAGCTATCTAACCGTCCTCATTGGTCATCAATTTTCCGTTTCTTCCCCGACGCTGCCTTTTTGGGCCCCCAGTTAGCTTCTGGGTTCATAGGGAACCGCGAGACCTTTTTTTTGCCGTCCGTTTTGGCGGCTCTACTGTTGGCAGTAATCTGTTTTCGCAGTGATTCGGGAATCGTAAAGTCAATCTCATGCTGGGGTTCCACCGCCAAGATTTTGCCTGCCGGGGAATCTTTGTCGGGTTGTTTCTTGGGTGGATTCTTCTTCCACCAGACTCGCAGAATATCCCACATGAATCGGTTGGGCGCATTGGTTTTGATCGCCTGTGGATCTTTATGGTACCCAGATACCCGATATCCCCCGTTGATTAGAGCCGCCTTGACACTGTTAATGGGTGGCGCCGAGCATTTTACTACTCTGCAAAAATCTGGCATGGCATAATAGAGTGGAACGTCAGACAATTCTTCCTGAACGCTCATGAGCAATCCTTCCAATCGTTCTTTGGTTGCCATCCATTTCATGTTGGGACACAATTGTTGTTGTTGTGGTTGCTCTTCGCGCAATCGCTCCAATGCCGCCTCCACCACATCTGCATCATGCAGTGGTCCCAACCACATGGGTCCTCCCACTTTGAAATCGGCTCCAGTTTCTTCGCATTTGGGAACAGGCGGTGCCCGTTGTGGTTGATACACGGTTCCTTTCTTGCCCCCCATTCGTCCATGCGCTGCAATATGAAACGATGGACACTGTGTGGATTGAAAGACGGATCCCACTTGCAACGACAATTTCGCCACTCCGGCCTTGTCATTGTTTACTTGAACAAAGACGCGAATATAAAAGTTCATTCCCACGGACAGAATGGGTTGAATGGTGCGTCCGTATTTGGCGGCTGTCGTGGCGATTTCTTTGAGTAAAATACGGAGTGCCACTTCTTGCAAATAACGGGCACTGGGAATGGGCATGCTCGCATAGCGTCCATAACAGGTTTCGGGATGGGATCCCCCCAGCGCGGCCATGTCGGTACATGTGACACAGAGCATGCCCCCGGATTCCACGGCTTGTACTGCCGCATCTAGAAAGGGCGCCGCGGATCCGTAGGGATCCAAGTCAATCACGTCGTATTGTGGCTTCAATTTGGCTTGTTGCAGAATGAGACTGTTTTGGTTGGGTATGGAGACGAGTGATTGCGATCGTTGGGATTGGTACATTTCAATTTTGGCATCTCCATTTTGTACATGAATACCATGTGGTCGTTGCCAAGGAACGGTGGTGTTTTCGGGAGTCGTTTGGTCGGTAGTGTCATACGTTGCGACGACTTGATCTGCCAGTCCATTTTCTTGTAGATTTTGGTGTGCTCGATCGACGGCAGCTGGTTCTAGATCATTGATGGTGACATGTTTGACTCCTGGAATTTCCTTCCAATATCGCATGGATCTCAATCCCGACGCTGCCAAGGCATCCAAAATGGTCATGCCATTATTGTGCTTGGACGAAGGCAACGTTCGAGGATTGAGGGATGCCTGATAGTCGTCCAATTCTTGTTGGATTTCCAAAGCGGATTTGCGAGTTTCCGCCGTGTGATTTTGTTGTCTTAATTCTCGTCGTTTCTGAGCGACGGCGTTTTTCACAGCGAGTCGTTCCGAGTAGAGTGTGAGCATGAGAATGCTGAGATCTCGATTTTGGACTTGGACGGGATTGTAAAAGACGGTTCCTTCCTCGTCGACGGGGTATTTCATGGTGATGGAACCTTCCACTATCGACTTGAAGGAACTATTGGAAGTTGTAGTATCATCCTCTTGTGTCTTCTTCTTCTCATTATCTGTAGCAGTATCCGTTGACATGGTAGAAAGGAAGCGTTGGGGGGTAACTGGGAAAGATCTTTGTCCAAAGGAACAGCAGGATAGATTATGAATAGATGTACCCCTGACTCTCAAGGTCCTCGCAATCAGTCTAAACGACACAATGGTGGCTGTTCTTTTCAATTCTGCACCAGCAATTGTGATACCGTACTCAAGGACTTGACTCAATTGCTCTCTTTTGTGTTGCTTCCAAAAGCCAGGTGTTGTTTCTCTCGTTTCTTGGGTGAATGAATACTAAAAAGGTTGGTTGGTTTTAGTGGCTGTCGTGTTCTCACCAAAAGATCCTCAGTTAACTCAAACTCTAAGAAAGATACCCTCGAAAAGAAATTGACACCTTTCACTTTTTTGGAGACTGCACCAACTATAACCATGGCAAAAGTAACGGGAAGAAGCAGAAGAAGATCAAGTCCAGCACAGCCTGTTACCGGTATGGTGATGTTGTTAAAGGCAGCGTTACTTGTAGTGGCAGCCTCTTTGATTTTTGGACAGCATGGCATTGTTCAAGCCCTGGACAGACCCTCTCCTTCAATCCACATGCCAGGTCCTACCCACGTGACAAAAACCACGAAAAGAAGAAGATCGTCACAACTAGAAAAGTCCACGCTGTTCAATATTCCACCTGGAGGAAACCAAAACCAACAAACCGCTGTGTAAGTCAATTCAAATAATTGAATATCCCTTTTCATTCTCACTTTGTCTCATTGTTTCTAACTACTCTTCCTGGATGCCCCCCCCCCCCCGGTATAATTGAATACAGTCCCAAACAAGGAGCCTATGGCAAAATCAAGATCCACAAAGAACCACTCCTTCTCTCGCTGATACTCCATCCCGATGAATTCCTCTATGCCATCCTTCTTATAGCCAAAAACAAACTACAACGCAACAACACACCACAAGTAGTACCACCCGAACTGCAGGACGACCTCACCTTTTGCAATGAAATTCTAGGAAAGGTATCACGGAGCTTTGCCACGGTCATTCGACAATTGCCCGAGTCGCTACGAATCGATGTCGTGATCTTTTACTTGGTGTTACGAGGACTCGATACCATTGAAGATGAGCCCACAGCCACTAAGAATAATAAGGACAAGATGCAACTTCTCAAATCCTTTGCTCAAAAGGCACTCTCATCAACGTCAAAACAAGACAGGTTCCATGTGGAGGGAGTAGGACACGGAGACGAACGACGACTTCTCGAACAATTCCCACGCGTCCAAGCCATCTACCGGCACTGCGTCCTTCCACACTCGCAACAGATTATTGCCGATATTACACAACGAATGGGAGCCGGAATGGCAGAAACAGTGGGAAAAGACTTGACACAGGGCACCACCAATGAACTACAGTACAACCAGTATTGCCATTATGTGGCAGGGTTGGTGGGGGAAGGATTGAGTCGACTCTTTGCAGCATCCCAGTTGGAAGAGTCCTATTTCGCCAGCGAATTGTACCTGAGTGATGAAATGGGACTCTTTCTGCAAAAGACCAACATTATTCGAGACTATCTGGAAGATTATGTCGAAGGAAGAACCTTTTGGCCCCAAACCATTTGGATGAAACATGCCAACCAGAGTCAAGATTTGGGCTACTTTATGCAGAACCACAACAGTGACAATGCCAAACGATGCCTGCATGACATGATTGCCAATGCCCTGGAACATGTCCCGGCATGTTTGACATACTTGCGGGGTCTCCAATGTCCATCCATCTTTCGATTTTGTGCCATTCCACAAGTCATGGCGATGGCCACGTTGGCCAAGTGCTACGACAATGCCAATGTCTTTACGGGCGTGGTCAAGATTCGAAAAGGATTGTCCGCCAAACTAATACTCAAGGCCAACACGTTGGATGGTGTATATGCCATTTTCTATCAACAGGCCAAATGGATGGAGCAAAAGGCACTTAAAAGCAAGAGTGTGGTGGAAAAGGAAGCCTTGTTGGATGCCATTGATATCATTTGTGCCATTACCGAACCAGCCTATCGACGACAACAACGAGCCAAACTGTGGCCCATGCTCTTTGTCTCTGCTGTGGTGGCGTGTCAATTTGTTCCTGGATTGACATTGGTGTTGTTGGCAATGGCACTCGTGAACTATTACCTTGGTCCGTTTCTAACGGTACCATAAGATGCGTTCTAGCTGTTCCCTTCTTCTCGCTCTGACTATTTTGGGCTCCGGATAGAATCACATGGGCCAATCGTTTGCTGACATGTCATGCGAAGGGAAGAAGTGATCACCAGAGAGAACTGATGACGCAAAAACCAACCCAGCTAGCTAGCTAAATCTAGACTGTATGTACTAAAAGAAACGTATTTACCCGTTGCCACCCACTGAAACACTTTCTCTATTGTTCATCAATTGCCAAGTACGACTGTAGATCAAGTTGGTTTTCTATCTTACTCGGCACCACCAGTCGTTGTTGTACTTGTAGTAGTACTTGTAGTAGTATTTATTTGAAACTCGTACAGTCGATAGGACGCCGACGTCAATTCATGAAAGTGCAAAAAGAAGAGATCATCATCTTGGTTGGCGAGTGGATTGGCATGATAGTCCTTCGGAGCCATTTCCTCTCGGATGAGCTCGCATCCGTCCGTCTCTTTCATTTCTTGAATGAATTCGGCCAATCCATCTCGTCCAATTTCGGACGCCGTGTCGGGTGCGACGTAGAGAAACGTTCCTTGTCCTTGACAAAGTCCCAGAATGACAGTTTTGAGAATGGGAACAATGCTTTCTTGGTAAATTAGGTCGGATCCAATAATGTAGTCGATTTTTTCTTTGGGCCACGTGTTGGGATCTTCCCAATTAATGGGCATGGCATGGAGTCTGTCGTTCCAGGAGGCAGGTTGTTGTTGTTTTTGTGTAGAATTATCATCATGGTTGTTGTTGTTGAGTGCAATGTTGTAGTGTAGATTGTCAAGGGTGGTGGGATTTACATCTGTCAAAAAGACTTTGGTAGCGTCACTAGTAACAGATAGATGAAATGAATAGAGAAAGAGAAATCAAAGCCAAATTAACTGTAAGAACATGGATTGTTTTTTTTTTGGGTGAAACTTTCTTTTGCAATTCATTCGCACATACCTATAAAACGCCGCTGCCAATCCAGGAACGCCACAACCAGCTCCCAATTCCAACAATCGCTTGCCTTTGAATTTGGGTGCCATTTGTTGGGCCATCCATCGTGCCATGACAATGGATGCGGCCCAAATTCCATATCCCGTAGTATCCAGTTCGGGTCGATCCCCAAAACAATCTTGGGTGGCGGGAATGGGCAATTCTCGAATTTTTAAATAATTCTGATGATTGTTATTGTTGTTATGGTCGGGTGGAACAAGAAAGTGGAATTCGTGTATCATTCCTTCTTGTGTTTGTGGTTGTGATTGTTTCGGTGTCTCTTGCTTTGCGGCATTTTCCTTTTCTTCTTCTTCATCTTCTTCGACGGGTGTTGCACCCATCAATAATTTTTCTTCGGCCGCCGAATCATGTTCCAATAGATACTTGACGACATTGGTATTTTGAGAGGAGAATCCTTCGGTGAGTGCCGATCGTCCAAATTTGTTTTTTTGCAACACGTCCAAATCGGGCAATCGTTGGACGAGCAGTTGGACGGTATGTTCTTGTCCATTGGCGGCCGCCCAATGAAGTGGTGTATTGCCGGAATGATTCACAACTACTACTGTATCCTTAGCAGTCAAAGCAGTCAAATCCAACAACAAGGCGACGACGGATGTGTGTCCATTGGCGGCGGCCATGTGTAACGCGGCGTTGCCAGTAGAGTCGTCTTGGGCGTGAATGACTTGAGAAGGATTGTGCTGGTAGTGTTGACTCGCCGTCATAATGGCATGCATCACATCCAAATCTCCATAGCGAGCCGCCAAAATCCATTCTTCTTGAATCTCTTCCAACGTCAACCCACGCACTTGTTCCACCAAATCGTGATATTCCGAAACGCTAATGGTAAAGGGAGGACCCTTAGTCTTGGTAGCAGTGGCTGGAGCTGCTCCTTTGCCTGGTTTAGCAGGAGCTGCTGCAGTCTTTGGTGCCTTGTTCTTGCTTTGCTTGCCCATCTTCTAGCTAGCTATTTTTATTAGAGGAAGAGTGTGAGAGGAAGAGTGTGTCACCAGAATGGGAGGATTGTGATGATACCGCTGCCTCCAAGAGAGGGATGCAACAGAAAAATGAGTGGTGGCCAAAGGTTTCCATGTTGTTGAAGTTGCCTTTTCTAATTCGTAACTCATTGTTAATTCTGAAATTCACCTTGTGACAGCTCAGACACATCCTAGATAAGGGGTTCAAGCTGCTTTCCTTGAAACGATTTAGCAGACAACACCCCCTTTCTAAAGGACCCGCGATGTTGCTGCCAATTGAAACCAACACACAACGGTGGAAGCAAAGAGTACTAGTAGTGTTTATGCCACGCCTTGGTGATCACCTATATCTGCGGTTATTATTATAGTTTTGAGCCATATCATTGCAATGCAGGAGATGGGAGAGGTCAACGTCCGGCCTCCTTAACTTAAAGCTTGTCTCTCGGTGTTTCCTCATTCTACTAGTATTATTCCATGGCAGCGGTAGCTTGCTAGAGTCTTCCTCCTGTCCGTACCGGTATACCGCATACCCCACATCACAAGTTAATTTCGACAACATGACAATTACTGTTGGCGTCAGCAGTAAAGCATGGGTACTATTAGCCCTGCTATACCTCATCGTGGTCAAGGAGAATAAGTCCATGCTTGCTAATGCACTCGAGACGACTTTTAATGTGTTGGTGAGTACCATACTGTGGGGGTATCAGGATTGTTGGTTCACGCATCACCCATACTCTGCCTCGAGTGTTCTAACTCGTTCATATTGTCCCACCAATTCTGCAATCCACTCAATCATTTCTTCCTTCCTTCCTTCCTTTGGGTCCTTCTTTTTGCAGTCTCCATCTTCTGCATCTCGTCGTCAAGGATACAAGCACCAAACCGCAGAGTTTGGCTTTGACACTGCGCCTTGTCCCTATTCCTATACGCGACGGAAATGTGTTGCCCAAGGTATTCTAATGCACGTGGACGGTCCCATTTGCAATGAGATCGACTTGGAACAGGCGCAATCTCAACAACAATTGTCAACCACCATTGACAATCGGCCTATTTTATTGGTCCCACGAGGAGACTGCTCCTTTGCCACCACGGCCCGTCTCGTACAAACTTGGAGTCACGTACAGGCACTCGTCGTGGCCGATCACACTTGCCTCTGTAGTGACAATACATGTACACCCAATGATGATAACGACAACAACAATCTTTTCCCCTGTGTCGATACTCCACCTGCACTGGTCAATGACAGTATTATTGACGGCGACACGATCCTTCACATTCCCACCGTATTACTTCCCAAACAATATGCCGATTACTTGATCCAGACACAACCGACCATCACGGCAGAACTCACTTGGCCCGTCACTTCCCCCACCAACAGTAATGACAGAACCAGCATTGAGTACTGGCATGTACCTCAGCAAGCCGTGCTACCGGCCTTGGGACAAATAGTACAGGCATTGTCCAACCGGGTGGCATTTACGCCCCGGTTCTACTTGCAATCGGGAGAGGACATTGGATGCACAAATAGTATTGAGGAACAACAGCAAGAACAAGAACAACGTTGCAATGACTTGTGCACCAATCAAGGACGTTATTGTGCAGCACAAGGAGGAGCCATGGTCGTCGAAGAAAGTCGACGGAGAATGTGTATTTGGGAATTGTACGGGCGGAATATCACTCGCAATGATTGGATTGGGTTGCCCTTTTGGAGATATGTCAATGCCTTTGACGACACTTGTGCCAACCCAGCAGGGGATAACATGGAAGCTTGCAGTGCTGCCGCCATGACCCAAGCCGATATTAATACGGAACAAGTAGCGCAATGTGTCGTCGCGCAATCCAGTGAGGAGCTGGAAAAGAGCCTGCAGTTGCAGCAAGAGTCAACAATCATCGTGCACCCAACGTTGGTGGTCAACAATGTGGCGTACAGTGGTGACACGTTTGCCAACCTCTTTGGGGCTATTTGTGGCAGTTTTCAATCCTTGCCGGACGCGTGTGCCCTGTGTCTCGCCTGCCCGGACGAATACGGCTGTCTCTTGGGGAATGGAGTCTGCCCGGGGACACCTACCATGGCTCCCACTGCCGATGATAATATGATACAGATAGTTATTGGCGACAATGGAAACGAGCCGACAACATCACCGCCCTCCCCGACAAGCGCGGCTCCGTCGTCGCTGGGCGACGCGCAAGACCAAGGCCATGAGGAGGAAGAGACGACAGCGCAAACCACAGTACCTCCATCGACGTTGGGCCCTGACCCGGCAGGAACCACAGACGACGAAGATACAGGAGGGCTGAGTGACACAACCAAGGTGATCATTGTGGTTGCCGTCGTTGGCGGCGCTGTTGCAGTCATATTCGCAGTTGTCATGTTACTCGTTTGGAAGCTCTTTTCGCGTATTCGCCAATTGGAAAAGAAAGATAAAAAGGAAACGCCAACAACAACCTCTCCCGCGGGCTCCAATGGATGGGAATTGCCATATTATGTGGTTGGGAAGGAAGATCCATTCAACGATGACTGCGAACCCATACCAAATATTGCCGCCAACAGCAGCAGCGATAGTGTTTGGGCACCGCCGCCGCTGAAAACCGATGTTGCACCGGTTGCAGCCGCTAGCGATGTTGTCCCGGGAGATGCCATGTTGGAAGAACCAGCAGAAAACATCACCACCGACACCACCGCTAAATTTGAGCCCTTATACGAAGAAACGGCAATGGACGAGGAGACTGCGGATTACAAGGATGTAGAAGTTGTTACCAGCGGCACTACTAGTAGTAGTGGAGCCGGAGAAGCCGACGGCGTGGAAACCACGGCACCTCAAAATGAGAAGGACAATGAGAGCATTAGCTCTGCTGACCCGACAACCAAGACCGGCAAGGCAAAGTCGTCACCAAGGGCACGACCGAGGCGAAGGTCCAAAGATCCCACGTTGATTGACATTATGGGCCGCGCTGCACCAGAGGCGAAATTCCCAAGGAGATTTTCGTACGACGACGAAGAGAAAGAAGAGATTGAAGAGATACCGGTAGCGGAGGATTGAATTGGAGTCGCAGAAGTGAGGTCATTTTCCGTTCCTTCCGGCCACCAACAGGCAAGAGCTTCTTTTCTTACACCCTGGCTTGCTAGCTAGTAGCTAATAAAACTATAAAAACTGTAAACTCATTCATTCAATTTTTCTTCTATTGTAATTAGAATCTCTACGTTGTATGCATTTGTCCTGCTGGATTTTTGGGAAGAATGGAAGCGTCCTCCCGGTTGTGTTCTAAATGTTGTGGTTTGTCAATGGAAATCTTCTTTACTCCCACCAAACACCGTAGTCGCCGTATGGCTCCTGTGTAGCTGGTGTGATGGTTTTTGTGGAGGCAACAAGGACAGGAACCTCTTCCACCATGTCATCATGTCTGAAGTCGCAGGCAAAGTCTTGGTTCATGGCCATCCACTCCTCGTCAGCAAGAGTAGGTACCGATTCATGTGCCAATGGCACCACTGGCTTGACAGTGTTTGGCTTGGTTAGGCTGATGTAGCATTCTTCATCATGGCTGGATTCCAGAGCAAAGTCTTGGTTCATCTGGTTCATTGCTTCCGCATTGAGCTTGTCATCAAGTTCAGTGGTGTCCCACCAAACACCATAGTCGCCAAAAGACTCTTCTGCTGTTGGTGTGGTGGATCGGGGAGTGACAACAGGGACAACAACATCCTCTTCCATGTCATCATGTCTGGAGTCGCAGGCAAACTCCAGGTTCATTGCCATCCACTCGTCATTGTCAAGCGTTGGTACCGATTCATGTTCCACTACCACAACTGGCTTGATGGTCTCTGGTTTTGGGCAAGTGTAGTACTCATCATCGTGGCTCAATTCCAAAGCAAAGTCTAGGTTCATCATTGAGTAGATATCCTCCTCAACGACGACGGGAGACGAGGCGGGGGTGGGCTTGACCACCCTCACAGCTTCGGTGGATTCTTCATCGGACTGAGGTTCGGGTGAGTATACCATCGGACCGTACTTGGATCCTCGGAGACGAAGTTCAATTGTTTTGACGGAGGAACTCATCATGTTGTTATTTTTAGGTGGAACTTTTCAGTTAGTTGGGTTTATTCTTGGTTGTGTGTTTGTGTTGCTAAATTTTGATTTTGTGAGCGAGTCTCGGCCCTCGAAATGCCGATGCTGCTCCATGAGTTTCGCCAGTTCGGATCCACCCTCCAATGTCCCCCATCGGAGAAGGCATTTTGGGCACGTATCTCACTTGTTGAATTTGGATTTGATCCAGAGATCTCTTGGTTGCCCATGCATTTCGAGGACCATTCTTGCCCAGTGACAACCTTGATTGGAGTGATTGGAGCAAAATGTGAAGTCTGGCATCAAAAAGCGAAGCCTTTCTTTCGGAAGCGAAGGCACGTGTCGGAAGAGAACAATGGAGTCATGTGACCCGGCAAAAGTCCCGCAAACCAAGCGAAATGAGGGATTGAAGTGCCACCATCACGATTGATTTTGCTGGGGAGTGAAGCGAACTGCTCAATCCCTTCCGGTCGTTTCGCTGGCTCTTGTTGGATGCTTCTACTTGAAGGGCTTTGATGGGACAATCAAGCTCAGACTGGGACCTTGCACGACCAAGGGAAATTAATTGTTGCGCGTGCTATTCTGAGTTCTCAAGGCCGCTGATGAGGAAGTTCGGAGTGGCCGAGACAACGTCTGCATTGCTCTTTGATAGAACCTGGAACATTAAACGAGCACCTCACTGGCTCCGTTGCTTCTCAAGCAAGACGTGCTTTGCCGAGTCTGCTGTGGCTGATTGCTACCGGCACCCGAAGCTACTCGTACTGTAGGTATACCGGTATCATGGCTACACGCGGACTTGCCTCTGGCGGTGCCGGTTCAGTTGCATGCCCCAACCACCAAATTTCCAATGCCCGGACCGCGGAGCTTTGATACATGTACGGGGCGGGGACTTTGTAATTCCTAAGTTAAATGATACATGTACGGGGAGGGAATTCTAGCGCTATAGTAACCCCAATTCCGGGCTTTTCCTTCATGTCTGCAAGCTCTTGTTGAAGAGTGTCAACTTGCTGGTGCAGGGCAAGCATTTGATTGGGATACCCTTGGAAGACAGTGTCATTGGATGCTCCTTCCCATCTTCTTCGTCCTTCAAGTCAATTGTGGGTACAGTACCGGTGTGCACGCTCCGTGATCCCACGGTCCTTTTTGCGGCGTGGATAATTAGAGCTAGGGATAAAGCTACATCAAAGATATGTTTTAGCGATTGAAGATCATTCGCTCCTCTTCTTCACATCCGGCCCTCTTCACACAGAATTCTAGAAGCCCAACCAGCATGACGACGACATCTGCTCTAGCTCCCGACTCTTCATCTTCCCCAAGCGATGGCTTGGTAAAGGGTTGTAAGCTTGTGTTGTTTTTGATAGTTGCGCCCTTTATTTTGACGGCCGTTCACTTGGGGTATACGCTGCAGCGGCAAGGGATTATTTTGGTAGAAGCATTGCCCCAATCAACACAAGATAATAATGACAAGCTGTTTGAACCAGTGTCAGGAATTTATTGGAAGCATAATGCGGAGCAACATCATGTCAGGGTTCCCTTTCAATCTACGAAGCTTTTTGGGTTATTGCCGGCTTGGCCTTCCATTTCCCAGATTGCCTCGTCATTGGCGAACCCTACCATCGATGCTACTAGTAGCACAGTCAAACTGCAATATGCACACCAACAGGGAGCTACTTGCTTTCTTATTCAAGATCCACAAGATGGAATCAAGACTCTGTGTCCGGTAAACAACAACAACAATAATGATGCTGCCTTTCAATTACCGCCATTATCTGAGTGGCAGATTGACCAGCAAACATCCTCTTCCATCACACTCCGCATTCGATCCTTTGACAACTGGTTCTCCTCTTATTATTTCCAAATGGAAGAAAAACCATTTCAGCAACTCGCGCAACGTCCTGCCACATGTCTATTATTGGCACTCAATGTTGGATTGGCATACGCATATTGGAATTTCCGGGTTTCGCCCAATGCTGTGGCCTTGATGGATGGACCGATGCGCAGTCCTCAATATCAGTACTGGAGAGCCTATACTGGAAGTTTGGCCCATTTTGAATGGTGGCATTTACTCTTCAACATGATGTCCTTGCACGGTCTGGGACAATTCTTGGAGCTGGAACACTATGGATCCATTCCCTTTTTGTTCTACAATATGGCACTGATACCTCTCACGGTACTCATCTTTTTGGCTGGCACTCAGCTGATATACTGGATTCGAGTACGATATTTTCAACAACAGCAATCCAATAATACCCCTGTGACACGACAATCCATCAACGCCGTGGGATATTCGGGTGTCTTGTTTGCCTGGTCGGTTGTGGCATCTCTGGAACAAACCAAATCTTGTCCGATTCCATTCTTCACAGAAACCTGCTTTGAAACATGGCATTTGACACAAAACCTCAAATTCAATATCGGTCCATGGATTCAGTTGGCCGTGGCACAAGTCATCTTGCCCCGTGTATCACTCGGAGGACATTTGGCGGGTGTCGTGGCCGGTTTCTTGTTGCACTGGCAATTGTTCCCATTGGAATTAATGTCTCCTGCCGTCATGATTCCATTCATGACCCTGATGCTATGGTATTTTCATCGACAGTGTATACCTGTACAACAACAACAGAAACAGCAACAACAACAGTGGTTGTTGGGTGGCAACAATATCCAGGAGGCGGGACCACGGAATTTTTTGGATGTGGCAGGCATTGACGATGACGACGACAAGGGCCGCAATCGTGAGGAAGACGCTGGTGGCACCCATAGCACGAGCAATGACGGTGCTGGCATATTCGCTAGCCTGATAGGCCCCTTTGGAGATCACGACAATGGCATCAACAGAACAAGTACCGGCGGCAGCATTGGAATTGTACATGTGTTGTGGATAGTATTGTGTGCCTTGGGGCTGTTGTCTTGTGCCAGCGTCTTGTGGCTCAGTTGGAAGGGTAGCCTATTCCTCTCCCAGGGAATTCTCCTTGCTCTATTCTTCTTTTGCTACCAAGCCTACACGGATTGTTGGGGTCATGATGACGAAACAAAAGATTCATGGGCTTCCGATGCTTCCCAAAAGAAACAGCGCATGCTCATCTTGTGGAAGGGTTTTATCACGTGCTGTGTGGTGGTACTCGTCACGGAGTCCATGACGCTGGCCAGTTGGATGATGATGGGCGCGGCCATGGTTTCACCGTCGTCTCAGTGTCTTGCCCTGCTCCTTCTCGGTTCATTGCTGATCGCGCATCTGCTGGCTCTTTGCGTCGCTTGCAGACACTGGGAAGAGATTGGCGGTGCCACGGAAGAAAAAGGACCATTTGAATATCTCTTTGGATTCTGTGTCTTGGACAATGCCAAGGTGGTGGGACGCAACAGTGTGAGGTTTGTTCAACGTGCGTTTCTGCTACGACGAGGCACTTCTTCCAAGCCATCACCGACGAACAGCACTAGCTCCGCCACAACCACCTCTGACAGCAGCACATCCAGCGCGCAACAGATACCCGTCAGCAGTGAAAAGAACAGCAGCCACAACAGAGAACGAAAGAAAACCTTGGCAGCCGCAGCTGCAGAACGAAGAGCTCGAGGGCAGGTTTCCGACGTCGTGTAACATGTATTTGAGGGAATAGACTTCTTGCCGGGCGCCACCTGATAGCTAGCTTGACTTTCCTTTTTTCGGAGGATAAGAAAGCAGTGGCCATATCCAGTGCTTTCGTTGGGCTACACCGGGCTAAAAGGATAGGAATTGTGATGAGCCACCAGAATTCGGCGCACGAATCTACATGTAAATCAAATCTTGCAATAGCTTTTGCCCAATCGCTTTCATACTAGGACAGCACGAACAAACATCTCCGTGTCCATCCCGCTATTTCTATTGCATTTCTGCCTGCTTTGTGAGCTATTTCCTTTGTGGATGTGGCCACGGTTCCAGATTGGATTTGCCCAAAAAGTTGAGGTGTCCGCCCCGTCGTTTGTGAATTTTGACCAGTAATCGCTTGGCCTTTTGTACCGTTCGCACTTCGGTGGCATTATCGTAGAGCCGCTTGATTTGCAGTCGATATTCGTGTTGATTGTCATCGGTAGCCACCACCAATAATCCTTCTCCTTGCAATGTAGCGTCAACCGAAACAATATTGGCATCCTTCCAAGAAATTGTTGTGCTAGTGCTTTTGTCTTTGGGAGGCAGTTCGTCTATTCGAATGGTAGCTACTCCTGAAGCATCCCCGGGATCGTCCCACAGATATTTGGTAATCAGAGTGAAAGAAGCAGTATTCTGGGGGGTAGACGGCAAAGACACCGGAGCGGGTGGTGGGGTATCTTCCTGCCCATTGCTGGTGATTGTTGTCTCTTCTGTGGCACCTTCTGCTTCTTCTTCTTTGAGGGTATCTACCGCCACTCCATTTTTCGCCAACAGCCTTGGCCCATTCATCGTGAAGTCTTCCATTTGCAGTCCATCCGAGTAGCCACCCTTGGCATTGGAACTATTATGGGCATAATAATAGGAAGATCCAAAAGGTTTGCCATCTGCTTGTTCATTTTTCTTGCTGGAATTCTTGGATATCCCTCGTTTTCGTCGTTCTTCCCACACATCATTGGCTGGAGCAGGACCAACTGGAGTGAATTTTGGGGGGGAGTTGCCCTTGTTATTGCTGCTGATGATGGACTCAGTGGACACTGTGGATGCCCCTCGTTTGGAGAGTAGGTAGATGGCACTGACAATCAGTACTGTCACCAATACCACTACAGAAGTCAGTGTGGCCGAGTCCACCACCACTTCTCTTCCAACGAAGTCTGATATCAGCTGGGAAATCCTATCCATCATGGTGGTTGTTGCTTTCTATATGTACATGTATGGCTTTCGAAGCGGAAAAAGGCTGGATCCGTTGTCGAATGGACCGTTGGGTGGGTCACTGAGTCATCACACGGTTTGCTTTCCACTTTCCACGTCCACGTTCAAAACAAAGCAACACAACCGATGCCGGTACCAGGTACCACTGGTAGCTAGATCTAGATTACTGTACTAGCTAGTAGACTACCGTACCGATACCGGTACACTCAGCAGTAGTTTACCGGCACTACCGTACAGCATGGTAATGTGGAGTTGTTGTCCTTGGTTTCATACCCCGAAGTTCAGTTCGAATAAAGGATGCATTACGTCGTTCTTCCTCCCAGCCCGCGGACTCTGATCCAGGAACACAAACAATCATACATGTATTGTAATCTAGTAGAGGACTAATCTACCGCCAGTTATGCTGGCCCTAGAAAGAGATCAACATGTGGCAAGATGGGACAACATGACTATACATGCCTAGTAGAGTTTAGGACGAAGTGTTTCCTTTCATGAAAAAAGTGCCCCAAAACTCTTCCAGAATTTGTCATCAGAATAGCTTGCTCCTTTTCATCCTCACCACGTCACAGGGAAATGTTCAGAACCAGGGCAGCCATTCTCATGAAGGTACCTCATCGTTTCTAGGTGGCCACCTCTTTCAGCATTGGTACATGCGAGCTCATTCCATGGACATCCCTTTTCATGTGCATATTTCAGGCATTTCAAATGGCCATTCATAGCAGCACTGCTGCATGTGTCTCTATCCCATGGACATCCATTTTCATGGGCGTATTTGAGGCATTCCAGGTGACCATTGTAAGCAGCCTCCATGCATGTGCTCACAAACCATGGACATCCATTTTCATGCGCATATTTGAGGCATTCCAGATGGCCATTGTATGCAGCAAGGCTGCATGTGAGCTCATTCCATGGACATCCATTCGCATGTGCATACTTTAGAACTTACAAATGGCCATTTCGAGCAGCATTGATGCATGTGTCATTTCCCCAAACACAGCCGTTTTCATGGGCATATCTCAGAATTTCCAAATGGCCATTTTCAGCAGCAGCTGCACATGTATCAGCATTCCATTGACATCCATTTTCATGGGCGTACTTGAGGCATGCCAAATGGCCATTCACCGCAGCCTGGGTGCATGTGTCATTTCCCCAAACACAGCCGTTTTCATGGGCATATCTCAGAATTTTCAAATGGCCATTCCCAGCAGCTGCAGCAATTGTATTACGATTCCATGGACAGCCGTTTTCATGGGCGTACTTGAGGCATTCCAAATGGCCATTTTTAGCAGCAGCTGTACATGTATCAGCATTCCATTGACATCCATTTTCATGGGCGTACTTGAGGCATTCCAAACGGCCATTCACCACAGCCTCGGGGCAGGTGCGTTGATCCCACGGACAGCCATTTTCATGGGCATATCTCAGAATATCCAAATGGCCATTTCTGGCAGCAGCTGCACATGTATCAGCATTCCATTGACAGCCATTTTCATGGGTGTACCTCAGAATATTCAGGTGGCCATTTCTGGCAGCACTACGGCATGTGTCCTCATCCCATGGACAGCCCTCTCTACGGGCATATTCTAGGAAGCCCAAATGACCATTTTCAGCAGCCTTGTGGCATGTGTTTTCATCCCAAGGACAGCCAAGATTGAAAGCAAATTTTAGGACACCTAAGTGACCATTCTTGGCAGCATCACTGCATGTGGCTTCGTCCCGATTGAATCTATTGTTGTGGGCCCATTGAATAGCTTGAATACAGCCTGCTCTGGCAGCTGCAGCACAAACCGTGATACCATCAATCTGTCTGCCAGACCCAGTCCAGTTGCTCCCAGTACTACGGTGCCTGTACCAATATTCTGCTCGAGAAAGACTAGAGAAGACTGCTTCGAGGAGAGTATCCGTGCTGGTGATTGAGACCTTTTCCAATGTACCGGTGTCCATATGGTAATCGTTTGACTTTGGAGGATTCTCCACGGCTCCACAATAAGCCGAGTAAAGATCTTTCATTTTATGGCTGACTGGAGCCACAAAGGCAAAATGTCCCATACCCAAAAACGGGAAGATCTGGTTGGTCCACATATCCTCGTGTCGCAAGCAGGAATCATCCTCGGCAAGCCTGACATTGGTAGTTGCCTGTTGGACAACTGAATTCACCTGTTTTTGTAAGGACAAGGCAATATCGAGCTCCTGTGCTGCATCTGTTTTGCTGCCACCTGCGCTGCTGATGAATCGAAGTTGCTGAAGAAGAGAGGACATGGCTTGCGAGGCATCTTGATTATGAACCTTGATAGATTGTTTTGCTCGCTTTTGTGGATCGGGTGATGCTGAGCGACAGTTTGACAAGGCTCTCTTGCCAATGTCTTCCTCCATCTTTGTTTCTTTGATATCTTATGGTTATGGTATGGTGCTCCCTTCAGACTCGTAACGGGGAAGTTACTACCAATAGCTAGCTAGACCCTCTCTGCTGTTGTGTTGTGTGATGGTGGCCCGACAATTTTGGATCTTTTGAAAGCCAGCAAAGCCATCAAAGCCATCAAAGCCATCATACCGGTACCGAAACCTGAAACTCAACGAACGGGGATCTAGCTAGAGACGATGTAGTTATCTACGGTACCCTGAAACTCATGCTTTCCAACACCACAGCTCATGCCTCGAGGTGCGTGGGGGGCTAAGCTACCGGTAGGGAGAGGAGGCTTCAAATAATGGATACGCCAATCTTGCTTCAGAAGCACAAGCAACCCTACTGTAATCAAGCAGACTAATCTACCGCCACTTCAAGCTGGGCACTAGAAAGAGAGCAAAACATGTGGCAAGATGAGACCACATTGGTCACCCTGCTGGAAAACCATTTATGTCTTGTGTGCACCGTTTGGTACCTGCCGACTTTAAAATTTGGATGAAACAAAGATCCTGGCTGCCCACACCCGCTGCTATCGCACGTTGCCCAGTTGTTTGTCGACCCCCCACATCCCCGAAACCGAAGTCGGATTGTTGATTCCATACAAGGCAAGTCAACATTGAAACGGAAGGAGCGTCCCTTTGCCTATGGACTTGCCTGTCGTTGTTACTCCTCCCCCAACAACAAATCTCTGTGTAGATTGTGAATAGTCCTCTACAACTCATCGTCTCCGTCATCGTATTCTTGCTGTTTTTGCAATATTATTCTCTTTGCCGCCTTGTCTTGTTCTTGATAGAACAAAGTGGCAAACTCGGTCCAATCTCGTTTCCACAAATGTTCCAGACGGCCCTTCCCAATATCGAGAAAGTTCGGAGAGAGTAAGTTGATCTCTTCGGGATGATGGATTATGGCTTGATCAACATCGGTCTGATTGCGCTGAGGGACAAAGATTAGGGCATTCTTGACATACCACCACGCCTGGCCAAAATATTGTACGTAAACGGGATTCTTCAAGAGATTGTACCGAAAAAAGGCGGTGCCTTCAAAATCAATAATGTACTGCTGATGACGAAACTGGTCAATCCAATATCCGAGGGTATTCTCATTGACATGGGAGGGATTCTTGCCTTGATCTTGATCGGGCGTGGCGGCACCAAAAAAGACCATAGCGGGAGAATGATGGACCAAGAGTTGAATGAACCGATCGGCATGTGATGGTGGCAAATGTTCGGCCACTTCAAAGGACGTTACAACATCTGTTTTGGGGATTTGTTGGACAGCAGTGGGTGCCTGCAAGTCCAAAGTTTGATAATAGCGACGGGCAAAAATGGCAGGCCAATGGGGGGCAGCGTTGGAAGACCCTTCGACACAATAGGATTTGGAGAGGGGAGTTTCCGATCTCCAGGCTTCCACGAGATATCCCGTCCCACAACCGACATCCAAGACCGACGACAGTCGTTTCCCACGAGGCAGTAGCTTGTACATTTCGGTCACCAAGGCGTCAAAGATGGGACGCAACATTTCGTGATCGTTGAAAAAGTGTTCATCGTACTCGCCCACGCCCTTGGGGAGCGAAATACCTCGTTTTTGAGGTTCCTCTACTGCTTCTGTCAAAATCAAGACCAAGATGACTAGACAACACAGAAGGAATAGTGGCAGCCGCGTCATCATGGTTCTTCTTTCTCACAGCAATAGATCGGGTTTTGGATTAGAGGTGCCGGTACTGGTACCGGTACCGGTACTAGTAGGAAGGACCGATGGGGTGTTGGAGGCAGCAAGAATAATTGAGGTGTTGGAAGCATTTTTGGTTGTTCCGTAGCACATTTATTTGTACCGGTATGATGACTTTGCTGGCTTTCAAAAGATCCCAAAGCTGCGGCAAAGTGGCCCGCCGCTGGCCACAACAGCAAGAGTGACAATCCGGCAGAGACTAACTCCAGTCATAGTGAAGCACCAGTAGCAGAGCAAATGAGGGTCCACAACCTTAAAGCCAGCATGACCGGCAGGTAACTGTAGGTGGTGCCTGCTCACCCAGCATTGGCATTGGATGAGCTGGCACCAACAAGATAACAAGCACCAAGTGCTTACTCTCTTGTCTTTGTACACCAACAACAGTTGATGTACAAAGCCTTCGTTTTCCTGCCTTGCCTCATCGCTATCCGACATCTCGTCCCGTTCCGCCTTTGCTTCTTCATCTTTGTCGCGCCCCTTTCTTCCGTCTCTCTTCCCATGACCGACAACGATCCCCTTCTCTCTCCGACGGCCGCCATCGCCCAGCCCCTTCTTCTTCAGGGTCTCCTCGGGCCCCGGCTCGTCCACAACCAAGATCTTCCTCCTTCCATCCTTCCCCGCTCCAACTCCTGGAATGATCCTGCTATCATGCAATCCGACTCCACCTCCGCTATCGCCGCTTCCCGCTTCCGCTCCACCCCTCCAGGATCCCAACTTCACGGCCTCTCGCCAAATACACCGCTCCTTCCAACCTCTCGGACTCCTTCTCGACTCCTTGCAAATCATTCGCAGCGGACCCCACACTCGTGCCTGGTCTCGCACCGAAGCTACAATCTCATGCCCCGCCGTAACATTGGCGGTTTTCTCCTCATCGCCAAGTTCCGCCTTGCCGGCGGCTCTCTTTCAGCCCCCCTCTTCTGCATCACGGGACCCCCGCTGTGGCTCCGCCCACTTCCATTGTTTCCACAGCCTCTTCCCGTCGGTTCCATGCCGCCTGACACTCAACTGGCCACTCAGTGCCCTTTCCACCCCACGTTCAGCCCGTGCCCTTCCCTTTGCCACGCTCTCGCTCCGCCATCGCTTCCTTAACCACCTCCCTCCGATCCTCATTGCGGACTACCTATCCGCGTATCGACGCCCGCAACATGTTGACTCGTCCCTCCACAACTCAGTCGAAGCTTTGCCGACCTCCTGAGCCATCCTTCTCCCAACAAATCTGGTCCAGACGTCACCCTGACGATTCTTCTCAGGCATCCACACCAACTTAGAACTCATCACCATCCTCCGAGAAGGACTTCCACCCTCCCCTCGCACACCTCGCTGGCCCAACAGCTCCTGGCCCCCCACCACGATCCTTGCGAACGCCACTCTCACCCATCATTCGCGACCCAAATCTACCTCAAATCCCCGGAGCCCAACAGCTCCCCTGACATCTCCCCGGAATCATCTTTGCCCCAAAGCAATCCCATTCCCTCCGCCACCGGCCTTCCCATTGGCTTCGTCGCGGACATCACAAATCTCCTCCTCCAGCTCACGCCACATCGCCCATCTGCCTACGAAGAGTGACACTACACAATCGAATGGCTCCTGAACCCCATCACCGAGTTATGGTACAAGCCGCTCAAGATTCTCCTGCCATCTTCGTCAATATCATTAATCTTATCAAGCATTCATCCCCCTTCAAACCACTCCACATGCCCCCTCCTTTCAGTCTCACAA